TAAATGAGGGCAACAGAAAGAAGGAGCTCCCTTCAGTCCAAACGCGGAGAAAGAGGGATGCAAAATTATCTCCCGCATCATTCACTCAATCACAGTAGCAAAAGCGCCAATCCATTATCTACTGAGTGCTTGAATGAATGAGTCGGCAGCTAGTTCAACCCCCTTGTTCCCATCCGTGAGTGGACCGAAGGAAGCTCTCTCATGCCATTTCTCTAACAGTACTCATACCTTTCTTGCTCCTTTCTAGCTGCATGTGTCATTACAATTACCACTTAGCTAAACTAATAAAATTCACTAACAAAAGAAAACAACCTTCATGTTGAAGATGCAAAAGATAACACCAATCAACCGCAATCTGTTTTAGCCAATCTAATTGTGTACTACAAGCTAACACCGTTTTTTCAACGAGATGCTAATGACTAAAGTTCAGTTCAAGCCACATTATGACAAACGCAAGAACAAGTTCATAATTAATCAGTTTGGGGTTGATCTATTTTTAAGTTTCTTGATCAACAAGGACAAGTTTGAGCTTACTTAAGCTCAACCGGGAAAATGCAAAACATAAATATGGAGTGCAAGATTTGTCATTAAAGATTGAGGAGCCAATTGGTAACCAAGAGGATGAAAGAAAATGTAAACAACAAGGCAAGCAACTGACAGAAATGAACGAGTGATGGAAGAATTAGAAACGAACTCATGATAAGGAAGAGAGTGAAGCCGGAGTTTCTCCTTCCTCCTGGTCTTAGAAACATACAAATTAAATTGAATTCATTGAATAAACAAGATCGATCCTTGATAACCCTTTCATCATCGGTCACATTCAAAAACATTATTATCAAGACAAACTGCAAACAGTTAACATGAATTTTAGTGTTTTCTTCAAAATCTATACCCATGATCGAACTTGAAACATGAAAAAGATACTAACCATCAACCATATAGTCAGCATATGTAAAACATTAAGATTATACAGCTTCACATAAAGGAAAACCAGGAAAAACAAACTCTCAAGCAAAAAGATTATGGTCTTCTAATTGGACAAAAAAGTACACTGTAAAATCCCGGTAATGAGAGAAAGATTATTCTAAAAAGGGAAAAAAGAAAACCCATTTTACACCAACGATCTAGGTCAATTAGAGCTTGAAGAATACAATAGAAGTAAACAGATCAGATAGAACTTACTGTTTTAAGCGGCAAGGCAACGTTGCACAAGGGTAGCTAATGAGTTATAGACTATAAAGGAAGCATTAAAAGGAGGGAAAGGAAAAAAATATATATCTGACTGGGCTTAGGAATTAAGCCTGGAAACTTCGACGGACAGCGATCACAGGAAGAAATCCATTTTCCCCTTGGGATAAGATAAAAGTGGTATCAGGTATTAGCATACTATGATCTAATCATGGAGAGCATATATTAACATAACAGTAGGAAAAAAAACCCAAGAACAAGTAAAACTAATTCATTATGATATTAACTAAACCGCTAAAAAAATGCAACTCTACTATTAACATTAATAGAGACGACTTATGTCGTGTTAGTGAAGTGAAACCCTAAATTTTTAAGTGATGAAAGTACTGCTTAAAACCCTAATTTTGGTAAATAATTTATAAAAAAAAAAAAAGGAAAGAAAATTAATGGAAGGAAGGAAGCAAGAGAGAAGGTGTAGAATAATAGTAGAAGAAAACAGAAAAGAAAACAAAGGAGTAGTAATAAGGAAGAAAATATATGAATTGTTTTGTGCACAGAATAAGGAAGAGAGGAATGAGTTATACATTTATTTCTTAGGCAAAGGGAAATGACGGGTCATTGTCGTCATGAGAGTCAGAGACAGGAAAGCGACTCTAGATCTTAACATATCTAATGAGGGGAGGCTGTAGCTTTTCTTTTTTCCTCCTCTGTTCAATTATTTTAAGTATAACTTTTCTTCTTTTTTATGTTTTTCTATTCTATGTTCATGCCTCGGGTTTGTCTGCAGCAGATAATGGGAAAAAAGAAATGAAAGGAAGAATAAGCAAAGCATAATATTGGAGATCAAGACTTTTTTTCATCATCCATACATTTTACTTGCTCTTTCACTTTCACTTTCACTCAATGAATGAATGAATATATATGTCAGTGAGTCAGTCAGTCAGTGATAGACAGTGGGTCATAGTGTTTGTGAAATACCGGTGGTTTATTTTCTTTCTTTGTTTTGTTGGGTTAAAAATCTTTTACTCTACTGTTTAGTTAATGCTTTTTCCCTTAAACCTCACAATCCATCTTCCGTCGTCTCTTTCTCTCTTATATACATTCCCACTTCTCGTCCCAAGCTTTTGAGTTTTCAACAGCTAGCTACCATACTGTTCTTTTACCATTCATTCTATGTTTCTACTATGCTCATCTCTTTTCTCTTTTTTCTTTTTAGCATTGGGCCGCAAGAATTTCAATGTTTGATTGCTGAAACTAAAAATGCAACATTCTGGCTTGATCTCTTATCCCCTCTTACAATGCGACTCAGCTGACCATGAATAAACAAAACAAAACGAATTCCGAATTCCTCTACTACCCTGGATTTATTGCATTTCATTTCCCAATGCGGTATTACTCCAATCAAATATTGCTAAACATTTGATGCAACAAAGATGACAACTGACATGCACTATTTCCTTCCTTCCTTCCTTCCTTCCTTCCTTCCTTCCTTCCCTCCTTCCCTCCCATCTTCAACATCATTCAACTACTTAAAAGACTAGTAAAACCAAAATCCTCCATAAAATGATTGTCTTTACCCATTGTACATTTAATAATTTAATCATTATTCACTCTCGATGATTATGTCAGTTAAATTAAGCTTAGATGGAGGTAAGATGCCCGGGGAGTGTTGAAGTCCAGTGATAAAAAGAGAGCTAACTGAAATGAAGCCTAGTGGCAACCCATTGCACCGCACCACCATCCAACTTCAAAGTCTCCCTTATGTATATGTATTGATCCCTAAACCAAAGATAAATAATTCAGAAAATTATGAGCCTTATATTAAATATGCCAAATCAAGCTATTCAATTAAATGTACTCAGGCACTAAGGAATTTTAGAGGTCAAATAAATGAGCAACAATTTGAATATCAGCATATCTGTGTACCAAGCTAATTATGCATATGCCTGTGTGGGTGTGTATGCATTTGTCACATGATTGGATGCCATGCCATGTGATCTTAAGACCAAATATTATGTAGGCTAGCTAGTTAACTGATTACTACTTGTTGGCAAATTAAAAAAAAAAAAAATGATGTTGATGTTGTAAATAGGAGAGGATACCATTATCAGTCAAGCACGAGAAGAAACTAGATGTGTTTACATAATTTCATTGCTTTAAGAGAGAGAGAGAAGGAATAGAGCATTGCTAGTGTTAATATCAGATGCAGGTACTTTCTGGCTCCTGTCCTGTGTCATGTCTTGTGGAGGCAAAGCTTTATATATATATATCGATGAATATAATTCTGTAGCTATATATTAAAGTAGATATTGATGATATGATATGAGACATACAATGTGCAAATGCTGTGCAGGGGTGAGACTGAGACTGAGTAGTTGCAGGCACAACAGTCATAGCACATAGTGTACTGCTTTTAGACTGTAAATTGCACATTTTTTCCTAAAGCTCTGAAAATGTCACAGAATTCCAAATGCCAAAAGATATTCCCTTTTTATTTTTTTTCTGTAAGCTTAACCCTCTGCATCATAGAGCCCTTGTGGAGACCACTCTTGCTCTTGTGGAGACCACTCTTGCTAGTCCTATTTGCCATCATCATTATCACTCATCACCCCATTGATGCTAAAAGGAACTTTTCAAAGGCATCAACCTGTGCAAAATCCTGCAATTGGGTCCTTGAAACAGCCATGATTAAGGTGGGATAAAAGACTCAAGTAATTTGAGAAATTGCCATTTTATTGTTATGGTGGACACTCCAGGTCAGGCAGCAGTTAAATCAGCTAGCTCCTTGATTAAGTATCCACTCTCTTTGCTATAATTTTCTGACATATATGAACTGATGAAATACTCATCCTGACTCTTCCAACTTTAGCCATTCATCACTAGACGCTCATGTTGGAATAGATATGGCGAATTAATGTTTACAAACCCCGCCATGTGCAAATTAAAAAACATACTACTACTAGAATATTTATATTATATATATAATTATATTATTTCCTCTCTCAAATCTCAGTTGTGTAAGGTTTTGATTAATGGAGAGTAGGAGCCACAGCGAGCGCAAAAACCCACGAACATACAAAGAGTTTTAGCTAGTGATAGTGATTCTTACTGCTGGAATTAATGTTTGTGGAATGAAACAGACCAAACACTTTTAGAATAAAAGTTCACTCTCCAAAAGGAAAAAAGGGAAGATAATTGTGCAATAAATCAAACAACACAAAAGAGTAAATCTCACTCTGCATTGGGTTGTACATATGAAAACAAACAAGAAGACAGATAAGTGTTGATGGTAACAATGCAAAACATGATTGGTAAATGTTTCTTCAAAGCAGTCAGCAGTGTGTGCAGGTTGAGAGTTGAGAAACCGGGCGGACTGAGTACCAGCATTTGGGACATGCACTTTCAAGACTATGACCTTTTATTGTTTGCCAGACCCATATGCCAAATGAAATATCACCAGTTGTGCGATTCACTCCTAAAACTGGCAGCGCTCCACGAGGGGGAACACTAGGAATTTTACGGGACCACTAACCATTGATGCAAGGCTATGATCCAAACTACACCCGGTAATAATTGATCTTTTTTATATCAACTGCTTTTCTCTATGCAAATTATTATATATACATGTATATAAACCCCAGGACACATGGCAGATGAATAAATTGCACCGGATTAAAATGCTGATGTTGATCATGGACGAAAAATGGGTTCTTGGGCATGCTATTCAAACCTAACTGTTTATGAAGAAAAAGGAGAGTTATACCACTATACAAGCCATTAACCAGAAAGTGGAAAAAATTCAATAATTAATCATGCCTGAACAGCCAGTATCGAAGCATTAAACATTTTAACAATATTAAGATCTCCACTTTATACTAAACCAGCCCAACTTAAGCTGAGACCAACTTCAGTTCTTTCAGATCATTAATTCAGTGTGAGCGTGTATGTGTGTGTGTTAGTTTAAATAAGTTATCTCCATTCATCATTGGAATATAATGTTATCCTGAATGCCTTTTCATTTGTCAGGCAAGTATGAAAAATTTTAGAAAATAATGTAATAAAACATCCGAATCCTCTCTTCCAGCTGAAAGCTCAGCTTCAATTAACCACATTAACAGAAGGAATGCACATATTGCTGATCTGTTTCTACTATCTGGCTTATACTACAACTATTATGGGCAGCCTAGGATGTGAGAATTCAAGACAAAACCTGTAGGAGAGCACAGCTCAAAAAATAAGGCTGTGATGTGGAACTAAAATCTGGATTTTAAAACAATTGGAAAAACAAACTTGTTGACCCATCCCCAAAGGATTGTAGATCTGCAGCTTTGACCACAGCTCTGCACAGTGGGCAAGTTCTTTCTCTCTCAAACCTGAAATATAAACGGCAATGGGCAAAGGATGAAACTGAGGTATCAGTCAAGAATGCTGATTTAAGACTTAAATGCTTCTGTTTGAAAGTTAGCTTATCAATAAAAAAAAAAAAATGATTTCACGGAGGAATTTCATAGATAAGCAAAACTTCAGGCCATTAAGCAACTAGGCATTACATTGCCGGACAGTGAGGGAAGTGCCATGCAAAATAGCAGTAATAAGTTTTAAGAATTTCAGTAAAATGTATTGATCCCTGTTTTCTAGGAAAACAAGGAGCATAATTTTCAGTATTATATCCTCCAACTTTAAAGCAGCAATTTCTTCTTCATCTTCAAATTGGAACGGCACCATTCTCCTGTGCTCCTACCATTCTTCAGTTTCAATTTTGTTTTTCCTCTTAGTATAACAATCCACCAACATATGCTGGGTTAGTCGCGAGAGAGGTATGAATGCATTATGTCAAGGCCTATGCAGATAGCATACACATGCAGTTAAGAAAAGGTTTGCACCGAATGCAATCCCTCCTCCTGAAGGAGCATCTAAAATTATCAATCTCATTCACTTCAGTAGGTGAAAGTTCGTGCTGCTCTGAAAGGCACAGGTTTGTATGTTTTTTCCCCTCTTCTCTTTCCAAATTTACTAGTGAACCAATGCAAAAGGTTACAATTTCAGACCTTTATCCAATGCAATCAAGCAACAAATACAGGGGTAAGTTAAATCAATTATTTCTGTCACAACTCTAGATTCCAATAAAAAATAAAACTTTATACAGAAATAAAATATTTATACACTATTATACAAAGGAAATATATTAAATATTTACGAAAAGAAGGGATCAACTTACATTGTTTAAAATTAAAAAAGTTTTACATATCTAACTAACCATTAATTTCAACAGATTCACGGGATAAGAGAGATAAGTAAAAAAAGGAATAAATGATTTAATCTAATCCCTTTGATCTACTGAAATCAATGATTAGAAAAATATGTAAAACTTTTTTATTTTTACACTATGTAAGTTGATCCCTCCTCATTTATGTATGGCATAAAAATATTTATTCTCCATCTCCCATTCGCTTCAGCAGGTGAGAGTTCTGACTACTGTGGAAGGCACTGGTTTATATATTTTTGTCCCCTCCACTTCCCAAATCTTTACACTAGCAAACCAATGGTTACAGTTTCACAGCTCTTTCTCCAAAGCAATCATGCAACAAATGCAGGGCAACTTTTATCCAATTAAATTTGACTAACTAAACTTCAACCAGTTGCTACAGGCACCCCCCCCCCCCCGGGCGGGGATTCGCCCCTGGCTACAGTTATAGACATTCTAATAACAAATTAGAGCTCGATACAAGAGTAAAATATTTATGAATTATTAACCAGAGGAAATATTTGACATTTATAAATGGCATATTACCATATACCGCTTCTATCCTCACAACTATGTAGTCAATTTGAATAATTCAAAATCATAAGATTTTAGCTTGATGTTGATGATAAGAGTCCTAGTCTATCCACTCAATACTTGATACTCATTATAGGAACAACATACTTCGAGTTTTAAAAAAATTCCAATGTTCACAACATTTCAAACTTTCACTTCACAATATGCAATTGCAACGAACAGAAGGTATAAACTAACCATTCAGAGACACAATCTTCACAGAATATGTGTTTACAACGCAACAAAATTGGTGCTTGCATCTTCTCCTGGCATATGGTGCAGAGGTCTCCTGCTTCATTTACCTGTAATAAATAAAATATACGTAGGAAAGGGATAAATTCTCATGAGGGATGGAAACTTAATCATACATATATAGTTAGGAATAATGGTTGAAATTTTCATGATGTCAGTTAATTTGAGATTTGACATGTCTAATTTATATGAATGAAGCATTAAATAGATCATGTAATTTAACAAAATAATAAATTGTATAAAAAGACTTGTGATATATAATGGTCAATAATTGTTGCAGCGGTGTAACTTGATCTCTACACATCTCTAATCATATATATTATGAGGGATCAACTTCACTAGTGAAATGATTGCTACTTGTTACACTATTTCATAACTTTTATAGAGCTATTATTTTACCAAATCAATCATTAGATTCAAAAACGAATCCATACTCGCCATGCAGTCAAATTTCAAGTCAATCTGATATCTGTATCACATTGATCAAGAATAAAATATAAGGCATGAAAATGTCACCATGTCAATAAAACAGTTGACGTTTTCAATTAATGTGAAATATCACATGCATGATCTATAATTCTACATAAATAGAGCATTGTATTGAATAGATGAATTAACAAAATAAATGTATGATCAAAAGGTGAACATTAAAGATGTCAATGAAAATTTTATCAAAAGATAACATTCTTTACTTTAGGCTTGGTGTTGAAAGATTAAGCAAAGTACCACAAATATGTGCAAGATGATATTATTAGATGCACCAAAAGGTTAGAACTAGGGCACACGCAACCAGGCACCACATGAAACTTTCTGACATTTTATTGTCTCAGTCTAATTCAAATTGAATCACAATTTCCATTTACCCCCTTCAAATACCTGTTCCAATGTAGCATATGCCCCATAATGAACTTCCTTCTGTGACAATGCTTTTAGGGCAGCATAGAAGGATCGAACCTAAGAGCAGTTCCAAGTTGTTAATGATAAAGCAAAAAATCAAGCAAATAGAGTCATAGTATTAGAGAGACATTCAACAAAATCAGAAATTGCACATATGTACAAGTATTAGAGTATGGAATTTATACCTTTTCAATAACAGATGTGAACTTGAATGTTAAATACAACCCTGTAGTCAATGAAGAGAAAAGGCTTCCATAATCTTTGTTCAAGAAGAACCGATACCAGACAGGTGTTGGTAACAATGCTCGGTACAATAGGAGTGTATATTCAACCAGGGTTAGCACTTGGCCCTGGAAAACAATATAATTACAGTTAAGAGTTTCTTTTCAACCCCTTTGCTTCTTCATGAGATTTTTTTTTTTTTATCTTTTTTTGGATTGATGAAGGTTTGAGGGAGAAATGGTGGGGAAGGGGAATATGGTTAAAGTTGCATATAATAGGAAAAAGTAATTTTGTACTGCATAACATCATAAAACCTGTCGGCGGAAGTTATGCCCCTTGCCATTCTTATAATAAATGAGTGGTACACACTTAAATGCCATCACTGCCTGCCGCACCATTGTATCTGAAAGTTATATATATGAGTCAGTCATAAGAAGGGTACACAACATCAAGAATATCTGCCATACATTCTTTATCTTACCATTAGCATAATGTTAATAGAAATGAACCCAAGAATTATAATTCAATTTCATACCATTTACCAGAATGATGAATATTGCATGCCAGAAAGGTGGTGTTGTCTTCGGAGGAAGCATGACCAATGGATATAAGAGATCATTGTTCTGATACCACCAATAAACACCAATCACATGAAGCATAAAAAGTACAGAGTATGTGACTAGAACTGCATTCTTTCTCTCTCCCTGCAATACCAGTGAATGTTAAGTTTCATGGTTTTGCCCCTCTATTGGGGTACCAAGGGACTTAAAAGGAAAAATTTCAAAGACACATTTAAGCACCTTCAGTGCTGTTTGCTTTTGGAGAATAACATTTGACTTGAACATAACAATTGTAACCCATATCATGACAACGAAACCTGCAACCGACCACAATCAAATATTGGGAAATAAAAGAGTTTAGACTATAGACAGTAAATTACAAACAACATAAGATAGAACTATTTACTCATGCAGGTCTGAGATACTGCTCAATCGTTTTACCTGGTTCTGATGCTAAGAACCATGGCAGAACTAGGGTAATTCTGATGTTTGACTCTTCTTCTTCTCTTTCTCTGTGCAACCTACCCCAAACCTCTCTCTCTCTCTCTCTCTCTCTCTCTCTCTCTCTCTCTCTCTTTTTCTTATTTTTGATGATAGATGGGGATTCAGACACTACTTATAAGGAAATCCCTTGCCTTTTCTTATGCACTTATGCAGTAAAGAAAGCACCAATCAGGAATAGTACATCCCTTACAATTTAGAGAGACACACTAACACAAAATCAAAACAAACTAATGTAAGGCAAGAGAAAATTGGTGCACTGGCTTTTCCTTAACGAAGTTTCCAATTTTGGCCAACAAGTCAAACTCAACAGACAAGGAATACAACAAAATAGAACACTGAAAATTTGTTCTCAAATTCTTTTTTTCTTTAACTCTCCATAGAATGCCCTCACAGATTGCCTATCTTTAAACCAGGTTGATGATAATCCTAAAAGGAACAAATATAAAGATCATCCAAATTCGACTTAATTCCCATACTTATAAAAAACTATGCAATCTTTGTTCAAAACTGGTGACTGTTTATGGAGCAGAACCAAAGAGGGGAACATGGGGATTCCGCACAGTAGAATGCCAGAAGCACATATGTTCATTGCCATAGTGGCGTCAAACTTTTTAGATATATATTAATCAGACGAGCAGATAATGTGGCAAATAAAAAACAGCTCAAGACTGTAGTGGTAACATTTTCGTTGATGTCCAAAATGATCAAATGAATAACTCCCTAGTCCAATTAGTGATGAAAAAATGGAAAAGAGAGAGGTAATTGAAGAAGAAAAACAGTACCCTGCAAATGCTGACGAATGAAGACAAGCAGCAATAACAAGGAAAAGGGAAGAATATGCTCAAACCACCTGGCAATGCGCTGCACATCATAATGGTAAGACGAGTTCGAATTCCTATCATCATTACTGGTACTACTACTGGTCAGAGGATCCTCCTCCTCCTCCTCCTCCTCCTCTTCAACTCCATGGAGGGAGGTGGGGTTTTGGGAATTGTCCTCTTCGCCTCTTTCAGGCCCAATGATTCGAATAGAAACCTCCCCAGCCCCAGAAGTAGGATTAGGAGAAGGTTGAAAGTCAGTGTTGAGTAAAACCCCATGAGGTTGATTAATGGTGGGACTAGAAAAAATGCCAGAGTATTCCAGTAGGAGGGATAAGGGTAATTGGAACAAGTTTAGAGAAGGAAGTTGAATGGCATAGCTTCTTGAAGAATCAATGCCATCATCACCACCAGTGGTAGTGACAGAAAAGGCAGGTGATGGTGATGGTGATGGTGAGGGAGGATCAGAGATGGGAGGGGATGTTTCCATCATAAGAAGATCCGACACTCCAAAGTCATAAACAAGCCCGTTGTGATATTTACAACTGGGAAAATATCCTATTCACGTTTCACAAATCAATAACCAAATAAAGAAAAGAAGAAGCCAGAAACAAGATGTCTTTTTTTTTTCCTGAAATGAACGAAAGAATAATGTGGGAATGGAAAAAGAAGAGTTTTGATTACAAAGTAAGAAAAAGAAAAGGTAAGAATGGTGAAGAGACGAGGGCGAAGAGTCAAAGAGACAGAAGTGCTTGTCGGAAAGGTGAGATTGATTGCAAGTAAAAATGGGTTTGCTTTTGTATTTGGAAGAGATGAAATCAACTGAAGGAATACAGTATTATTGGATCATTCAATCCTTTTTCTAATATGAAGCTGGCATAGGCATACCGCATGGCTTGCTTGCAAATGCCCAGCCGGCCAACTAAAAGACAAAAAAGGACAAATGCAAAATCTGAAAACGCGTTCTACTTGGTTCAACAATTGCATGAAGTGTGCTTGTTATTATTTTTTTTTTCCTCTTCACAACCTTTTTAAATTATTTTTAAATAAAATTATTTAATTACTATTTTTCAAATCCTTTTTCACTTTTAAGTTTTTATTTATAAATTTAGAAATTTTTAAAATTTTCCAAATTCATGTACGTGAAACTTTTAAAAATTTTGTATGAAATCATTTAAATAAAAAAAAATCTAAAGAAACATACACATGTATAATTCTTTTATCAATTTATAAATAAATTGATATTTATTTAAAATAAACCTTGCTTTTTTTTATAACATTATAGAAATTTTTTAAGATATGAGTTTTTTTTTTCTCAACTAATTTATTTTAAATCATAAATATAATTTATCACATATGCATGTCCGATAAATTTTATAATTTATTGATAATTTAAAAATTAAAAAAATAATTAAATAATTTACCTAAAGATAATTTTAAAATAAAATTGATGTAAAAAAAATTTGTTTAGAAGCGTCATAGCATAAATAAAGAAAATCATAAAATATCTAAATCATTAAATTAAATTTTAAAAAAAATCAGAAAAATATAAATTTCGGTTTCCTTGATATATATGTTAAAATAAAGAATTGAGTATAGACCTATCGAACTAAATTTTACTACTCTAACTTAAATTTTATTGATTTTTTTATAGAATAATTTGATAAAATTGATCATTTGTATTAATAAAATAATCCATAACACATTTTATTTTTTTTACTTAAAAGTAATAAAATTTAAAAGGTTAATTTATAAATGATCTCTAAACTATAATAAAATATTTAATATAATATTTTAATTATAAATATGTTATCTAAAGTAATAATTTAATATAATTAATTTTAAATAATAACACATAATAGACAAATAAATCTCTTGATATCAAAACAGTTAACAAATTCATATTTCAAATATCATATTAAAAAATTTTTAATTTAAATACCATATTATATATTTCATTATAGTTTAAAAATCATTTATAACAATATTTCGAAGTAAAAATAAATTAACAAAATTTATTATTTGTATTAATATAATATTTCATAAAATTTGTTTTTTGTTAAAAATAAAAAATTACAATTACAATAACAAAATTGAATAATATAAAATCATAATAGAGCATCAATCTCAACAAACAATCTCAACTTCTAGAATAAAAAACCTTGATTCCTAAATTCCTTCAAAAGTGATTGAGAAGAAAAAAAAAAGAAAGGCGCCGTTCCCTTTGACGTGGAAATAAGTTTATAAAATTGTACACACTTATTATTATTATCATCCCTACTTGAATTCAAGTCATTATTGCACAATTTCATCATTAAATGAAGAAAAGAAACAAGTAGCATATCTTGCCCGATGAATCCAAAACTGGAAACCACTCCCATTTAGTGAGTTTAAACAGCAATGAGATAGGAGGGTTTGTCACTATTAAAACAACTCTTGCAATCTTCTTCGCCCTCCCAATTCCCAAACTCCACTAACAATTGCCCTTTTCTAAACGCAAGCTTCTCTTCAAACCCTGCAGCCACTCCACATGAAAATATATAGTTGCTTTACACAGTACACACTACTTCTAAAAGAACATCCAATCTGGGAAATGATTATGATACATGCACAAGTTCATGCCACCAACCATCATTGATTCCAAGGTGATTGATTATGCAATTTTCACATGCTTACTCCAACGTACATACTTATAACTTCCAACACCACACAAACATTTTTTATTCTTTTCTTTACAAGAAAAGGAAATTCTTCGTCCGTATTTATTAGTACTGAGGCAACTCCACAATTAGCCCCGCCAATTGTCCTTCATCCGCCTTATCTCCCTCAGTGCTTCAACAGGAGACTGGCAACCAATGCTCCCCTGCAAATCAGATAAATTTCCACATAAGATAACCTGTAGAACACTGAGACAAATGACGGCCAGTGCACGAATTACCAGAAGAATGGTCCAAAAACCAAATGAAGAAGGGTGAACATTTCTTGAAACTAGTTCAAAGTTTGAGCCATAATCAGCACTAGTATGTCATGACAATAAACTTGAGATTGTCAAATTAAGATGAATTTTATGGTAAGGTGTAAACCTGAAGTTCTGGTAGATCAACTCGCATAAATGGATTTGTCTCCATTTCTTCCTCAATGGTTGAGGGAATGGTGGTCAGACCTGCTTGTCGCTGACTATTAGCCCATGTTAACTTTTGCTGTATCCTTTCATTTTTTGGTTCAACTGTCATTGCAAATTGCAGGTTCTTCACTGTGTACTAGAGAAATATACATCCAAACATTTCATTAATCTTCAGAAATGAGAAGACATGCAGCAAAAACAAATTAATTTGCAACCAAAATTTTCCTCTTTTAAGACGCGACAAACTTCAACAGAAATTTAGGAGTATTGCACTCACTTCAAAGTTTCCATTTCAAAAGCCAGACATCTTCAGCACAGCAGGTTAATCCTGCATACAACTCCACAGACTGCAAATATACGTGCACCTTTCACTAAAATAGTCATTCCTAGTTTTATAGTTCAAGATAATTCATTTACCTTGTATGCTAACTTAATCCAAATTTCAGTCACAGGTGCTGCTACAGTTAATAATATATCCTAACTTGCAACTCTCATGCCAAAGAGGAAATATGGCCCTCTTATCTAATGAAAAAATAAAATAAAAGTAAAACAAAGACAACGATAAGAAGGCAAAAAAAAAAAAAAGTAGAACATGCTGTACAAGTCCATCATTAGCAAGCTGTCTATACAGTCAGACAACATGGGACACTTGTTATAAAATCAATGGGGACAAAATAAAAGCTTTTGGAATCCTGGAGTCTCTATGACAGCAAATCATAGATGTGGCTAGAACTGTCAAACTTGTATGTTTTTTTCAAGTTCTTCCTTTCAGAAATGGCTAGGCATGTTGAGTATATGAACTAATCCAACATTATTCTATCAATTTCTTAGATTCCACTGCCAAAGTATTACACTTAATTATGTTAAACCAGAAAATTTTCCTTAGTTGGACCCTTGCAGGCACTGAATGCTAATAACTAGACATCCTTGTAAACATTTTCAAAAGATTTAACATGTAAATGGCCTAGAAAGAAAAGAAAAGTAGGAAGATAAACTTAGATTTATAGGCAGATACAGATACCAACAAAAATGTTGTTTTGATTATGATAACAGCAAAATCAGTGATACTGCATTGTACAATCAAAGCTGATATATACATTAAGCTTACAGAAAAAGTAACCTGCCTATGGCTACATTAGAAATGGGAAAATAGCTGCTCAGTAAACTTTATGAATATCTCAAACAATTGATCATAGACTAAAGAGACAGAAAAGAAAAGGGAATGGGTAATCTCGGTACCTCGTGGCCACAGTAAACACGAGTTGGCTTTGGCAGTGAACCGAGGGTTACACAGAGTGATTGATACATCTGTTCTGCTGTGCCCTCAAAAAACTTCCCACAGCCAGCAATGAACTATATGATGAGAAAGAATGACAAATTATTTCCGAACCCAACACAGAAGTAAACAAGACAAAGATAAAAGATCCACCTCCTAACTGTCTAACAGCTTTCTGATAAGGGGTAGAGCTTCATGCCCAAAAGTTTATGCTAACATGTACGATCCCCACAATTAAGTTTAAGGTCAAATAGTCCATGCCAGTAAATCTTACACACCAAAATCTTGCCCGAATTATAGCCAAGGCAAACTAGAATTAGTACATTAATGGGTGCTAAGAAATTATCGATTTGGATGCAGGACCACTGTATAAATTATTGAAGAACCCTGCAACTTAAAAACTTAAGCTAGTAGATAAGGAGACAGCAAACAAGTTTTAGATTTGAATGAGCTTCAATGGACCAAATAGCAAGCAACATTGGCTTCTCTAACAGCATATACAGATGTATATAAATAAATAAATAAATAAATAAAAGAGATCCACGTTTAAACTTACGAGTGTATCTCCAGTAAAAACAGCTGGGTCCTCTCCATCTTTGCCAGTGACATAGTAACTTATGTGACCCTTGGTGTGGCTGATGAAAGGAAAAGAGCAAGTTTTTTAAAACTAAGACATAGAAAGAGAAACAAGAGAGGGTTTAGAATAGAAGAGAAGGGGAAATAGTAAATACCAAGGGGTGTGAAGAGCCAAAATGTTGAGATAGGAGCCAAGAGATAAGGTATCACCGTTTTGGAGTTGATGAGTGCAGCCCCTAACATTATCAAGAGAACCGCCATACACCTTAATCCCAGGAACCAGCTGCTTAATCTTATCATTGCCACCAGCGTGATCCCTGCAGATTTGATTGAATTACCAAACATAGCAGTCGATCTTCAAATTTTGTATATAAAAATTCAATAGGAATAGCGTAAGTCATTAATTACCAGTGGTGATGAGTGGTAAGGACCAACTTGAGGACAGCTCCCAGCTGATTGGCAGCTTCAACCACCTTCTCCGCCTCCACCGGATCCACTGCTGCTGCCTCTTTTGTGCTTTCATCCATGATCCTAATTATATATATTTTTTATTTAACCAATTTTTAATTCAGCAATTCATCGATCAACAAACAACAAGAAGAAAAAAGATAAAAGACGACTCACAGATAAGAGTAGTTGTCTTCTAAGCATGGAACCTCAAAGATTTTCATTTTCCTTGTTCAAATTTCGGATATTACAACTTGGAAGGAAGCAAACTCTAGAACTTAAAATGCAAAACAAACTAAACTGCACTTTTAGCCGTCGATTGATTCCATTTTGTTTTATTTATTCATACAATAAATTTTTGGGTAAATTGCATAATTGGTCACTTAACTATTACAGTTTTTTAAAAATGATCACTAAAATATTAAAATTTTTAACAAAGTCACTAATGTTTGAATAAGTTTTTTTTTTTTTTTATCACTATACTGTTAAATAGTAACGTTTTATCTTAGGTGACTTAATTGATCAAAAACACTTTGCTTACATGGTCCATTTTTTTCACATCACACACAAAATTATCATTTTTTTTTATTTCTTCTCTTAATATGAGTATTCTTTTTTGTCATTGTGAAATACTAGTTGAGTTGAGAATCTCTTAGTCAAATGACAATCCTAAAAGAAAGTTTTTAAGTTGCAAAAATTATATATATTCATCTAAGATGTTGTTTCTTTAATTTGTATGATCTACCAGCTAGTGATTATATAAGAGTTATGCTTATTGGGCTTTTAAGAAAGTAAGAATCGTTGAGAGCCAAATAAGGAAGGAATGTGTACTACGTATTATGTTGTTGGCATGTTGTTTAATTTTCACTTTGATTAAGCTCTAATATAATGGTTTAGGGTTATTTAGTATTTAAAGTTATGTGCTATGGGTTTTAAGGTAATATTTTAGGTGCATTAGGCAAGATAACATTGAAGAATTATGTGTTTGTTGTATATTTTATATTTGATATTAATGAATGATAATAGCCACTTAATGAGTTTTAGACCATCTATCGATTGCATTATACAATGTATCAAGTGTTTTAGGTTTTAAATTGGTATCAGAAGATTACTTTTGTACAAAGTGACAACTATATTATGTAATGAACTCAGTACTTTAAATTATTTGACTATTTTAGTATGCTATTGCAATAAATGAACTCAGTGTTATTGCAGCATATCTTTATTATAGTACCTTAAACCTCACTTTAATAAACCTATAACTTCAACAAATAAGGCATTGATAATTATAATCCATCCAAAAAACATATCATGTATTGATAAACCAGAAACCAATAAACCAGTAACAAATCTAAAAACATGACTGCATTGATAATTATAAGATATTTACATTATCTTGGCTAAAATGTAGTTTCAATAAGTATATTGCACTTGAAATAAACTCTTAAACGTTAATACATTTGTATTCTCCTTACATGTATATCATCCTTACATGTATACTTTTACTAACAAAAAAAAAAACTCTTTTTATACAAAAAGAACCCTTACATCTATACCCTTATCAAAAAAAAAAAAAAAACTTGTTGCTAATCCAACATACCAAAAAAAGATATTTTTGTTAGATTAATATCCTAAACAAGTCATATGCACAAAATACCCTAACCCAGTCATGTACAAAAAAAAAAAAATTCTTTGTAAGTTATTGGTTTTTCATTTCATGGTTTTAGCTTTGCTAGTCCTTAAGTATTTTTCTTGTTTCATTGAACATTGGTTGGAAGCACCTTTCTCTTAGCAACATGCTTAATCAAGTACTTTCACTGCATTTATATTCTTTTTTGGCTAGCTTTAGTACTTTGTAAGAGTTCCAATAGGTTCAAAAACTCCACTTGGTCTAGAGACATAATTCTATTGTGATTGAAAAACTTGACTAAAGCCTTATACATCAATACATGAAATGATTCAATATTTATGATTAAGGGTTTTTTTAGGTTAGGATTAGGGTAGACAAAATAATTACTTACATCAAGCATCCATTTAACAGTGGTTGGACGTAGCTGAACATACCCTTCAGATCTTCTAGTTGCTGTGGTTTAAGGTGACTGAGGTGGCTCTCTAAATCTTTCAAATGTGGTTGGAGGTAGTTGAACAACCTAAAAAAAACATTAGAATAGTAAGTATTAGATTAAATGATCATAAACATTTGTATTATATATTATCTTTTTAGTGGTAGGATCCACAGCCTTTTGGTTAGTTTTAACAACTCTCATTATTTGTAAAATGGAAATAATAAAAATAAATTTCTATATTTTACCTATTATTATCATTAATAAATATAAATCAATAAACCAAAATACTCGTAAGTAACTTTAAGATATTTTCTTCTTGCTAGTCTGACAAATCTCTTATTTACATTCAACCTATTATTACCATCAATCTCTCATTTGCATGTCCTTATATGATACTCTAGTTTTTCACATTTGCTACAATTGAGTTTCCCTCATCTCTTGTTGATTTTAAACTAACTTCCACCTATTTCATTCATTTCCATCATTCTATTCTTATATGGTTTTCCAGTTTACCTTCTTAGAATGAGTGACATTATTGGTTCTAGGGTTTCATCACTTGTCCATTAATTTGCATCTCTGATAGGATAAATGAAATTGGACTGTATATTGACTTGTATGGTCTTGTTATAGTATCGAACGAGATAATTTTTAAGTTTTCTTTTAGACAATAACATGGCTGAAAATAGTATGCATGCATGGAATCCCAGTGATATCCCATTTTTTACATGAACAAATATACAATTAAAAGTCCACTATATGCTGGTTTGATGGCCTACATGCTACTTGGTATCTTGGACTACCAATATGTTTTGGCTAGCACCTATTTGACTGTAACATAATTTAGTCCAACATTTTTTGTTTTTTCTAAATATTTTTCAGCAGTTGTACTATTCAAGATAATTCTTTGCATTAATTTTATCCTAACAATCTCTATCATTGTCAAAATAGGCTTTTTCCTTGCATCCAAAATAAACTTACTAAAAGACTTACTTAAATTATTTAAAAGCATGTCATACTTAACTATTGTTGAAAAGTGAGACTTAGACCATTTAGTTGGATTTTTTCTTTCAAGCCATTTGTATGCATCAATTAACAAAGGCTTTCATTTTTTTCATTACATCTTTATACTCCTTCAAGTATGTAGTTCTAACAACTTTTCACAAACAATCTTTCAGTGCTTTTTTTTGTTTACAGGGTTTAACTTAAAATTTATGTGTAAATGCCTAACATAATTTTCTGTGTTTAGCATTAGGCACAATATCTATAAGTGTATTCACAAATCCCTCCAAAACAACAAAAATATAAATTGTAGTTACATTCCATAATTTTAATTTCATATTAAAAAGTACTAATAAAAAATTAAAGGGATAAAGTTCAAACCATTTGTTTGTCTGATATAAAAGTTTAGTGATAAGAATTTGTAATTGCAAAGTCATTTTTTAGCAAAAGTAGGAACTAATACTATGAATCATAGTTTTCACTTTCAACAACTGCATAAACTAATCCTAATAGCTATCAACAAATATCCACCTTAGGAAGCAACCATCAAGACTAATAATACACTTACAACTAGCTTTGAACTCATCTTTACATGCTTATAAACAAACATATATCATCTTAAATAATCTATAATTTAGGAAATAGATTGTAGTGGTTCCTTTATTGCTTTGCTTAAACTCTTCTAAAAACTCATAAATCTTAACATATTGTTCCTTATTATTTCCATATACAATTTCAATTACTTTTTGCTTAGCCTTAAAATATTTTGTTAATGACACACCAATGATAAAATCTATCATCACATCTTGTTAAAAAAAATTCAATTAGTATTTTGGATTAGTAATAAACTTATTAATATAATGCTGACCCACCACTTAGAAGTCAAGTTTTTATTTTTCATGTCTTTAAGACATACATTTTCATAAATATAAGTTTTAATCTACCAAGTATGGTCCAGTTGCTCTTTTACATTGAATTTTGCCCCATATAGTTTCTGCGGACAAGCTTTATTGCAAACCACCTTAATCCTCTTCTTGTCATTCATTTCGAACTTGACATTATACATATTCTTCCTTTCATACTGTTTTATGACTTCTTTCAACACCTCTTTATTAATAGACAACATCTTTTTTTCTAGCATAAGATTTTTCATATCTATTTCACTATTGAATTCTAGCCACTACTTACACTCTTTGAATTAGATTCATGTGCGTTTTACAAAGAATTTGATTTTTTATATTCCTCTTCATTTGCACCTACTTCAACACCAAAACCATCATCCACTCCAATTTTATCTTTATCATCTAAACACATATCTTTCTTAATTTTCAAATCTACATTGACCTTAAAATTATGATCATGCTCATCATCTTCTATATTATACTCATTCTCATTAAAATTGAAATTAAAACTATCACTATCATTTTTATCTTTCTTCACATTACATCTTACTTCTATTTCTGTTTCAATATTTGAAGCAATATCCACCTATACTTCCTCAATAAAACTAGCATCTATATTATGTTAATCAATGATAGACTCATCTTCTAAGTACACATAGATATAATGATTTTAAGGCCTGTTCGTAACCATATTGACAACATCAACATTTGTTCTAAAAGGCCTAACAAAATCAGTACTAAATGCTCCCACAAATATTTTTCAATAACATCTTATATTACCTGTATAACCTAACTCCTAAATCATATTATTCATTTCAATCATTGACATAATATTTGCATGGCATAAATCAAAGTAATCAACCTTTTTACCAATATAAATCATATTAAAAATATATAGAAATTGACCACCATAATGAATAATAATTGAGAAATAGTCTGAGTTAGGCTCTGAAAAATTATAAAATTTCAAAATTGTTATTAAAGAGTTATTCTGATTTAGACATAAACCTTAATAGCTTAAACATTTTAATCTTCAATAAAATATATTATAAAGTTATATAGATATAATACAATAATAGCCTTCATAAGCTTCAAAAAACATTCAAACCCAAACATGGCTCCACATACATGACAAGTAAACAATAACCACATAGCACACTCAGCATAATACAATGCACAATAACCAATGACTTGGCAAAAAAAAGTGTCCACAACAATAATAAAAAATAAAATAAAACCAGTTCATTCATGTATAGACAGAAACAAAAGTGAATTCATGTATGGGTAGAAAAGGAAAAACTTAAATAAGTTATATTCGTACCATAAAAAAGTATATAGTCCTTTTACCACTCGACACCTCTTTCTGTCCATTACTTGCTTAAACCTAAAGTAAACCTTAACATAATTACTTAATTTGATCCTACATTAACTGAAATTGTAAACCTTGAATCAAAATAACCTAAACCCTAAATTTTCTTTAAATCATGACAACATAACCTCTGATAATTCTAAACTCGAAATTGTAATGGCCAATCATGCCCTAAATTGCAAAATCCTAAATTTCCTTTCTAAAACGCAAAATCCCCTAACCCTAATTTTTATTGCTGCTGTTCAGTGAAAACCCACTTTTTAAAACCTCAAATCTAAATTTGTTTTCTATGAAGTAAAATCCTTAGATCTTAGGTGTATTATTTTCTAATTTGGCCATACCACTTGGTTTTTTATTTGCCATGTAAAAAAACCGTTTATGATGAGTTAAGCCACATCAAATAAAATGTTACGATTTTAATAGTATAGTGATCCAAAAAAATGCTTGTTCAAATGTTAGTGACTATATTAAAACTTTTAATAATTTAGTGAAGATTTTAAGATGATTGCAATAGTTAAATGATTAATTATGTAATTTATCCCAAATTTTAATAATTTTGACCTACAAAGGATTCTCTATGCTAGTAAAAAAAGGTAAAAATTTTGACTACTTTATTGTAAAAGTAACAAATGAACTTTTTAATTAAATTTATGATTGAAATTTTATAATTAAATTATAATTGAAATTTATTAAAATAAATATTTATCATTTATTTATCATATGTGATTATAAAAAAAATCATTTATCATTTAATTATTTTTTAAATATTTATTTTTTTATGTAGCATGATTTATATAGATATATATATATATTAAGATGAAGTAATTGTTTTATACAATTTTTTTCGAACAAGATCGGAGGAGCATAGATGTGCGTTTTGTTGTTCATTGATGGACGAGGATGACGTTCGAGCCCAAAGACACCAGGCCAAAGCCGAGGCTTTGTTTGGTTAATAACCCAAGTCAAGTCCAAGTCCGAGTGCTAGCACGGCTCTTCCCTAGAGTTTCCTTTGAGAATTGAGTTTGTTTGGGCATCCAAATTAGATCATCGTCTTAGTCATTGAAAGAAAGAAAGAAAAGAAACGAGGGAATGGGGAAAAAGCCGGTGAGGATGAAGGCGGTGGTGTACGCTTTGTCGCCGTTCCAGCAGAAGATAATGAGTGGGCTATGGAAGGATCTGCCTGACAAGATCAGCCACAAGGTCTCTGAGAATTGGATTAGTGCTACTCTCCTCCTCACCCCTCTTGTCGGAACCTACGCGTGCGCCCCTCTCCCCTTTCCTTTTCCCTTTTTTTTTTTTTTTGTTCCTCTTCTCTATAAATACTGCTAGTATATTCTCCCCCCCCCCCCCCCCAATTTCTCTTAATTTTTTAGCTTAGGGTTTCTTCGAATTTTCAATTTACCTCTTTAATTTTGACGTAGGGTTTCATCACATCCGCTGTTTCTTTTCCGATTTCTCTTCATATTTTAGATCTATCTAATCTCGATAGATGCTTATGCTTATGCTATCTTTTATGTTATCTAATTAATTCCTCTGCTATTTCATTTATTTCAAAAACTAAATCCTTAATTTATTTAAATATTATAGCTCAAATAGCACCCTAAATCAGTACAATGTTAAATCCCAAATAAATGAAGCCCAAAATCCCAACCTCATGCATGCCCATGGATCCTGACCGGCTAGATACTTTTGATTTTAGTGTTTTGTTGCTCGGTTTGCTTTCAAACGTTTGATTTGGACTTTATACAGGAAAGGAGTTCAGTTTCTGCCTAAGCTGATGAAATTTACACATAGTATTGAAACTTAGAAACATGCTTTTTTATACACCTAGCTTTCCTCCATTAACTACATTTACATTCTTTAGCTGTAGGTCTTCTTCCCGAAGGAACTAGCAGAAAAAGGGAAAAGCAGTACATGGGACCATAGATATATTGTTATTTGGGTGCAACTAAAGCGTAATTGTAGCTAAGTCCTTGCTACTATTCGTAGTAAATGATTGTCTATTTTGAGTCGTTGATCCCTTGAAACATAGGAAAGAAGAAAGAAATAAGGATATATATGGTGTTGAGCCATTGTTTTCAGAGTGGAACAATAAGTTTCTAGTTAGTGAAGAATTCTGCAGACATGGGATGAGATCTTGTTATAGTTTGTTGGGACCTCTCCCCTTTTCTCCTGTGTCTTCTTGAGTAGAATGGAATGCAATGCTCTTGCCCATGCATGGAAACAGTTTCAACATCATTTGATTAGTGTTAGCTGCACGACTTTGAGAGTATTTTATGATGAATATTGAGCTCCATTGGAGCCTGCTCAAACAAACACAAAAGTATACATGCATAGAGTTCATATTTTATTAAGCACGTTGACTTAAATGCTTACATTATCTCCTTTGTTTTTTACGTACTACTAATTTTATGTAACTGGGCGCAGTTATGTTCAAAACTACAAAGAAAAGGAGAAGCTGGAACACAGGTATTGAAGCCAAGTCAGCGGGAAGTCTCCATTTTGTCGGAAGAACTCAGCTTTTTATAAGTTGATGCAACTTTATTAAGGTTGCGTGCAATGATGAGCCATGTTTTTTTGGTTGGTATTGACTTAGTCTTGAGTTGGTGTGTTATGGATATGTAATAATGAATTTGGAACATTGTCTTTCATTTAATCATTTTCGTTAGAAGAAATTTGTGGATTGCCTCTGCAATGTTGTGCATGCAAATGATCAGAGTGATGTGATGACTCTCACTTAGACTCCAGCCAAACTATCTAACAACTGACATTAGGGTAAAAAAAATAATATATATATATATATATATGTTTGTGAAAAATATAGAATTTTGTATTTCTTATGTAAATGGGTGAGAAAAAAAATTGATAAAATCAAAATATTGATTCGAAAGAATAGTATTCGATTTGATTTAAATTAATTTTTTTATTCGATTTAAATATTAAATATATATTAAGTTTGAATCGGATTTTGAAGTAAAAAAAATTGAATCGAATTAGTTTTTATATAGTTTTTAAATTTTTATAAAATACAAATAATTATTTTATATATCAATTTATTTAAATATATTAAAAATTTTATAAAAATAATATATAAAATTAAAACTATAAAAATTGATAAATAGAATCATTAAAATTTGGTTTGGATTAGTTTGGATCGGATTGATCTTTTAAAAGAAAATAGGTTGGAATTTGAATAAGATTACAAATGTTCATAATATTATATATTATCTTAAAAATTAAATTAAATCCGATTTAATTTGAATTGTTATTATTTTTAATGCAAAGACTTTTTTTTGGGATAGAGGCTTAATATTTTCGATTTTTTACCATAAAATAAAATTATTAATGAAAAATTGTTGCTAGCATTAACAAAATGTGTTTTTTTTTTTATCTTTTGATCAAACCAACAAAATTTTAAGTACAATGGTAAATTTTGCAAATGCATTATGCAATATTTTATGTATGAAATAATTCAGCTTTATTATTTTTGTTAAAAAATTCTATTAAATTTAAAATTTTAAAATACAAAGAAAAAATTTAATATTGACGCAAAATATAATGATATTTCCGTAAGTGAATAAAACTAACATATTTAAGTTTAGTAGATTTGTTCATAGGTCAAACAGCCATCAAACTCGGGTTTGACATTCAAAGTTACCAATGGAATCCAGCCCGAGCCGGCCTTGGCTCTTGAAGTAGTCTGCATCCACTAAACCATTTTGGGCCATCTTTTGCTAAACAATGGAGGAGAGGGCCGGAGTCCTCTTTTCTAATTTCTTCTCTCCAGGGTTTCGCAGTTGCAGTAATGTCTAAAACCCTTCCTGTGTCAGGAGCTTCAAGCTTCACTATATCATTATCACCTTTTCCATTTAAAAATATTATATTTTCCTCCCTATGTTACTGGAAAATTCCACAGCCCTCTCCATCTCCATCTCCGTTTTCTTTTTTCTTTTTTTATTTTGATTTTCCTATTTCAAAACTTTTAGCTTATAAATATGATAAGGAGATACAATAGGGGCTTCCTCCATTCAACACCAAGAACCCTGATCCTCAAAGCATTGCCTTGCATGTCAGTTCACTGTTTTTCATCACCAGAGGTAAGTGCAGCCGACGAAAGTCAAAATTTGTCTTGGGAGAAGCGGAGACTTACTATTACTCCTCAGATTGTTCACTCGACTCTACTGAACTGCCCTTCTAATTTGATTGCTTTGAGCTTTTTCTTATGGTGTGCTAAGCAACCCAATTATTTTCATGATGTCCTAGCATTTGACTGTATGGTTAATGTTCTCGCTCGGTTAACTAAAAAATATGTAACTGTGAGAAGAATTGTTGGGGAATTGGAAAATGTTGGTTGTGTGATAAAGCCACAAACTTTCTTGCTTTTATTGAGGATTTATTGGCGTGGTGGATTATATGGAATGGTTTTTGAGACTTTTGAAGAAATGAGTACTTTTGGTTTTACTCCGAATACATTTGCTCGTAATGTAATCATGGATGTATTGTTTAAAATGGGGCACGTTGATGCAGCTATCAAGTTTTTGAAAGAAACCCAGTTCCGGAATTTCTTGACTTTTAATATTGCTTTGTGTAATTTGTGCAAGTTGAGTGATTTGTCTAATATGAAGGATGTTAGCAGAAGAATGTTCCGGGAGGGTCATTATCCTAATGTTAAGACGTTGGAGATAATTTTGAATTGTTTCTGTAAAATGGGTAGGCTAGCAGAGGCATATCAAGTATTGTGTTTGATGATTACTCTGGGAATTTCTGTATCAGTAAATGTTTGGAGTATATTGATAGATGGGTTTTGTCGATTGCGTCAACCTGGTATGGCAAATTGTTTGTTTAAAAAGATGCTTATGACTGGATGCTCTCCTAGTGTAGTGATTTACACTAGTTTGATCAAGGGATTCTTGGATTCCCAAATGGTTAGTACTGCTTCTAGCATTCTAAATAGAATGGAATCTGATGGATATGCTCCTGACTTGGTTCTCTGTAATGTGTTAATAGACTGTTTATCTAAGATTGGGAAGTATGATGATGCATTTGGTATTTTTGTAAGTTTGTCAGAGAGGAAATTAATACCTGATTCTTATACATTTTGCTCTTTGTTATCCAACATATGCTTGTCTCGAAGGTTTTCTCTTTTACCTAAGATAGCTAGTGGAGTTGCAGTAGAAGTGGACCTAGTAGTTTGTAATTCACTACTAAACTACTTTTGCAAGGCTGGCTATCCATTGCATGCTGTAGAGTTATATGATTACATGCTTGACAGAGGTTTTACACCTGATAAATATAGCTTTGTTGGATTACTTGGTGGACTGTGTGGAGCAAGAAGAATTGATGAAGCTGTTAATGTATATAAAGGAATAATAATGTATTGCCCTGGTGTTGATGCACATGTCCATACTATTATCATAGATAGGCTTATAAGAGTTGGTAAATATCACAGAGCCATCAAATTGTTTAGGAGGGCACTTGTAGAGAAATACCCTCTAGATGTTATATCATACAATGTTGCCATCTATGGACTTCTCAAGAGTGGAAAGATCAGAGAAGCTTTTACTTTGTACAGCCAGATGAAGGAAGATGGTGTTTTACCTAATTCATGGACATATAATTTGATTATCTCTGGTTTCTGCAAGGAAAGAGATATCAAAATGGTCAAACAGTTGATGCAAGAAATCAGTGAGGCAGGAGTTGAGTTGGACCATCATACAATGAACACTGTAACTAAACTACTATTCAATTCACATCCATATCCTTCAACCCTAAATCAATTAATTGAAATGTGGAATTCAGGTTTGATTCCTGATCAGGCAATGTATGCATAATTCTCCAAGGGGCTTGCATCTGGTGTAAACACAGGCCATGCTCAGCATTTGTTCTTAAAGGATAAACTATTGGTACACTCATCTAGCTCTGATGACCTTCCTGATTTGGCTGCTTCTGTGGGCTGAGCTATTGTTGGTGAATAAGTCATTTCACATCTCAGAGCACGGAGCTGCTTCTATTCTCTGTAGTTGTGCATACCATCAGAATATATTCCTAACTACAAAGAGGTACAGCTGATAGCTCTTTCTGTATAATATAATATTCCTCCTGTCTGAATGGTTCATTTAACCAGTGCGTTACTAACTTGATCAAGAAAACATTAGAACCTTTCATAACAAGCAATTTTTTTTGGCAGGTTGAATTCCTGTAACATGGCAAGAAATGTGGTGTTAGAAGTTATAAGCTGTTGTTTGCGGGCTTACCTTTGATGAAGATGGTATGGTAGTGTTTTATACCGTCATCCAGAAACAAGGAAAACAGCAAGATGAAAAAAATCTCTGCAAGTGGTGAGCAAAAGAAGCATAAAAAACCATTTTAAAATTTCAGTAGTAATTATAATTCTCTGAAAGCCTTTATGTTTCCTTTCTATGTCAGGTACTGAATTGTGAGTAGGCTGCCAAAACTCTGGTCTGGGGGTAACAATTGTTGTTAAATGAGGAAGGATGTAATCATCCAGCTGCATCATAAACATGGAAGAATGCAGAGAATAAGAAAGGGGCATGTATGAAGATGATAATGAATTCTCATCTTTGATAAATAATAAATAATAATAAGTACCAATACTTGTGTTATGTTTTATTATCTTAAACTTGGAAGTTGAAAGATACATGCATGAACTCGCGTTGACTCGGGAGGATCACTATGCAGGTTTGTAGTGCCCCTTTTCTTCTTTTATTCATATAAAATAAATTAAATTCAAATTTATCTTTCCGCAATGGAACTGCATAAAGGAGATTTGAGGGAAATAAACAAAATCTGTGAACCAAGAAAAAGAAAAGCATAAGTATAGAAAAAGCCTTTAAAATAAAATAAAATAATCAAACTCTTATGGTTTTATTACAATTAATTAAATTTTTAAATATTTATTTTTATTAATTGAGTTTTTATTAGATGAAAATTAATTAATCTCTAATATTTATTTTCATTTAATTGATGGTTTAATTGAGTGAAAATAAATATTTAAAAATTTAATTAAGTGAAAATAAATGTTTAAGAGTTAAATAGAATGAAAATAAATATTTGAAAGAATAATTAATTGTAATAAAACAATTAGATATATATTTATTTATTTTTATTTAAAAGGCTTTTTATACTCTTAAATCGAAAGGAAAAAAAACAAAAACAAAAAAAAAACAAGAAACATTCGGCGGAAGCTCGGAAAAGGATGATAGTTTGGGCTTGACTTGAATGAATTGGGGTGGGCCGAAGTAGAATTAACGATAGAGGCTTCAGCCCGTGAGTTGTTGAACTTGAAATCAATAAAAGGGGCTGTGCTAGGGTTTGGACGTTTGTTTCAATTCTCAAGTCTCATCTGGTCGAGTATCGAAGACATGGGCAGAAGTGAGTTCACTCTCTCTTTCTATCTTTCCTTTGCTCTCTGTTATAATTCTTGTTTGAAATCTTTACTGCTATAATCATTCTTACTTACGTTAGTGTTAATAATAACAATCTCGTCCATCGTTGAATATAGATGTTTTCCTTTCATTTTCGTTTCATCCTTTTTTTTTTTTTTGCCTAATTAGTATTTACGACACGCTCGATCTTAACCAAAAAGAAATTTTTTTTTTGATATGTTTTACCCAGGAAATAAGTCAAAATTCAATTTTCACTTACCGTTGCGTATTATTTACATTGTTACAACAATCACCATGTCCATTTCTGGGTTGCTATTTGTAATTATTTATCTGTCATTTCTAACATACAGCTTATTCAAAATTCAATTATATTTTCTCTTCTTGTATACCTTAACTAATGTCATGGTTTCTATAAACTTCTCTTTCAAACTTATTTGTTTTATTTCATGGTTCTGTCATGCATTCTCTAAGAAGCTATTGTTGTGTTATGTTAACTTTGAGTGTCATGCACGTGCTGCTCTTCTAAACTTCTTCCTTATAGGACCTGCAAGGTGTTATCGCCAAATCAAGAACAAGCCGTACCCAAAATCTCGATTCTGCCGTGGTGTCCCTGATCCTAAGATCAGAATTTATGATGTTGGGATGAAAAAGAAGGGTGTCGATGAGTTTCCTTTCTGTGTCCATCTTGTCAGTTGGGAAAAGGAGAATGTCTCAAGTGAGGCATTGGAGGCTGCTCGAATTGCCTGCAACAAGTACATGGCTAAATTTGCTGGGAAGGATGCTTTCCATTTGAGAGTGAGGGTTCATCCCTTCCATGTTCTGCGGATCAACAAGATGCTTTCCTGTGCTGGTGCTGATAGGCTTCAGACTGGAATGAGGGGTGCTTTTGGGAAACCTCAAGGAACATGTGCAAGAGTCGACATTGGTCAGGTCCTGCTTTCTGTTCGTTGCAAGGACAGCAACAGCCATCATGCACAGGAGGCCCTTCGCCGCGCAAAGTTTAAGTTTCCTGGTCGTCAAAAGATTATTGTTAGCAGGAAGTGGTATGCATTTTTGTTTCTTGTTTCTTAGACATTGAATTGAAACTCCCCAATTTATGCTAGATAATAGAAATCATTAATCTCTTTTATTAGAAATCCTTTGGAAACTTTGTAAGAGCATAAATTTGTATTAGGTAACAGAAGGTCTGATGTTTGCACTAAGTTTTTCTTTCTTTTTTTTCTTTTTTAATATGTAACATATGCATAACATCAAATCACCTATTTTCTTGAAATATGGTTTAAGATCATTTGTGATTTTGCTATAATTCTCATTGTCAGGGGATTTACCAAGTACGGCCGTGCTGATTATCTGAAGTGGAAGTCTGAGAACAGGATTGTTCCTGATGGTGTAAATGCAAAGGTAGCAATACTCTAGTGTGGTAGAATATTATCCCTTTCAAACAGTGTTTCTACCACTGGTTTATTCTCTTATATCTGTGTATTTAATTCATTATGCAACTTAGACTGAATTATGCACATGTTTTAGTGATATCTTCCTTGCCTTCATGGAGCTGAATAATTTCCCTTTTTTCTTAAACCCTCCTTGGTTACTGTTGTGTGTACTAAACTTTGAAATGCTATTTGCTTATGATCAAACTTACTTGTGGATTTGTCCCTTCATGGTTATTGGCTTTCTAAAGTTGAACTTGTGATTTATAAAAATGTGCAGCTTCTTGGATGTCATGGACCTTTGGCTAATCGTCAACCTGGAAGAGCTTTTCTACCTGCATCAACATAGACTCTTGTCTACCTATAAAATCTTGACGTGCTCTCCGAAAGCTTCTGTTGAACTCATTTTTAGTTTATTATTATAGTATGTTTTATTCTGTGTGTCTTTCCTCAGTTGAACAGATGTTGTTGAGGACCAGAATATTTGGTTTGTGAATTGTTACTCGCACTATGGTACTGAGTTTGTTATTGAATTGCAGTTTATTATCATTTCCACTTTGTTTCCTTGAGAAGCCTAATGTTTATAGTCTTTCATCTCATTTATTGTGTTTCAAACTAATGCAATGTGCCCTTTACCAATTGTTCAATTGACTAGGCAAGCTTAACGATTAGCTGAAAACGTAGAAATTTTTTGATTTTTCATTGATCTGGACTGCAGCCTGCAAGCCCTTCGAAGCCAATTTGTCTTGAGTTGAAATGAATCTCTTGGATTCTTTTGCTTGTCAGAAGTCTGACTAAAATTTGATACAGAATTTGTTGTTGACATAAAGAACTATGACATTTTCTTTTGGTACGGGGATTGGGGAGTTACAATGTTAAAATGCCAAATTCAAGCCACTTTTTTTATGTGTCGAAGACTAAAATTCTTTAATCAGCTTCTCAGCTCGCTTAAAAAGAAAAATTACTAAAAAAAAAAAAGAAAAACCGACCACGGTTAACTTGTCCATGGAGAACGAAAGCTATGAGTGATGCTATTTCCACTTCGACTTTTTCTCTTAAAATTCAACTATCATTAACATCTATAGTTTTTTTCTTCACACCCCAAATCAAAACATAAATTTAATAAAAAATTCAAACACTCACCTCTTTACACCCACTCTTTTTCAACCAAAAACCTTAAACCCTTTAGGGATTAAATCTCAAATCAAGTTCCAATCACTCATTTATTGTTAAATAGTTTAAAATCAAAGATAATTTTTTTTTCGTGTGATTTTATGTTTAATTTCAAAAGATTTAAGATTTAAGAATTTTTTTTTCGTGTGATTTTATGTTTAATTTCAAAAGATTTAAGATTTAAGTTTAAAAATACGATTTAAAGTATGATTTGAGTATTTTAGAAATGAATTCTCAAAAATTGTTGAAGGTTTCAAGGAAATAGACATCTTGAAATTTCTTCAATACCAAAAATTTATTTTTGAAATTCCTAGACATCTAGTTTCAAAAATCTTTAAAAATTTTTGGAACTGTATTTTCAAAAATTTTCAATGATTTTTGGATATTTAAATTTAAAATTCTTAAAAAACTTTTCAACAATAATTTTTTATACATAATAACTTTCAGACACCAAAAAAATCAAATAACTTTTTAATACATAAAAATTGATCTCATTATGCTATCAATAAATTGGTTAATCCGCTCATAAAACTTTTAATTTTTTAGTCATCAGATACTATCTGTTCAATAACGTTTGTAATATTTTTATAATTCTTACATATTGACATCTAAAAAAAAATGTTAAGTGTGAAAAAATGTTTGCGCAAATTGATTGCTACATCATAAGTGATGTAGTGTGATTGTCTTATCACATATGATGCAGTATCCATTTACACGGTGTTTTTCTATAATTAATGATTTATTTTAGATAAATATTTGTTAGTAGTGAAAAATATTACAAATATTATTGAATGATAATACAACCAAATGATTAGAGATTTCTATTGTCAGATTTAAACAAACCATGTGTCAAAGAGATCATTATAAATATGTTCGGAGATCGCAATAAATGATATTAGATATTTTCATGTCAAACATTAATTAAGAAATCATAAAAAAAAATTAAAATAAAAAATTATTTTCGAAAATATATTTTCGAATAATTGTAATACTATTAAAAAATATATTTTGAATAATTACCATGCTTTTTAAAAATTCATTTTAAGAAAATTTTGGAAAATAAATTTTTTATAACTGGGATATAAAAGATAAAAAATTAATTAATTAATAAATATTTAAGTAATTTCATTAGATTTTTTTTTTTTTTGGGAGTGAAAATAGCTGCACTCAAACCAAATTAGGGCAGGTGAATAAACAAAAATGAAAAAACAGAGAGTGATGATTCTTCTTCCCCAGTTTCCTTCTATACGTTTCAGTTTTTGATAATTGAATATGTGAAGTAAGCTTTCTTTTTGATTGTCGAGAGTTTGTGTGTCCTGTGAATCTAAAATTCTGAACCTGAAAATGTGGAAGCCCTCTTCTTCTTCTTCTTCTTCAAGACTTGTCGCTGCTTTCCTCAAACTTCATTTCAATCGTCATCAAGTCAACGCCTTTGGCATCCCTTCTTCTTCTTCTTCTTCCTCTTCCAATGTTTTCCACCAACTCCCTTCAAATCCCACTTCCTCAAATGCGGGTCTTTCCCAGTTTCTGTTTCGCTCAACCCACCGCCAGCCTCTGACTACCCTTTTGAGAAACCTTTACATTGCTAAACCCAACCTCTTTTCCCCTTCTGGGTTTAGGTTCTTTTCCTCTAAAACCTCTAATCCTGGTCAAAAATTCAATTTCAATGTCACCAAAAACTTTTTCCGCAACCCATCTAATGCCTTAACTTCCACTTTGTCGAGGTATCGCGAGGCTATTGGTTTGCAATTCGATGCCTTTTTCAAGAGGAATTACTTGTTTCTGCTTGGGGCTGGAGCAGTTTTCCTTTGTGCTTTACTCTGGAGGATTATGTTCGCTGTTGCTAACACTTTTGTTGGCCTCTCTGAAGGAATGGCAAAATATGGCTTTCTTGCTCTTTCCACTGCAATTGTTGCTTTCACTGTAAGTTGTTATCTTTCGCTTTGTCTGCTTTGGCTTTTAATTGGTTACTCATACAAGAACTGATACCATTAGCTTTTCTGTTCAGATTGATTGAGGTTGAAATTGAATCATTGACACCGCAATTGGATGTTTCTGCATGGACTTATGAAATGTTGTGAATTGAGTTGTTTATACATGCAAGACTAAATGCATATAAACTTTATATATGCAAACAGTAATTTTATAAGTTTGGATAAATGGTTTACTTTTATTTATTCAAAGAAGAGTTTTACAACTTCTGATGAGATACTCTGGATTTGGAGTTGTTATTCCGTTGTATTGCAAAGTAGCAATAATAGCATGAATCTTTACTTAATCATGAAATTTAGCCATTGAGCTGGTCTTAATTAGTTCGCTGCCATCTTATTGAATACTTTTGGTCCTTAGAAAAAGAAAAAAAAAAAAAAAAACCTAAAAAGAAGAAAAAACTTTCAGTTCTCTTTGTAGACTAATGCATTTATATGCTCCACATGAACATTGCTTCTTTGAACTGCCCATAATTTATAATTATTTTGCTGTTTGTACGGATTGATGATTCTGGCATTTTATTGGAGAACAATGCCATCTTACGTCTTTCTGCTTCATGCTCGTTTCATTATCTTTAGGGCTTATATATTCGCTCAAGATTTACAATAAATCCTGACAAAGTTTATAGAATGGCCATGAGGAGGCTTAATACGGCTGCTGGGATTCTTGAGGTTATGGGTGCACCCCTTACTGGAACAGATTTAAGAGCTTATGTGATGTCTGGAGGTGGACTTACACTGAAAAACTTCAAGCCAAAGCTTAGGAGCAAGCGGTGTTTTCTTATCTTCCCCATCCAAGGTTCTGAGAGAAAGGGTTTAGTGAGTGTTGAAGTCAAAAAGAACAAGGGCGAGGTTTGTTTCTATACTTGCTAATCTTTATAATTTATTGGGCAAACTACACATTAACCCTTGTGGTGCGGGGAGAAACTACTCTCCCTTTCCCTTTAGACTGAGAGATGATGTGTAAAACTATGTAGTTTGCAGCATTGTTACATATTTTTGAAAATGAAAACACTATCCTTACTTTTACCTTGAAGAAATGTGAAAATATTATTCAAGTCATGGTTAAGATTTTATCTAACTCGTATACTTATTCGTGTTATTTGGTGATTTTATTAAAAATAAACTGTTAAGCCTTTTCTCTATGACCACAGAGTGCTAAAGAGTATATTTCGAAAGTTGTTTGATATTAACTGATTATAGTGTAATAACCTTTTTCTATTAACTCAACATATAATAGAGAAAACATCTTCTTGTGTTATCCAACAATGAGACAAAACTTCAATTTTTGAGTTAGTACCACATTTTGAGTGTGTGACCTTGTGAGTTTTCCGTGAAGGCCACACTGACTTATAAACTAAAAATATATACTTCTATTCATTATCCATTGGCCATGATTGGGCTTTTATTATTCTGTTTCTTCATCTTCTAGTCAATTTTGCAGTTTTGAGAGCTCAAATTGAATGTGCACTAAATCCAGTATATTTTACTCTATGTTAACGTTAGAACTCAAAACTGAAAGCACCAAGCTATTTTTTCATATGCCTCATTCTCAAATATTTCATTAATAAGATATTTGTATGAAAATATCTGGGATCTTATTTTTTGGATGAGAAAAGAACCCCCTGGAAATAGAATTCAAAGTCCTAAATCTACTAATTGAGAACATTTCTCTGTATGTCACCCAAATATTTAAGTCCAGATGTTTGTGTAGATAATTATGGGGAATCTCTTCTCTTTTCTTCTTATGAATGATAGAGAGGGAGTTGATGAAGGGGTTTCTCTCTGCCATTCTTTTTAGTAAATAAAATATTTGATGTCTAATGGACTCCGTTCCACATACCATTTCTTGGAAACATATAAAAGGTTTCTGTTATAGTTCCCTGGCTCCCCTTCTTTCTCTTGTGGCAAGTAGCCTTAAACACCACCCCACCCCGCCAAATACCAGGAAAAAAAGATTGATGGTATTTATTTATTATTGTAGAAGTATTGATGGTATATTCTTATATACCTGAGCGATTCTTATTTTCATTTGCAGTATAATATGAAACTATTAGCAGTAGACATTCCCATGGTATCAGGACCTGATCAGCGGCTATTCCTGATTGGTGATGAAGAAGAGTACAAGGTTGGTGGTGGATTAATCTCTGAGCTGAGAGATCCTGTAGTGAAAGCAATGGCTGCAACCAAGGAATTTGATGACCTTGACCAAATTGAGGAAGAAGAGGATGCTGAGCGAGAACTTCAAGAGGCTGAAAGAAAGCACCATGAAGAAATTGAAAAGCTTGAAAAAAGTGGCAATCAATGATTGTTTTCCAGATTTTGTTCATCCTCCTTTCTTTTGTTTACTGAAGTTTCTGAAAGTTTGTTTGATACTTTTTACAAAGCCAGATAAATTGAGTTGATAAGCAGTATAAGCTTGCGGCCGTTTTGTCTCCAAATATTTTAATGGTCTTGCAGTCAAATGGCCCTGTTGAAAGAATAAATATTACAACAATTGAAGTACCGTGCATAACATGACATACGGTTTTTGCCATGTTGAGAACATTCTTTCAGTCATCTACGATGCCCTGTTATCATGCCTTTTCCTTCAGTGACTCCTTGGACAGGCAACTATGAAAATTTGTTTGTTTTGAGGCTATTGCAGATGCAAGGAACTATTAGTTTTAGCTGGAGTGATACCATCCTCCCTATTGCTTCTTTCCTTCCAAGCGAGTTTCAGCACTGGGACTGCAAAATTTTTGCCCCTCAGGCCTCAGGGAGTGTTTGGCCCAATGGGTTCAAAGTCCCAGTCTCCTGTTGTTCTCTGAACTCGTGATTTTTGCAAAAAACTTACTCCAGCCCTCAGAAAGAGGGCAAGTAAAAGAGACGAGATCTCAGGTTTTATTATCATTGCCACGGAGAAAACATGTTATTTTTGGCACAGACCAATCTAATTCTGCAATCTTTCCAATGTTGGCAACTTTTTAAAGATAGACGTCCACCGAGGCATTAGACTTTATGTGCGGCCAATTTCAATCACCATCCATCCCTCTAGCTATTGCTGCAATACAAGCTGCTTATGAAATCCAGAAGCCAGCATAATCTTGTCATTTTCTGATGAGAGGAGAGAGGCCTGAGGGCGTCAATTATTATTTCATACACATTTATTGGATATGTGCCAGTGTTAAGTGCATTGTCATTATTGGTGATCTGATCTCGCTCTAAGAAACGATTGGCTGTCAATGCTAGTTTATGCATGTATTACTATTTACTACGCTGGATGAAATAACCTTGTTATGTTTTCCTAATGCAGGTATTGAACTAGCGGTGCATCTTTTCCTAATACACAAACTAAAGCAATGAATCATAAATTCTCGCAGATTCAGTCACTACCAGCACAGCTTAAGATGATGTTTTTGATGTTACTGTCAGATACTAAAGTAATTATTAAACGGGTGCTAGCGGTCAACTACCCTCTGCCAATTTACCCCATTTTAGGGTTCAGTCAGTCTTAAATTTGAATAGTTCTTTAATCCCCTGCCTGGATGCTGGTCATGCCCCGTTTATTACTCAGACGTAGGTAATGAATTTGGAAAATGACTCCTAACCAGAAAGAACTGTTGTTTACATCCAACTACCACCACAACCAATCTACCAAGCTCTGCACTGCCCTGTGCTTATACAAAACTTACAATGCTCTTTGTAAGGCCAAAGCTATTTCTTACAATTTACATTTAAAGACACGTGAGTTCAAGTATTGTCTCCTTCATGCTAAAGATAATTATTAGCATTGTTGTTGATTATCAAGTTAAGGTCTAAGACCTTATAATAAATTCTTCATGTTTTCAATTCATCACATCTTTTTTGCAGATGATTCAAATTCATAATAGTGTACTTGGAAGGACCATTATGGAGAATGGTTTACAGACATTGAAATGGAGTACCCCAAACATTTATAATTCAAATTTAAATGACATGGTTAAGTCTGCATGATTGGTTCTCTTTAGATCCATCAAAATAAAAACATTCACTTTAGCTTTTGTACGTGTAAAAGATGGAGCGAGAAGGAAACCACAACTTTTTGGGACTAGGGGCCCAGTGTAATGGCCTTGAAAACCTTCACCCCTTTTCTGGATTCTGCCTACAGCACCATCAAAAGGAAAAAAAACAAAGGAAGTCAAGGGATAAAAACTAGTTAAGCAGGGTTCTATTTGATCCCTATTTTTACTAGGCAAAACCTCTTTTTGTTGAAGTTTTAATGAATTTGCTCTCCAGCATTACAAATTAGTTCTACTAACCTGGCTATCATCTCAAAAGCTAGTAATAGACACCGCATCTAACTTGGATTTGGTGCTGCCAGCAGCTAATTCTGCCGCATTAATTTGGATATTAACATTAGTACTTTAATGTATGACAAATTCTGAGGCAAACTCTCAATTTTCTACACATTAGAGAGAGCATGATGCTTCTCAGGAAAAAAATGATTTCCCATTCAATAGGGAAATGAGGTAACAGATCTCGGGCTTACTACTCCAAAATGGTGATAATTGGTCAGGTAAATTGCGGTGATTAGAGATATATAATTCTTTTTCATATCAGGCCAAAATTTACTTAATGGAAGTATGCAATCTTTGTTGTAAACACTGTTACGAACTTGGAAAGATAGAGTCAAAGGAAAGGATCATAGCACTGAAAAATGTCCTGAATTGTTGTTTTTGTTTTCCACGCAGGAGAAAAGTTATTAGCAGCTAAAGTAGTGTTAATTATTATCCAACAATTTTCTGTACCTTCCAATAAGTTAGTGTTCTTTCCCATTGAGCTTACTTGTCCCATTTTTAATTGAGTTGTGCTCCCCACCAGAAATTTGCTCCTTAGCCCTTATTCTACTACCAATAGTCAAGGAAGCTAATTGCATACTAACTAATCAGAGATATTGCAAGAGTTGGTGACACCTATATTGCCGTAGTGCTAAAGAGATTACTTTTCATGTAACAAGGCCTTCTCTTTACCGAGCAAAGAATATTGCAACTTTTTCTTTTTCTTTATGTTGATGCTTTTTCTTTTTTTCCTTGGATTCTTTTCCTACCAATTTGCTTTTGATTATGAAAACCCCCCTTTTGTTTTTGTCTTTCAAACTCGTAAATGCATGTAAAGTTTTTAAATTTGGCCAACTCAATTTCCTTCTTAGAGCTTAGCGGTACTAACGCAAAAAAAGCCCGTCTTTTATGACATTTTTTATAGAAAATTCAAACCTCAAATTATGCATAAACTACTATTTATGCTAACACTGTCAATGACTGCATAATTTGCTTTAAGCACCTTTAAGTTGACAGGACTGCATTATTTATACATGTTCAGTTCACTATGCTGCATCGTTTTCTACAGCTGAACCAGGAAAGCAGCAGAAACTACTCAAGTCAGACGGGCATAATTGCCGAATCTTCGTACTGAACAAATGTCCATGAAGTTCCAGCCCTTCCTTGCTTTGCTTACCTTGCTTTTCCTGCATAAATTTCCCCAGGTTGTAGCGGACCTGAATTCTGACAGGGAAGCCCTCCTTGCCTTTGCTGCCGCTGTCCCACATGCCCGAAAACTGAACTGGAAGAAAACTACCCCAGTTTGCACGTCCTGGGTTGGGGTAGCCTGTAATTTAAATGGAACCGGTGTGATTGCCATTCGTCTTCCAGGTATTGGACTTTCTGGTCCCATTCCGGTCAATACCATAGGAAAGCTTAATGCTCTCATGATCCTGAGCCTTCGATCCAACAACCTCAATGGAAATCTTCCTTCTGATATCCCTTCTATTCCTTCCCTCTGCTACCTATTCCTCCAACACAACAACTTCTCTAGTGTCTTCCCAACCTCTCTTTCCCCCAGGCTGAAAGTGCTAGATTTCTCGTACAACTCATTCACTGGAAACATTCCAACGACAGTTCAGAATTTGACACGACTCACTATTCTGAACCTCCAAAAAAACTACATATCAGGAGCCATCCCCTATCTCAATCTCCCAAGTCTCAAAGTTTTAAATTTCAGCTATAATAACTTGAATGGCTCTATTCCAAAATCCCTCAAAAGGTTTCCTTCATCATCATTTATTGGGAATCTGTTGTTATGTGGTTCTCCTCTAAAGCGTTGCTTCACAGTCTCCTCTTCACCTTCTCCTTCTTCTCCGTCTTACTTTCTAGGCCCACCAACAGTTTCTCATAGTCAACATGCTACTTTGAAAAACAAACTAGGTGCTGGCTCTATCATTGCAATAGTAATTGGGGGCTTAGCAATTCTGCTCCTGCTAGTAGTGATCTTTATACGCTGTTTGAAGAGGACAGATGGTGGGGGCAGCGGCATGATGAAGAAAACAATCTCTGGAGGTGGAAAGAGTGCGAAACCTAATGATTTTGGAAGTGGGATACAGGAAGCTGAAAAGAACAAATTGTTCTTTTTTGAAGGATGCTCTTACAACTTTGATCTTGAGGATTTGTTGAAGGCTTCAGCCGAAGTTCTTGGTAAGGGAAGTTGTGGAACGACATATAAAGCTGCTTTGGAGGAGGGGACACAAGTGGTAGTGAAAAGATTGAAGGAAGTTGCAGTTGGGAAAAGGGAGTTTGAGCAGCAAATGGAAGTGCTAGAGAGGATCGGACGACATCCAAATGTTGTGCCACTCCGTGCTTATTACTATTCAAAGGATGAGAAGCTGTTGGTCTACAACTACATGCCAGCCGGTAGCCTGTTCTCGCTCTTGCATGGTATGCTTATCTCAACTCCATTGCAACATCATTCTCTGTTAGCGTCATAAGGCCCTATTAGTTTTGCTAAGTAGAATAAGAATGTAGTTTCTTTCCTTTTTGTCTTCTCTATTCATGCAACCTGAAAGAGAATTGCACTTTGAACAGTGCAAAGCGTAGCATTTAAGTGATTATTTTTCCCAAACTACGGTCTGTTGACATTAATCATTCCAAAAAGAACTTAATACCACAATTTTGTCAACATATCTGAACAAACAGGATGGCTTTGCCCTTCAGTAATTGCTTAATACATGCTAGGAAAGCATTTACTAGTAGTAGCTTGTAACTTATTTTTCAAAAGTACCTTTAATAGATGCAGGACTCCAAAAGAATGATCAAGTTGTTTAGTATGTAATGGAGCTGGTTGACATTTAAGCCCTCACAGATTGCAGAAGAAAATGAAATGCTCCACTTAGTTTCATAGAAAGTCTGAGTTTAAGAAATCTAAAGATTTTCTAGTAATAAATTGTTATCGAAAGACTGAGTTTACTTTTACTTAGTAAGAAATCTAAAGATTTTCTAGTAATAGATTGTTAGTTGGCCACCATAATTCTTGAATCAAGCTACCCATGCCAGTTCCACAAGAAAAATGTAATACATCATCCGGAACAGGAGCAATGTCTGAACATGTAATTAACATTTGTAAGTATTAGATGCAAATTCAACATTTAGGACTCATCACTTTGACCCACACCAGTATTTTCAGGGGACTTCTCATTTACTTGGAAAGTCTAAATACTCTACTGCAAAATGTCAACGTAGAAATGTTGTTTGTTGTATTGGTATCGATACACTGGCAGTAACAGGCTCGGATTTGTACCTTTGATTGTTATGTTAAATATATATATATAATCTGCTGCACTACAGACATGTTTCTTCAACATCGATTTTCCTTACACCATTATTTCAGATGTTAATCTTTCTTTCCTTATTAATCTGTTTCCAACAATGATAGGAAACAGGAATGCAGGAAGAACTCCATTGGACTGGGATTCAAGAATGAAGATCGCCCTCGGAACTGCTAGAGGAATTGCACACATTCATGCCGAGGGTGGTGGTAAATGCATCCATGGCAACATCAAGTCCTCGAATGTCCTCCTCAGCGATGAACTTGAGGGTTGTGTCTCTGATGCTGGATTGGTTCCTCTAATGAATGCCCCTGTAACCATGTCTCGCATCGTTGGGTACCGTGCTCCAGAGGTGATAGAAACACGCAAAGTAACTCAAAAGTCTGATGTTTACAGCTTCGGTGTGCTGCTCCTGGAAATGCTGACAGCGAAAGCTCCCCTCCAGCCATCAGGACATGATGATGTGGCTGATCTTCCAAGATGGGTCCGTTCTGTTGTGAGGGAGGAATGGACTGCTGAAGTCTTCGATGTGGAGCTGTTGAGATTCCAAAATTACCAAGAGGAGATGGTACAGATGCTTCAGATTGCGCTAGCATGTGTGGCAAAAACACCAGAAATGCGTCCAAAAATGGATGAAACTGTTAGAATGATAGAGGACATTCGACAATCTGAATCCAAGAACAGGACATCATCAGAGGCTGAATCAAACATCCAAACACCATGATTTGCATGCAACAAAATTTCTGCTCTTTGGACTCAAATGTTCAATCCCTTGGGATAATAAGCTACTTTTTCCTTTTTTTCTGGGAATTAACTATTTCCAAATTGTCATCACTTTGACTGACAAGCTTTGATCAATGCTCTGAACCCATGATCTTTTGATGAAAGTGTCATCCTCAATCAACTATAAATGTTTCCCTCATTGCAATACAGGATAATATGACCAAAAACTTAATCAATATGGAAAAGTGATATATAAGATCAAGAAAAATAGACTTTTTTGTAATTCCATGCCAAATTTAGCAGTTAGTTACAGGATTCCTTATAACTAATAATAAACAAACTCATTCTGTCAAAAATGGAACATGAAATGGCAAAGACTCAAGAGTTAGAGATAGAACATGATAGCATCTCAAATCCTATATTCTCGGTTACATCCATTGGTTCTTCTATTTCTCGATCCTCTAAATTCTTTTCGTTTTTTCCCCTCTTTTCCGTTTTCGTCAAGGAGGGCTGTAATCACATGATTTCATTGGAAATGCTTTGATTACAACAAAAATATCAAATCCAAAGTATCCCAAGGTAGATTTTTTTTTTTTGTCATTTATTGTTCTTCATACGATGATGATCAAATTTGTTGCAATTTTTTTATTTTATTTGTATCATAATTCTAAAGATTTCGCGCAAACATCTTGTTTTCCTTCCATTGCTATCCTTAAATCTCCATTGGAGAATGAAACTGAAATGAGAAGGATTAACAGCTCCCATTTACATTAGGCTTTTAAGGTGGCACATTCAATTTGCCTTGGATATGACACCATGTCTATGAAGAGAGACGACTCTAAATCAAATGTTTTTGAGAGAAAAGATAGGTAGAATAACCAATAGAGGAATCTTTTCCAGGGAATTTTAGTGCAGAATATATTAAGAGATTACGGGATTCTTTGAGCTTTGAAATCAAGAACGATAAAATTCAATCTTTTGCCTTTCCCTTCTTACATGTAGGATTCATTAGAACTTTTTCATAGCAGAGCTCCTCTTTTTCAGAAGTAAGTAAATAGTCCTGGCAATCTCATTTTATCATTTTTGCAGGGGCCTGCTGTAACTTCATCAACAGGGGTCAGTTGGGCAAATGGGACATCGTTGGACCAAGGTGAGCCGTTTAAAACAAGCTGATTACAATGCCAAAAACAATGCTTTTGATGTAAGTTTTAGTTGCCTTTTTCCTCGTTACATTTTTACAGATTACATCCACTTTTAAACGCTTCTAAATTTGAAATTCCTTTGAAAGAATGTTGCCTTCTCCCAATTCTTCTTTTTTTTCCTATTTTTGTTTCATTTGTTTGTTTGTTTTAATTAATATTCTTTTTACATGACCTGGATATGTAAAACTGATAACCATATTCACTTGATTCTCATAAAACTGCTGCCAACTCACTAACATTTCAAGAAGCAACAAAATTTGGTTGCACTTGCACATTAGAAAGTTTTTGCTTCTCCAAAAGACCTCTTCACCTCATTCAACTTTCTCTTGTTACTGACAACAAAAACATAACATGTTATGACATTATCACAGGCCATCACTTGTCATTCACAGAATTTCTTTACACGCGTTCCAGTCATTCTTATATACCAAGGCACCTATACTTTTAGCATGAAGCTGGTCACTTGTAATCCTTAATATTTTAGTAACTGCAGCAAGAGACTTGCAGAAGTTTAACAACAAATTAAAGCATTGTGTTTGTATGTTAAACAATCCCAAGTTCCCAAACAGCATCAGTCCTTGTCAAGTGCACCCTGCAAAAGTATATTGACAAATACCTTTAGAGACAGTCATTGCCTTACAGGTGCCTTCAGTTGACAGGAATGCCTTTGGTTTCTTAAAAGCATTGTTTCAAAGTGTACCAACCTATGTGTTTCTTTGTGAAAACAAGACTATTTCATTGTTGATGTCAACATCCATCAAAAGTGCTTCTCCTATATGGTATTCTCATTTCTGAGGTCTCAGGTTATTATGGTTTCTAATCTGAAGTTCCCCGGTTTCAGTTCTTAAGCAATATTTATATCTAATTGCAGTTAAAGATGTTAAAACATGCTTCTGATCATTGTTGATGGTAAATTTGCTGTATATATATTCCATAATCCATGTTAAATCACTTCTGGTACACAGTTCTTGCAGTTCTTCAAATGTCGTATGGGAGATGTGAAAGATCATCAGGACCGACATGTGGAATTTGCCAGCAGAAACGTTCACCATATAACTACCATACAGAGCTGGGAGGAAAAACTAACAGAGGCAACCAGGGATGGAAAGATAGTAAGTCTATAATGCCTTCACATGTTCCACTGGTGGAAAACACGAAGACTTTGTCAGATGGAATTGCAAGTGCTAAATCATGATTTCTATGTCAATACAACATGTCTAAATTATGCAATTCAAGGAGAACAACATCTCAATATAAAAAAATATACTTGCTTTAGTACTATGTTTCACTCTTGGACAGATACAAAATGATTGATCATTGATATGCCTCAAGTGTCTTCATCTTTTCTTTTTATGTTATTTCTTTGAAGAGGCTTCTTGGCCTATTCCACTGCATTGAATAGATACTTCCATCTCAGAACATGTGCCACTAGCATGCCGATGATGATAAAAGATATACTTGCTTTCTTGTCACTTGCTTGATTCTACATTGTAAGTTCTCCAATGATTTGCATAGAAGTAAAATGGGTTGTTCATTGTCAATGGTATGGAATCCATCTGAAATTCCCCATCTTTAATTGAGCCATGAAACTTAAAGTGTGCAGGATGATTTTTCTATTGTATTTCACTTTTTGCTTTTGTCTGCTTCATTTTTCTTATTTCTTTCTCATTTCTTTAGGACCAAAATAACTTGTACAAGATAATGGTGAGCATTGGAGTTCTCATATGCGACTATTGCCATTTAAAGCCACTCGAATTTCTCACTTAATTCTGGTTTAATTTCTTACATTTGACATTTTCTCCAAACTTGCCAACAGCTTGTTGCAAATTTCAGTGCACCGTGGTCAGGTCCTTGTAGATCAATAGCACCAATCTACTGCGAGCTTGCAGATAAATATCCTTCTTTCATGTTTCTAACTGTGGATGTCGATGCGCTTGCAGTAAGTGAAAACACTTTTCTATCTTGATAAACCTCTCCAAAGAAGTAACTTTGGGCATAACATGACACTTCCCTTTATATGAAACGCCATTGTATTCCTTCAAATGCAAGAACAACTATATATGTCTTAATATTTTTGGACCCTGTACCTTAACCGTCACCATTCTAGAAGAAGACATATATCAGTTAACCGGTCCTTCATTATATAAATCATTGTCTTGAATTGCTAGTTAATGCCTAAGAGATAACTTGATGACTTATGTTGTCTTACCTTATACAGGAGTTCAGTACTTCATGGGATATCAATGCTACTCCAACATTCTTTTTTCTTAAAGATGGAAGGCAGGTGGACAAATTTGTAGGTGCTGACAAGGTAGAACTCCCAAAGAAGATAGCAGCAGTTGCTAATCTCACAAGCAGGTTTTGAGTTGACAGCGTTTTCCATAACCCAATCATAGTTTTTTAGCAAGCTCTCACGTGTAATGTAATGACCGTTTCACCAGCACTTGCAATCGATGTCCTTTGTACAGAAAATTTTGAATTTTAAAGTGGAAAAATATAGGGAAAATGGTTTTCTCAAACAATAATATACAGAAATTAACATCTGCTCTCTGAAGACACAGTTGGTAATGTGAAAGGAGGAAGGATATTTTGGAGTATCCTTCGGTCTGTCTGTCTGTCTGTCTGTGTCTATCATGTCAGCCTTAAACAGCCTTGACTGCCAATCAAAATAGTTACATGTGGATCAATTCACCGATTAATGAGAAACAAACTAATTTTGACATTAAAATGAAATTATCAGGAGATTGGCAATACTGAATTTGAGCATAGCAATGCTTTGTTTCATTTCTCTATCAAAATGTGTTGCATCACATGTACAAAATACATAGTTCCTTTCTCTGTCCATGTCCCCTTCTTAATTCCCCCTTTATTCCAGTATCAAGCACAAACGGTAGGCTAACATAGAGCTCTTATATACTAATCATCTCAGAGTAAATTCAAAAGAGACAGAAACAGAGCTGCTAAAATTGAAATTAAGAATGCAATTTGGCTCTTGCTTGTCCTTGTGGCATCACTGATAAAGGTGGTTCCATTGAATCCTACGAAAAGATGACAGCATCTAAGTTATGTAGTCCAACTAGAATGTTAATGGTTGAAGCAACTAGGTATGGCATCTCTACTACAACTTTTGCAACTTGTTCTGCCATTTTATCAACTTAGGTAACATGATGGATCTGTGTATGGTGATCCATTTTGTTAGACAAACAACTTTTGTAGTAGTTAAATAAACTTTTGTATTTTGATGCCTATAAATTAATGAAATGAAGTTCGTGATCAGTATGAGCCAATTTATTGCAATTACCAGATTAGTTTCGTCATTTTCTCCCTTGTTCTTCCTCTACTCTAAATCCTTCAATTAGTATCAGAGCTTCTATAAGGTCTTATAGGGCCTGTAAGCTATTGAAATTGAGTGAAAAGCCATCAAACATTTACCAACTAGCTTTTGTCAACCTTAAATGGCCTCAAGCAACTACTCCTTACATCCACCTTCCTGGTTTTTCTAATTAGAACTATTAAATATGGGCTGTCAAAAAGAAATCTTATTTGAGTGCTTTTGATTTGTGGAAAGTGGTGAAAAATGAGAAAGAACCACCACAACTTCTTACAAATCCAATAATAACTCAAATGAAAAATTATAGTAAAGAAAAAACAAAGAGGTACAAGGCTAAAAGCCGTATTGAGTCATCAGTTTTCGATGATATATTCATCAGAATCATGACCTGTGATACTACAAAACAAGCTTCGAATATGCTTAAGGAAGAATTCTAAGGTAGTGACAAGACAAGACAAGTGCAAGTATTGAATTTTAGAAGAAAGTTTGAAGTCTTAAATATGAAGAAGTTTGAAAATTTAAAGGAGTACAATGACAGACTCATGAAGATAGTAAACAAAATTAGATTTCTTGGTGAGGAGCTGTCAGACAAAAGAATTATAAAAAAAGTTTTGTCAGCTTACCACAAAGGTTTGAGTAAAAAATTTCATCCCTTGAAGACTCCAATGACCTTAACGAGATAATTCCAGCAGAGTTATTCAATGCTTTGCAAGCTCAAAAGCAAAGAAGGGCTATCAAACAAGAGGATTTAACATAAAGTGCTTTTACAGCCACGGAGAAAGACAAGATGCAAACAAAAAGCAAATGCAGAAAACAAGGAGATCGAAGAAACAAAAGTTTTGAAAATAATGAAAAGATAAAAACTTTTCCACTTTGCTCTCATTGCAAAAAGACTACTCACTTGGAGAAATAGTGTTAGTATAGACCTGACATATAATGTAAGTACTTTAAGTAGCTTGGTCACATAGAAAAAGTATGCAAAAACAAAAAATAGTAGTAGCCAGATCAACAAGCCAAGGTTGCTAACAACCAACAATAGCTAGAAGAGCAAGTTTTTATTGCAACTTGTCATGCAACCAGAACCTCCTCAAGTGCATGACTTATTGACAATGGATGCACACCCCATATGGCATCTGATATCAACATGTTCAAAGAATTAGACAAAATCTGTACCTCTAAAGTCAGAATAGGTAATGGTGATTTCATAAAAGTCAAAGAAAAATAAGTAATGGCTATTAAAACACCAACAGGTCCCAAACTCATTTCAAATGTGCTACTTGTGCCTAAAATAGATTAAAACCTGTTAAGTGTAGGACAGTTGCTAGAAAATAACTACTATTTAGTTTTCAAAGAAAAGGCATGCATAATTCATGATCCCACTGGCCACAAATTTTTTACCATTAACATGAAAAGAAAATGTTTTTCCTTGAATTGGCATGAAGCAAACTCCTCTACAAATGCTAGTTCACATGATGAATCTATTTTATGGCATAAAAGGATAGGACATTTCAACTATAATGTATTGAATTTCATGCATAAAAATGATCTTATATTAAACATGCCTACCGTTGAAGTCAGTGCTAGAGTGTGTGAAGTTTGTCAGCTAGGAAAACAAAGTAAGCTGCCATTTGCAATTAATAAAGCATGAAGGGCAACTGAAAAACTACAACTTGTTCATACTAATGTTTGTGGTCCTATAAAAACATTATCCTTAAATGATAGTAGATATTTCATTACTTTTATAGATGATTTTACCATAATGTTTTGGATTTATTTCATGAAACAAAAGTATGAAGTTGCACTTGTATTTTGGAAGTTCAAAGCTTGGATTGAGAATCAAAATGGCTGCAAAATCAAAATCATAAAGGTAGATAATGATACTAAGTACACATCTGACAAATTTAATGAGTTTTGTGAAGTTGTAAGAATTGAACACCAACTCACAGTAACTTACATTCTACAACAAAATGAAGCCAGTGAAAGAAAGAATAAAACAGTCATGGAGATGGTAAGATGCATGCTGTTTGAAAAGAATCTTTTCAAGAAGTTTTAGGCAGATGCAGTCAATACCTCTGCCTACTTGCTCAACTGACTGCCCATAAAAGCTTTGAAGGGAAAAACATCATTTGAAGCCTAGTATGGAAGCAAACCATTAGTCCAGCATATTAGAGTTTTTGGCAGCATCTATTATGTGTTTGTTCCTAAAATCAAAAAGGACAAACTTGATCAAAAAGTAAAAATCTATATTTTATGGGCTATAGCAACATCACCAAAGATTATAGGACTTACAATCCACTTACAGGCAAGACGATTGTAAGTAGGAATGTGAGATTTAATGAGCAAGCTGCTTGAAATTACGAAAAGTCAAAAGAAGAATCAATCAAGCAAACTGTTGCAGACATGATAAGTTTTCAAGATAAAAAAGATTACATGTTTGTAAATGAAACCATTGATCATGAACTAGTGAGAAAAATCACCCCTTTTATAGATATTTATCAAAGATCAAATGTTGCCATTCTTGAACCTGCAAACTTTGAAGAAGCTATCAAAATTATAGAATGGAAGAATGCCATGAAAAAGGAGTATCAAATTATTGAAAAGAATCAAACTTGGATGTTGGTTGATAAACCAAGTAATAAAAACATTATTGGTGTTAAATAGATCTTCAGAACAAAGTTAAATGCAGATGGTTGCATCAATAAACTAAAAGCTAGATTGGTAGCTAAAGACTGCTCCTAACAGCATGGTGTTGATTTTTTAAAGACATTTCTTTCAGTTGTAAGGTTGGACACCATAAGGTTGCTATTAGCCTTAGCAATTGGGAAAAGTTGAAAAATATACCAACTTGATGTCAAATCTGCCATCCTGAATGGTTATCTTGAGGAGGAGATATACATTGAACAACCTAACAGTATTGTCACGCCCCGAGATCAAAACGTAACACGGTCATATTACCTTAAAAAAAATCTCAAAGTAATACGAAGCTTTCTTTCTTAAACATTCTAAAACTTTTTAATAAAATAATTTATCAAGTAAAATTCATATATTTAATCCAATTGATGATACATCTTTATATATCCAAATACAAATCATATAAAATACAAAACTATCTCTTAAGATCTCATTGGTCAACATATTCTCCGACGACTAAGTAATCTTTTCCATTTCATCTTCTAGCTTCACACAAGAATAACCAAACTTATCACTTAGTCATTTGTAAAAAAAAGTAAAAGAGGAATGAGCAAACCACAGCTCATAAGTATAGGCTCACACATCTTACCAAATCAAGCATCGTTTTCTTACACATCATATAGATCATTCAAAATATTCATCAAATCATAATATCAAAACATTTCAAGATCATCATTTTATCAAATATTTTATAAATTCATAAATAAACGTCAAAATATATCACTTCATAAATCATTGTAAAATATGCTATCATTCAAATATCTTAATCAAACCAAATCATGGATTAATCATTAAAAATCATCGCAAATCATCATCATTATAAATCATCATTATCATTGGTTTATCGTTAGCTACGGTCACTACTATAACCCGTGACATTGATCGTATCGACAATTTCATCCTCATGATCAGTGCTAACTATTATAACCCGCTAACTAAGGTCTTATGCTAACTACTATTACTTGTTAGCCAGGGTTGTATGATCATGTCTTTGCTAACTACTATTACTCGTTAGCCAGGTCGTAGAACTAGTTTGGTGTCGATGATCCCACTTTCCAGGGATGTAAAAATATAGCCATCACAAAATCATTCTTTAAACATAAACCATTTTCTCATTTCATTCATAAGCATGATCCATCGTTTATATAAAGAAACACAAAATAATCATATGCTTGATCCTATTTTCATACATTGAAAATAGTGAAATAAAATATTCATTCAATTAGAAACATACATATATACATAGTTTCGAAAACAAACAAAGTGTGTGAGATTCTACTTACCTCTTTTTGATTCCACCACTTAGTTTTTTCTCCAAAATAATTAATGGCCTATCCAAGATCATTTCAACAGATCAGAATTTATCAACCCTTTTTAGACCATTTATACAAAAATCAACTAAGTTACACAAGAGTTAACTTAACTAATTAATACTGACAGCCTGACCTCTTTTCATTAAAATAGTCATATCTCAATATATCCAAATCAGAATTATGATTTCTTTATTGCGTTAGAAACTAGACTTGATAAGCTTTCTAACCATATATGGCACACCTCATAATTCCTTGTAGATTAATTATAACGATTTTTGAAATCCACGTCATATACTGCTGCCAAACAACCTGTATGCCTTCCAATAAAAATTATATATTTATTCACAGAAAACTCCAAATTTAATTCCGCTTATTTTATTGGAAAGTAGACTCAATAAGCTTTCCAAACATATATGGCTTAATCTGTAAATCCTTGAATACAAATTAAGAAAAATTTCAAAATTCAACCCTGATGCTACTGTCTTACAGCCTGTATATCCTTAAGTTAAAATTAGATAACTCTTCATAAAAAACTCAGATTTGACTTTCGTTTGTTTCATTAGAAACTAGATTCAACATGCTTTCCAATGATATATAATAATCACAGCAATAATCTATCCATTAATACAAAATTTTATTTTAATTTATTATTACAGATCACAACATCTCATTCAAAAATAGAATTTCTCCTTCAATCTTTAAAAACTCAAATCCTTACTTTCAGTATTCAAACTCCATTCAATAATCATCAATAAATCTTAAGAACATGAAATAAACAAAGCTTAGTAATTTACCCAAATAGATCATCAAGATTAATGAAGGATGTCATGATTTTTCTTAGTTTTGCTCTCAAAACTTCAACTCCAAATAATAGCAATCAACTTGATATTTTTTTTTAAATAAAAAGAGGGCATGTACTTACCTTTAAGGGATTAACTTGATTGTAGCCTCTGATTGTGAATCTCCAACTTGATTTTTCATATTTTCTAACTCTAAGGAAGATGAGAAAGAAGAACTCTATTTTCTTTCTATTTCACGATAGTTAGGTTTTCTTTCATCAATACTTCAGTCCTTTTTCTTTTACTAAATAATATCTTAATAAACTGATGGGCTTTAGTATTAGTCTAGCCTAATTATTATTTGGGTTGGGGTATTACAAGTATTGTTGCCAAGAAAAATAAAGATAAAGTCTATCTACTCAAAAAGGCTTTGTATAGATTAAAACAAGCTCTAAGAGCTTGAAATTCTAGAATTGATGATCATTTGCTAAGGTTAGGATTCAAGAAAAGCCTTAGTGAAGCAACATTGTATATTAAGGTTTCTAATAGTAATGATTTATTAATTGTTTCTTTATATGTTGATGATCTTTTGGTGACAGGTAATAAATAAACTATTGTGGAATATTTTAAAAATCAAATGAAAGAAGTTTTTGAGATGACAGATATGGGAGAAATGTCTTATTTTCTTGGAATGGAGATTCATCAAGACCAGCAAGGAATCTTCATTTGTCAAAGAAAATATGCAAATGAAAACCTGGATAAGTTTGGGATGAAAAATTATAAACCAATCAATACCTTTTTGGCTCAAAATGAAAAACTCATCAAGGAAGATGGAGTTGACAAAATTTATAGTTCTATTTATAGAAGCTTGGTGGGTTGCTTATTGTATTTGATAACAACAAGGCCAGACATCATGTATGCTGCAAATTTACTCTCTAGGTTCATGCAAAATCCTAGTGAGTTGCATTTTAAGGCTACAAAAAGAGTGTTAAGATATGTCAAAGAACCAATGAACTTGGAATTTGGTTCAAAAGAATGAACGTTCAAGATTGGTTGGATTCACAAATAGTGACTAGGCTGGCTCTCATGAAGACATGAAAAGCATTTCAAGTTATGCGTTCTTCATTGGATTAAATGTATTCAATTGGAATTCAAAGAAACAAACTATGGCTCAATCGACAGCAGAAGTAGAGTATATAGCTGTTACAGCTACCATTAATCAAGCAATTTGGCTAAGGACAATTTTGATGGATTTGAGTTAAAAGCAAGATAATCCAACAGAAATTTTTTATGGTAATCAGTCAACATTTACAATGGTCAAAAACCATGTGTTTCATGGAAGAACTAAGCACATTAAGATCAGTATCACTTTATTAGAGGAGTTGAAGCTGAAAATGAAGTGAAGCTAGTGCATTGCAAGTTAGAAGATCAAATTGCAGATATTCTGACCAAGGCCTTATCAAAGGCAAGGTTTGAAACATTAAGGAAAAGTCTTGGTGTTTCTAGTAGAAATGCCAAGGAGAAGTGTTAGTGGTTGAAGCAACTAGGTATGGTATCTCTAATGCAACTTTTGTAACTTGTTCTACCATTTTATTAGTTTAAGTAGCATGATAGGTAGTATGATGGATCTGTGTATGGTAATCCATACTATTAGGCAAACAACTTTTGTAGTAGTTAAACAAATTTTTATATTTTGATGCCTATAAATTAATGAAATGAAGCTCATGATCAGTGTAAGCCAATTTACTGCAATTACCATATCAGTTTCTTCATTTTCTCCCTTGTTCTTCCTCTGCTCTAGATCCTTCATAGAAACTCACATTATGCTGTTTTATACTCAAGGAACAATTACTAAAATCACATCCATTGGTGACTGTGAAATTGAGGTCCTGCACTGTAGCCTTGTCGATAACTTATAGTCTTGCCTAACCAGATGAACGCAAGTCAACACTGCATTTGTATGTTCTCCACACCCTCCAGATTTACAAAAATCTTCCTTGTCAGCGGTGGTTACATTCATCCATGGTGCTTCGGTTAGCGTATACTTTGAGGAACAACTGTCTGATTTCTATTAAATACAATCCAAGCAAATGACACAAGAATTAGAAGGTGGGAAAAAACTAAGAAAAATTAGAACTGAAAAAAGTTGAGAATTACAGTTTGCAGGCATTCGTAAGCCCTTTTCCATTGTTGAAATGGACTTAAATTCACATTTCCTGTAGGGTCTGTAACTTGCTTGATTTTTCCATCTGCAAAAGTCATATACAGAACTGCAAATTTTAATAATAATGAAAGAGCATGCATCTCTGCAAGACATTTTGTTTTTCAATTGAAGGATTCTAAATCTGCCAACTTCAATTCTATCCAAATGAACAGTCATCTTAACTTATATCTCTCATCCAATCATGGACTCGTGGCAATGACCAAAACAGATGTGGGCCTTTTTCATTAAGAGGTGTAGAGAAAAAGTCTTGCAAAAGTTGCATGGTACTATTATATTGTACAAATCATTGAGACTTGAGAGCTCTTACAAGAGAAGTCGAAACAAAGTTATTTCTAACATTTCCAGTTTCTCTACAATGTCTACGGCCTACTGAATTGGTGCATTCATGCAGAGAGAGAGAGAGAGAGAGAGAGAGAGAGAGAGGAGAGGGAGAGGAACCTGCATTGATGCGAGAAAACAGAAGAGAAGTCACCAAAAAGCCGTAAAGACAGAATAGTCTTGTTGCGTTGCTTGCTGGTATCTCCATTTGAGCAGCTGGCTCTTAAGGACCTATGAGGAACGATTTTCAATTCAACCTCTTAGTAAGACCTTGTCTTGTTTTTTGCCTTCTCTTAAGAACGTTATAAATCATAATATATGACATTAGATAGTTGAAGACGCCTACGGGATTCATTGGTGGCAATGGAGAATCTGCAAAGAATATCCAAGCCAGACTTTGAAGAAATCCCACACACTCATACAGACAAGTGACGGCATTATTCAAGCGGATAATCAGAAAATTGGAGATAATAATGTTCATTTGGAGGGACCCTTCTGTTTTTTAGTCCACATAATACTATGAATTAACCATAGTTCACTCTTATTTTAGCTTAATTATAAGCCCATCATCTGCAATAACGAAGAGTCAATGCATTGTGCAGAAATATATTTAAGTAACAACACGTCGCAGAACAAGAGTGCATTTATGATTCCTAGACACCAAATTGTCTCTTGTTGCCTAAGCCAATAGTATTTTTTTTCTTCCTTTTTGGTTCTATTGGCTGTTCAACCAATTCGTTAGCTCCAATGGGAATTTCTTGTGCATAGAATTGGCACCTTCCGAAGGCCAAAACAAGACAAACCCGGCCATTTTCTGAGCATTCCCAACTCCATAAATCAGTCATTGAATCCTTCTCACCATGAGCCCATCACTGTTTCTCATAATAAGCTCCTTGCAAAAATTATTTTCGGCATGGCAGAAGGAGGCCAAGCCATTTTCTCAGCTCTTGACAATGCAAAGACTCAGGGTTACCATTTCAAGGCCATCCTTATTGCTGGCATGGGATTTTTTACTGACGCTTATGATCTTTTCTGCATAACTGCTGTGTCCAAACTCATAGGCAGACTGTACTACTATGACCCCACAACTGGCAACCCAGGTGCTTTCCCAAAGGACATAAAAAATGCTGTAACCGGGGTGGCTTTATTTGGAACGCTAGCAGGGCAGCTCTTCTTTGGCTGGCTTGGTGACAAACTTGGCAGGAAGAAAGTTTATGGGATCACCCTTGTCACCATGGTTGGGTGTGCCATAGCGTCTGGCCTCTCCTTCGGTTTCACTGCTAGAAGTGTGATTGGTACCCTGTGCTTCTTCCGCTTCTGGCTGGGGTTTGGCATTGGTGGAGACTATCCGCTTTCGGCTGTGATCATGTCCGAATATGCTAACCAAAAGACCCGAGGAGCATTTATTGCTGCAGTCTTTGCAATGCAAGGAACGGGAATACTTGCTGCGGGACTTGTAGCAATGATTGTCTCCAAGGCATTCTTAGTTGCTTATCCAGCTGACCCATTTAGTGTCAATCCGGTGCTATCGACTCAGCCACAAGGAGATTTTGTTTGGCGGATTGTGCTTATGTTTGGAGCGGTCCCTGCTGCTTTGACCTACTACTGGCGTCTGAAAATGCCAGAAACTGCTAGGTACACAGCATTGGTTCGGGGAGACCAAAAAAAGGCTGCCGCTGATATGGCCAAAGTCCTTGAAACAGACGTAGGTGTTGCAGAAACAAATACCGAGGTTGGCCTCAAATCATCTTATGGATTATTCTCTCCTGAGTTTATGAAGAGGCATGGAGCTCACCTACTCGGGACTTCCACTACCTGGTTCTTGCTGGATATAGCCTTCTATAGTATCCAGCTCACCCAGAATGACGTCTATCCGGCTAGTGGACTGTTGCATAAAGCCTCGTCAATGAATGCTATTGAAGAGACGTTCCGACTATCTAGAGCCATGTTCCTGATAGCACTTTTTGCAACTGTTCCAGGATACTGGTTCACTGTCTTCCTTATTGACAGGATCGGACGCTTTATAATCCAGCTTGGTGGCTTTCTTATGATGTCAATTTGCATGGCAATTCTTGGATTTCGCTATTATGATCTTAGGGGAAAGAAGTGCCATGAAAGTAAGACCAAGGACTATTGTCATGGACACACTGCAGTGTTCATCATTCTCTATGGCCTTACTTTTTTCTTTAGCAACTTTGGACCCAATAGTACAACATTCATAATACCGGCGGAGATATTTCCTGCAAGGTTCCGTTCAACTTGCCATGGGATCTCTGCAGCTGCAGGAAAAGCAGGTGCTATCATAGCTGCATTTGTGTTCCAGACATACACTCAAAATGACAAAAATATTAAGCGGGTAATGGTCGCACTTGCTGTGGTGAACATGATTGGGTTTTTCTTCACTTTCTTGCTGCCAGAAACCAAGGGCCGCTCTCTTGAAGAGATTTCTGGAGAGGACAAAGATTTTGGTGACAAAAAGGTCAATCCTAATGGGACTGAATGGGTTCCAGAAAGTGAAGTGGTTTAGTTACCTGCAGATATTGTCAAATCCTTTTCTCTGGGAGTATAGGTAGCGGGCATCATCTTCAATCAAAACCACATATAACAGACAGAAAAACTGATAAAAGTGAATAAAAACATGCCAGTATTTGCTTATCTTCCTTCGAGGGAAAATGATCTGGAGTCTCTTTAAGATAGTAATAGCTAATGTGTGGCTATCATCTTTGTTTATTGTCTTCTTCTGCTTAGGGTTCCAAGTCTCTGTCGTTTTGAATAAAACAATTTGCTTATTTGATCAACCGAACCCAAGATTAATGATTGACGATCCTGGAGTACCTTATGTAGCATGTAAAATTGCAATAATGATCAAATAAAGGCAGTCCCAGAACTTACAGAATGCTTATCTATTTCCTTTTCTTTTATTTATATCACCACAATCCATGCGATGACTGTTATTACAATGGAAATCGTAGGATACCCGTAAAGGTCTATTTGTATAAGTCTTGCTGGTTCAAGTTCAACATTCTCACCAACTTGGCAAATGTAGATTTTTATACTTTAAAACAGCTACCTTGTGACCATCTAAGAATCAAGGACGTTGTTAGAAAACAACAGCTGAAGCACAAAAAAACATCGTTTAGATCTTTCACAACATCAATCATGTCTTCTTAAAATACATCTTTAAGAGCAGACAGCGGAGTTTGGCTTAAAGAAACAAAATAGAAAAGAAAAACATAAATATATAGTTCATAGTTGACAATTTCAACAAACTCAAGGAGAAAAGCCTGCTCGCACAGCCATCTTCAGCCACTTGGGACTAGCTGAACAGTAAATACCAGACAATATCAAGCATTTCTCTGAAGAAATGAGGCTGCAGGCCTCACATATGTGAACCCCTTAAAGGGATTGTCACCGAATGTTGGACTAGCAACTGGAGAATCAAGAACTGGCATGTTAGTCCAGCACTCCTCAAAATTAGCAACACAGTGCTTCCCTGCAACTTCAGGGAGAAAACTTGGCCTCATCTCCCGAGACTCTAATTTCTTCCAGTTAATGGACTTGAACCACTTATGGCGTTTGATCTCCTCACTACCACCTTGTCCACTGCCAAGACGCTTACTTGCTTCTTTCTGCAGCAGCTGAGGAGAATGATAAAGTCTTTTAAAATCTAAAAGACCTCATTAATTATTTGCAACATCAACCTAGAACATGAATTCTTATGTAGAGGCAAGAAAATTCAAAGAACTGTATGGTCAGGAGGATCGATAAAAATACCATAACTTGAAGCAGTACAATTTAGTTTAACAGCCGTAAAAGTTTTACACTTTTTTGCATAACATTAAGTAGAACAATTAAATTCACAGCTATGCAAGTGTTTTACCTTCTAAGAGCATTAAGTCATTATGGTAAAAGGCATAAATAGATGAGAAAATGAATTTACCCCCTTGAGGATCGAGTGCGCTTCACTTGACAAAAATGCTGGCAGCTTGATCTTATCCTTTATTATTTTCTCCTGGATCTTCTGTCTGTTTCCACCGGTAAAGGGTGGCTGCAAAACAGTAACCAATAACAAAAGTAAGGCTTAGCATGAATAACAAAGAAATGAGTGGGAAGCGAAAGATGCTATATGAATTTCCCCAGGATGTAAGAACAACTCAAGATCGGAAAATCATAAGATTATATTTAAGTAAAACAGATTGGGAACTATGAAAAGCAATTCCGATACTTCTTAAATTGCTCCCCCTCCCCCCCACCTTTGTTTTCCAACTTTACCATACATTATTCTTACTGTAGTGCCACAAGAACAAAAAACAATCTGGAACAATTCTGCATCACTTCTCTTTGATGTATATGTAATTATAGGTAATTATTTTTATGTATCTGTTCCTAGAAGAGACTTCCACTGCAAAAACATATCATCAAAGGACAGAAACAGGCAAGTAAGCTTCCTAAATTAAGAACTTAGCTTCCCAGACCATACAACGGGAAGCATTTAAATGAGTCAACCTATTTACCACAGTTCGTATTGCTCCCAAGTCCAAACATTATTAGTTAATAAAGAATATTGTGAAATTTGTTTCATCATGAAACAAGACCAAAAGAAAAGTCTTTTTTCTCCCCAAAGAAATTACAACAAGATGTATATCATTAAGAATGGAAACTTTCTGCTTCAAGAAAAGGCTTTGATTTACCACGCATGTGCAGACAACAACAAAGCCTTTTCCACTACATGGGATCAGTTGGATCAAATTACATTAATCCTAACCATGGATACATAGAACACAAATAAAATTATCAATGTGGATAATCATATACCAACCTTCCCAGTAAGCATTTCATACAGTAGAATTCCCACACTCCACCAATCAGCAGCCTTGTCATGGCCTTTCCCAAGAACAATTTCAGGTGACATATATTCTAAAGTTCCACACATGGAATTGGATCTCGTATTTTCGTCAAATTCCTTTGCCAGGCCAAAATCAGTCAGCATAACCTGGTAACATAAGGGTAACACCAACCACCATGAAGATAGTTCAGAAATTAGTGGATGCAGTCAATGTTAAAAATGAGTCAGAAATGCACATAGTTTTACCATTCATGCAATCACATAGGTCATGACCACCAAAAAAATCAACCACCATGTCACACACACACATACAAACAATATTTTCAGGTTTGAAAACCTTGCATTCAGCTATAAGCATGGACATAAAAACAGTACATACAATACATACAATCTCTCTTAGATGAAAAAGAGCATTCGCACAGACACACACACACAGCATTTTGCACACTCTTACATGTCCATCTGCATCTAGAAGAATATTTTCAGGTTTGAGATCCCTGTGCATTATGCCATTTGCATGGAGATGAGAAACAGCTGATACTATCTCTGCGGTATATATGCGAGCCAAATCTTCCCTGAAGAAGGAAATGCATAATGTGGGACAATGCTCCAGAAATTTCACATCATAAACACAAAAAGCAGCTACAGTTTACATTACCATACCTGAACAAGCCCTGGCGATAAAGCTGGAAGAAAAGATGTCCCCCATTAACAAAGTCAAGCACAAGGTACAGCCTATATTTGGTCTGCATGAAACAATAAATGAATAAATTTGTATCTATATTACATATGAAAGTCAAAGCAAAAAAATTGGACTGCCAAAATATTCAGCATCAAGTACACTATCCTCTTTCTGCTATTATGGCATCATTAAAATAAGTGAATAACATAAGAAAATAAAGCAACCAGAAATATCAAATATAATTCTACTAGTGCATCACTACTTGGAATGAGTATCTGAGCTGCACAATGAAGGGGTGATCCACTTTTGTTAATATATCTCTCTCAGATTTCATGTATTCGGCGTGATTTTTCTCCATAATCTTATCCTTGCGCATGACTTTCATTGCATATATGTCTGAGGTATCACTCCTCCTTACTTGATACACCTTTCCAAAAGCACCTTGGCCAACAACCTTTAAAACTTCAAAATCTTCAAGTCCCACAGACTGGCATTCAAAAGGATGACTCTCTATATGGCCATCAGGGTTCTCAAGAATAACATCATCAATTGAATATTTCCGAAACTCTTTTTGAGTCCTTTCCCTGACTCCTTCTACAAGTTCCAAGGAATCCCCTGTTTCACGAAATGTAAGCTTGCTAAGCTTCAATGAGTGGCTAAAATAAGTTGAGGGGCCAACCAAGGAATGTGAGCGGCTACAGATGACAGCTGGATCGTCATAAAGCAATTCATTTGACTCAGTTGCAACAACCAGATTTTTAGGATTTTCAGTGCTGATTTCCATTGAGGCTTGAACTGGAGCAGGTCCGAACACATCAGAGAAATCAAACTCAAGATGATCAGAGGTCAGAGTATCAGGTTGCCCTGTGGGAAAAAGCAACTGATTCTGAAAGGCTTTGTGCATGCGGGACTCATTTAAACTAGATAAGTGAGAGGAAACCATGCTGCTTATATGAAATGAGGCAGATTACTTTAAAAAGGCTTTGAGGCTATAGATGGATCTCTCTGAATGATTCCAAGATGAGATTAGATGAAGCAGGGCAACGTACAATGGCCTTAAACAGCTGGAAGTTAACGTATGCAACAGGGGTTCCCAGAAAACTTGTAAGCAAGCAAGCCAAAATCCAGAAGAGAATATCGTTCTTGTTTCCCGATTTGCAGGAAACTGTGGACACAACAGTGCTTCTTGAATTCATGAAGATCAGGTTCGCAAAGCTGTAGCCCAAGGTAACACAAAGTCAGTTCCAGCTGTAAATGCAAGTCCTACATATCACCTTAACATGGTATGAATATAGAAAACAAACATAAATGCACTTAAAGGGAAAAAAAGAAAAAGAAAACTCAATTGTGTCTTATAACAACTTGCATGTCACATATGCAAACTGCTATAAATCACAGGACGAAATTCACTGGGATAATTGAATATATGTTGAAAACATCTTCATAAATAGGATCATTTATAAATCCTAATTTTCATATCATTCATAAGATACCCTTTTTATCTAACAATTATCACATTAGGGCACTTTTTTCCTATTTGATTTATAGCTCACAATTCAATTAAACAACCAACTCGAACTTAAATCAAAGTTATGCAGAAGACAACCCTTGCCTGACACATATTACGTAATTCAGTAACATTATGGTAAGGCAAATCGATGAACAACTAAAAAAACAAAAAAATCAACGTCACATATAATTAAGCATGAACAATAAAAAAAATAAAAAAATAACGAAATCATAATCAGATCTGTGCAACTTAAAGCCCAGCCCTTTCGTTTAAAAAACAAATGATTCGATAATAATAAGAGAAAATAGAGATCAGGATTCCAAAGGCAAATCAGAAAAGCAATTCAAAGCTCAAATTTTGATTTTCCAACCCAAAAACAAAAACAATTCATCCGAGAAACAACAATACTGAGAAGAACAGAAAATCTATAAATTAAAGAAAAAAGGAGAGACCTTTGGAGGACTGCTGAGGCAAAGCGGAGACGAAGGCTTTCGTTAAAGAAGAATTTATGACACTGACGGCCTGGTTTAAAACTGCCTCGATTCGATTCCGAATGCTGGTCTTCAATTACGTGGCCATTTTTTATTGGTTGGTGCAGCTAAAACCAAAGTCAAAATCTAATGTGTGCGGCTTCGTATTTTGGGTTAGTCACATCCATCCATTAATCCGAAAACCATGCACTCGCCATATTCCATTTCCTTAAATGTCCTTGACTGAAAAAAAACAAGCCCAACTTACCCTTTAATGTCTTCAAAATTGCAAAAGTACCCAATACTTAAACACAGCATTAGCTTTAATTAAAAACTTTTTCCTTCCAAAAAAAAAAAAAAGAACTTTTAAAAAAAAAAAATCCGTATCCCTTGTAAAGTAAAACCCTAAATCGCAAAAATCAATTCTTTTGTCTTGTCTGCGTGGCCAGCGCCTTTTCCTTTACACAATTATAATTGATCCTGTAAATCGATTTTTTTTTAAATTCATCCTGATTTCTATCAGTTCAATTTGATTTAATTTATCGTTTTTAAATTTAAATTTTTTATCTTTTATATATTATTTTAATATAATTTATAATATATTTAAATAATTATATATAATAATTATTTTTATTTTATAAAATTTAAAATATATAAATATTAATAAAAATATATAATTTAATTTTTTTATTTTTCTAACATTTAAACTTGATCCAAATTAAATAAAAAACAAAATATTACAATTTTTCATACATTTTGGATTTTATGGTTTTTTTTTTTCTCCCCGAGCAAAAAATGGTACTGCCTCTCTCTCTTTGACTAATATTTGCTTAGCCAAAGTGATTTGATATTGACAAATGGCTGATATTTTGCAGACTGGAGAAGCAGTGAACCCCAAAGCATACCCACTTGCAGATGCTCAGTTTATCTTATGTATTGTTCATCACAACAGTTGTTTCTGTGTTATTAAGTCGTATCACTGTTGTAAATACTTACCTTTTGGAGAGTTTTTTAACAAATTGTCTTGATTTGGGGGCATACCATGACTCCTTGCCACTGATCAAAAATCTGTAGGATCAATTGCTAGATTTCCATTGCCCCATGGCCTTTGTTGAAAGATTACACTTGAGTACAGAACCAGTGAATCACAATACTAAACTTTGTATTTATATTTTGCAGAATGTTCCCTGTGTATTTGTTCCTTCAAAGCAAGCACTTGGCCGAGCATGTGGGGTTACAAGACATGTAATTGCATGTTCTGTCACAGCAAATGAAGGAAGCCAATTGAAATCCCAAATACAACAACTCAAGGTACTTCTCTTTCTACTACAGTATGTTGCATTATAAAGTTTATAATGTTGTGCATTTGTTGCGGCTGAATTTACTTCTGCATCTTATGATTTTTATTTGTTATATGTAGAAATTATGAAACTCATATTCGGTGTGATGGGCCTCTAGGATTGTGGTGGCCGCTCCTTTTCAGGCATTGACTGATGAGGTTGTGCCACTAGTGAACCAGTCTTTTAGTATTTGTCCTTAAATGTGATTGTTGTGTCCTATTATGTTTCTTATGAATTGAGAAAAAGGATAATCTTGAATTGATGTTACCAGAACTTACTAGTATGAATGATGCTATTAATTAATGTAGCTTGTTTAATATGTTTTGTTTGTCTTGTTATAGTTTCATAGTTGTCCCTACTTGCCTTGCTTAAGCTATGAGTTGAAGGCAACCAAGCTTGTAGTATGTGATCAATCTGGCCTTCTGCGAGATGAGTGTGAAGAAGCTCGAGATCCCACTATTTGATTTCTAATTCCTTTATTGATAAAGATTGGGTGAATTTTAGCTTTATATTGGTTGACACACCGTTTATGGTCAGTGTTGCTGCTTCAGTCTCAAGGCAAGCTGATAAAAAAACACTAATATAGAAAAAAATTAGAGGTCAATATTTGGAATGTGCTAAAGAGGGAATTGACAATACCATAGACCTGTTGATTTTGCATTTTTATGCAAGCATCTTAAAAGTGGCTATAATCATTTTAGGTGAGACAAAACAAAGCCTTCGGTCTGTTAGAAATTCCTATATAAAGTTGAAATTAATTACTGGCTTTCATTTATCCACTAAATTAGAAGGTGGGTACAATTTCAATGTATTGTATCGGTTTTATACCTTTTGGTAGAAGTCAAACACTAATCCATTTTATCAATAAAAGGTTAGCTCAATTGGCACCAGTCGATTGACTTTTTGTTAAGATAATTTCGAATACATAACTTTTAATCATTATTTTTAAACTGTCAAATATAGTATATTTTTACCTAATATGAGAGTCTAATCAACCCATTTACCCCGGATTGTACTTACCAAAAAACTCTAATCCATTTTCATCTTCTTTTAACATGACCTAATGGAAGTTTGACCATATCCACCACAAATCATGTTTGTTTACACTAATTTGTGCAAGTTGTGCTCTTATGTGTAGGTGTTCATGTGCGTGTGTTAACGATATTATGCTAACACTTAAACTTCAAGGAGGCCCTCGCTCCATGGATGAAAACCCCTCCTCACATATTCCCAATTTATGATCCAGTCTAAGAACCAGCTTAGCTAAATTTCATGATTTCAAGGGTAATGATCTTTATTTATAAGGATTTGTAGGTTCTGTGTTTGATTTCACACTCCAGAAAAATAATAACATATTCATCGTTGCAAACAAGAATGCTAATTAATTATAAGGCTCGCATTTATGCAGCCAAGATATAGATTTGCCCTAGTTATATTCAGCTGAAGCTGCAACTTGAACCAGCAAGCCAAAGAGTAAAAATGGGGCAGAGAAAAAGGGGCTGTGGTCACTGTCCAAAACATGCACTTGAGATGGCGGCCATCTCTTTATCATTGCGTCCTGCTGATCTGGTTTTACAACATTATCATGCCTTGTTTTAATGTATATCCGGGGCACATTATCCGCAAATTCAGGCTCTTCTGTGAATTGAGCACTCTGCAATGCTAGCATCGGTCCTGGCCTTAAAAGCATTGTAGCTAGAGTTGAATCCTGCAGTAACAATGCCATCATTAAAAATGTTTATAGCCAGCTTAAGAGTGCATTTGGTGTTATTAGTTTGACGCCAACTTTTGGACAGGACTAGTGAATCTAATCTAAACAATTCAATTCATATATTTTGCTCATTACTACACATTATCTATGTTCTGAGCCCTGGCAATCTGTGCTTGCCCGTGTGCAATGTGCAGCCAACTTTTCTTGGATTAACTTTGTGCACAAGATCAGGATATTTTTGGTTCTAGTTTCCTCGTCTTTCACAAGGAAAATGAAAAGAAAATGAAAAAGAAGAAAGAAAACGTGTGGGGTAGATTGACATGCGAAAGCATAACATAAAAGAGACCAAGGCAATAAAGATAAGTGTCAGTTGGCATAAAATTACCTCTTGCGGGCTCATTTGATAGATGATTTTGCGCTGGAATTCCTTTTTGACAATGGCACTGGTTGGAGGCTGCTCAGGTCCCAATCCAAATCCTAATTCGTACACATCACCGAATTGGGATAAATCAGGTACTCCCTGTTTGACATTTATATATCAACTATGAAGCATTACTTGACAGTCATATTAATTATTGCTTACTTTTCCGGGATAATCATGAAAATTTTAACTAACTAACTAACTAACACACTCACAAATTAAAATTTATGTTTGTATCCTGTCTCAGCTCTCAATCATTGAAGGTAGATTAACAAAATGAAAATTGACACTGTAGTTAGCGAAAAGTAAACATGAACAATGGTACTGTAGGCTAACGCCAGAACTAAAATGCAGGTACATTTGCTGTTGCATCAGAAAACAAGACATGAAGACCTGCATGCCTGCTTTCAATAATTGAAGGGAGAATTTCTAATGCAGTACTCTGAAACTCATGAAACCGCATATTTAACTCATGAGTACTTCTTTAGTATTAAAAAATGTTCAAGGGAGATTTATATCCATTCCTGTCTCTGTCTAAAAACATTGAAAAGTAGTCTATGAGAAAGCTGTTGTCTAGTTAAAACAACTAAATATACAAACAACACCTCATTAATACGAGTAGTGTGAAGTTTTAGTATTGGAAAACTGATTTGATTGCCTGTGAATGCTAAAAATGACTACTAGAATCATATGTGAAATTGATCAAAAAAGCAATTGCCAGTAATATGCAAATAATGAAGTCCTCTTGGCTTGGCCTTATTCTCAAGTAGGTAAGGACGTTTTGATTCCCATGCCGTGCATGCAAGCCAAGAGGAGTGATGAAGTGGATGGGAACCCGATGCATGTGACATGGCAAGGTGTGAATTATTGATGCTTCTTCTGCACTTCAGCAGAGAATCACTGTCTAAAACTGGTAAAGAAAAAACGACCACAAAGATGTTTGTTTGCTCTCTCTCTCTCTCTCTCTCTCTCTCTCTCAGAACCCTGTTTGTGCTTCTCGTTTTGTGCGGTTGAAAATAGGGGACTGAGATGAGGAAGTGATAATTTGGGATTACATATATGAAACAAACAGCAGCTACACGGGTCTATAGTAGTAGATCATGCTTGCAAGCTGTGAACCTCGATGGGTGACTGAAAGAAATGGAGTGAGATGTAACTACTGTAAAGTTTTGGGTTCCTATTCCTATAAATATATATATGTAGAATATATTGAATGTGGCATAGTGAAATGGCTGACAGCCAAGCCTTCATGAAAACAGTTGGCATTTGGCAGCCATCTCTTGACATTAGCAACCCCTATGTTTCAAAGACCAAAGGTGCATACCAGGTAAAAAAAGGCAGAATTCAACACAGAACAATTAACAGGACAGGGTTTTAATTTTCACTATGAGATAGCTTAGTATCAAGGTGGAAAATTAAGAATAGATGAGTAGTTCGAAAAGTTTTACATCTTTGACGTCTTGATCAGTCAAGAACCCCAATTTTAGCATGGTGGCTGCTACATACACCGCCAGACGGATTTTGTTGGCGAATTTGTGAGTGGCTTGCGTTACACTTAACCCTCCAGCACTGTGACCTACCAATATTACCTGTAAATAAGATCAGCTTCTGTTATGACTTATGAGTATTATGTTCGCATATTAAGTAATAACAGGAAGAAGATATAGTCATGACTACTAACCTTTTCAGTATCAGGCAAGGCAGACATGAAGTCCATGAGAGGCTTGTTATAATCATTAAAAGATAAAACAGAATTGACATCGGACTGATCAATTCCAGCACCTTTGAGATCGATGCATGAAACCTTGTGGCCGGAATTCTCCATGAGACACCTTATTTTGTACCAGCACCAAGCTCCTCCACTAATACCATGAACCAGCACAAAATGTGGTTTCATGGCTGTTATTTCCGTTTCTGTCATACTCACCTCTTCTCCCATGGTTTCCTAATTTTTTTTTTTTTGTTGGTCAAGGCCAAATCAGTTGCTCTGATGACTCAGACATAGCTTGCTGATTTTGCATTTATAGTTGGAATAGTCATAAAGGGTCATAATTTTTGCTTCATCTAATCATCATTAGAAGTTTTTAATAAGTTGTGGTTGTCTATGGCCAGTTTCATCATAATCATTCTAATAAACTAACGAAATTCCAACTTCTGGGCTTTATCTTAACGGTTCAAAAGGGTGAGGCTCAACCTACAGTGTGATACACTCGCAAAAGGCAGTTTATGAAGAAAGAGAGTTGGACAACATCTACAAAAGTAATCAATGGAAATGGATATCTGTCACCGAACACAGCAGCAAGGATTTGTGTATTGCTTTTCATCACCTAAAATAAAATGATTTTATTACAACAATTGTCGGGCATTTGATGATTTATTGGCTTATTTTAATTCAATTAGCTTGTATTTTTTCTTCATATATTGCAGGCCAACATTATCCTGGTTTTATTAATAATATTTTAGTAATCTAAAATCACTATGATCAGTCGATGTTTCCCATGGCGGCAAAATGAGATTTTTGCTTGGTCAACTGGGAAAAGGTGACTTACATCGGACAGATATATATAACAATAATAATAATAATAATTAAATTAAATCAAACCAAACATACTGTTTGGAAAGCTGTGTTCCACCTAAATATGAAGCATCTATATTTGCTTTGTTTTATCAATCCAATGCATTGCTGGTTTAGTTCTTATCAGTAGGAAGAATAATCAAAATAATGAGAAAAGGGGCGATTAAATTGCAATGAATGGATTTGTTAAATTTGGTTAATTTGTTTGTCTCCACATTAAAAGATTTTAATTCGAACACTGATGGTCGCTGATTGCCGCTATTCAGCTGCACCTGAATTTTCATTTATCAAAAAGAAGTGGAAATTAAATGCATGTGTAATAAGACTTTGAATTGTAACTGGTGCTGAGTCTCCACCAACATCGGGGCTTTTTACTTTCTTTTCTTCATCAGCGTCAGCACAAGATCATGTAAATTACTAAAGCTAAAGCTAAAGCTAAAACTAGCTAGGCCTAGCACCGAATAATGATTAATCTATGCAGTGTCTCCTAGCTACATCAAAAGATTTCACCGAAGGAAAAAGTGAAGCAGCTGGAGCCTGGCTGCAGTCCAAAAAAAAAAAAAAAAAAAAAAAAACTCCATTCACAATGATTAAACCCAATGTTCCCACTTCCATATAGATAAGTAACTTGGAAGATTAATATGGGATTGTTTTGTCGACTCTTTAGGGCTGCAACATCCAACATATAAAGATAATTACCCTTTACAGAACATTTTGACAGAGATTTGTTATTTGTACCACAATTAAAATGAATGGTTTTTCTGCAACCACTCATAAACTGCCTTATTTCACGCATAATTTTAGGGTAGAATCATTCAAGGATATATATACTGTATAGGAGTAGTATATAATTCTGAAGCTTTCCAAGTCAAACAACTGCGTGAATCAATTATTATTTTAAATGAGATGATGGAAGATTGATCATTCATCCACCATAAAAAGTTTTGTTTAAAATGGATTGCTATGTATACAACTGATCATCACGAAGATGTTTGTCAAAAACTATGAGGTAGGCCATGTTATATTAATAATGGAATATTGGAAGCCAACAATGAGCTAGAAGCTGAACATTGATGGTCGGATTGGACATCAGAGGCTCCATGCACCACATGTTAAGCTTTTGATTAGGTAATTATATGTATAAGCTGCTGCCTTTTCTTTTCTTTTCTTTTCTTACTGTAAAGAAGATCTTAATAATTCGAAAAGGTAGTTATCCTTCCTGATCAAAAAAAGTTGCCCCATCATGAAAAGCCAAAAGGTTAGACACTGATGATCGGTAGTTAGCTTAGTCCCCATGTTCAGGAACTTTCTTCACCATTCACCAAATACCAATATCTCAGAATCCATATAAATAAGCTTTCTCTCATATTAATTGCCTGTGGAATTAGATTAGTGATTTAAGTTATTGAACATGCAGCAGCTTCTTCAAATGGAATTAATGTTTCCCAGCAGAATAACTGTACTACATGCAGACGAGATAAAGTAAAAGATATATAATTGAAACTCAGTTGGTGATAGATATGAAGGAAAACAAGCATGTGCTTCTCTGAGTTGAGCATTCGAATTTTGGTCTATATATAGATAATAGATTCACGAAAATGGAAAATTGGTATTGCATCTTTCATCGTTCATTTTAGGCATTTGTTCCAAAGTTTGTAGTGCTGCATATGTATTCTAGAAAGAAAGAAGCAAGTGGTGAAGCCACGTTTGGTTGTCTCCTTCGAGTGCGTGACAGTGTTGCATACTGCTTTTTCATTTCCCACTTTTATTTCTTTCCCTGATATGAGATATCAAGATCTGGGTTTCCTCAAAAGAAAAAGAGGAATTATTTATTGATGGTAAGTAGATTGTTCATCAAAGGCAACATTATCCAATTTATAATAATAGATATATAGTTTAGGTAACCCAAAAAAAAAAGGAAAAAACTCAAGAATGCGCCTATAAATTTAATTTTGCATAATTATAAACTTGAAAATAATAAGGACTCAAGATTTGTAATTGTTTCAATAATTAATTGATGGTGTATCTGAATGAATGATTATATTTTAACTACTAATGCAATTTGTAATAAATTTAAAAAATATGTCATAATTCATGCTTATATCAACATAATTTACTCACCTAAATACCCAAATTAAATTAATTTCTATTTATGATTGAAAAAAAAAAGTAGAAAAATGGTTTTGGATTCCATGGAGGACAATGGCATAAAAGAGGACTTACTTTTATTTTTTAAAGTCAAACAAGCTTGTTATTAATGAGTAAAAATAAATAAATATTAATTTAATATAAAGTAAAGATTACAATTAAAAAGATTGAGTTGAGATAAATTTAGATTGTTTTGAGTATTAATCATCTTGAATTTAGATTATTTGATAATTGTGTTGTTCAAATTTAAATAATTTTTAAATTTAAATTAATTAATTTTAAAATTAAATTTATATAAAAGGTTGAATTGTTTTGAGTCAATCTTTTTAATTATTTTCGAATTCGAGTTGAATGAATTCAATCGAATTAAATTTAGTCGAGCATTTTGAATTGGATTCAAATTTGGCAACTTTTAATATGAACTAATTCCTACAAAATAATCAAAACCATGGGTGCCCTTTGTGTCACATAGTTGCTTAATTAAGAAAATGATGTAGCATCTAATCTAACCGAAAAGAAATATTAAACACTACCTAATTAATACTTAGTTTAGTTGAAGACACAAGTTGTAATTATATGCATCCAAGTGCTAAAAATCAAAAGGGGGGCAGCTGAGCCGTAGGCATCAGATTTAAATTTGCCCCCCTATTTCTAATTAACATGTTTCCATCAGTCGGTGAACCCGTGCCCCACGACCCACATTTTAAATTAAAAAAATATTAATATTACAAATGATTTAATTATAATAAAATATTTAATATAAATTTTTAATATAATATTTAAATTATAAATTTATTAATTATTTTGATATTTAATTTTAATATCATTAATTTTAAATGATAATATACAACAAATAAATAATTTTATAAATATTACAAGAGTTAATAAATATATAATTTAAATATCATATTATAAATTTTTAAAAGTTGAATGTTATATTTAATATTTTATTATAATTTAACATCGCTTGTAACATTATAAAAAAAAAACAACCATTCATTATAATATCATATCATAGAGATTAGAAATTATTTTACAACTACTAATATATTCAGCATACTTAAGAATGGTAATGGATGATAAATAATCAGATATTTGGTATTACTCAATCTGATTATATATGATTTGGATATTTATATATAGATAATTAATGAATTCAGATAATAATTTTACTAATTATAATGGATTCAAATAATATCTTTAAATATCTAACAAACAATGATGGATATTTAAATTTGTATCCAAATTCTTTACATATTTATTTATGCAAAATATATAAAATTTTATACCTATAAAAAGTTTTAAATAATAACAAATAACCTTTATTTGTTATTAATTAAGAATGATTTTAAATTTTATTTATTTTATATTTTTGACAAAAATTTCATTAATCGGATACTTTAACATATTCGGATAATGATAATAAATTTAAATATCATAAATATTAATTAAAAATATTCGAATAAAGATATCTAAAAATTAACAAATATCCGTTTCCTTCTCATTTTTGTAACATACTTTTTTTTTTTTGGGTGCACTCTATCCTCAAATTCTACGTAAAATGTGTTTTAATATAAAAAAATGAGTTCAATTGTAGTATTACTCGTTTACTACAAGTTGAAGTAATGGATTATACAATCTTAGTATTCGATTAATGGATACTTATAGCCATCAATTAAAAATTATTTAATAATAATTTTAGGAATGTTTTTATATTTAATGCATAATTTTTGGCAATTTAAAAAATAATGTATTAATTCTATTTTTTAAATATAATTTTAATTAATATATTTTTATGAAATTACAAATACATGACAATTTTATAATTAAATATTGCTTTTTATATATAAAAATATCTGAATAAATAAATTAATTAATTAAAACATAATTAAATAAATTGGGACTTAAGATCTTAAGATTTTATGGAGTATTTTTTACCGCCAAAACAATGCATCGTTGATAATATAATTAGCCATAATATTTTTCATAAAATGGATATGTAAAAAAATTATAATTAATTAATAAATGGATAAAGGTTCGTTTTTTTCAATGAAGAAGTTTTGAGTTCGAATTATGTTAGTGATCATTTGTTAAAATCATCTCGAATATATAACTTATAATCATTTGTTTTAAACTATCAAATATTGTACATATTATCATGACATGAAAAACCTCAAATTTATTTAAAAATAAAAAAAACCAAAATTACAAACTGCATATCAACAAATGCTATAATTTAATCTAATAATTACAAGTTACATACCACAATTACATGTTACATAACTTGTAATCACCTATTTTAAATTATCAAATATTAGACATATTATCGTGACATAAAAAACCTTAAATTTATTTAAAAATAAAAAAAATCACAATTACAAACTACGTGTCAACAAATGCTATAATTTAACCTAATAATACAAAGCATGTTTGTTTGTTATGTTAGGCCCACCGTACCAATTGACAATCAATCAATCTGTCAAACAAAAATTTAAAGTTCGAAATTCGAAAGAGATGAAAGAGGGAAAGAGGAAATTTGAAAATTGAAGGAAGTCTCAATTATAGGGATGGAAAAGAAAAAGGCGGCAAAAAGATGCCCCAAGGAAACAAGCCCGCTTTCCAAAATCTAAATTATAGAGAAAGAGAGAGGTGGGTTTTGCCTCTCTCTCTCACCCTTTTCTCCTTGTCTTCCTCTCTCTCTCTCTCTCTAACAGTTCTTCTCCCCAAACAATTCTAAAACAAGCTACAATTGAAAACCCTCTAATCATCCTCTGCTCTTCTTTCATTTTTCTTTTCAAAGGTCAGTCACTCACTCAACTCACCTTTTTAATTTATTTGTGATAAAATTTTACTGCTTCTACTTGTTTACATGCTTTTTAATGTACACCAATCTCTTTTGGGATGTACTTGTAGTTTTTAGATCATTTTCATTTTTGTTTATGCTAGATTTTTAAATCATTTTCCTACTCCTTTCCTTTTATTTTAGTCTTGATTTATGCTATTCATTTACTTTCATTGAATTTGTATCAAAGAGAATGCTAAAACAAAGACAGTTTTTTTTATGTAAATGATGATGCTTCTGCTGGAGACTCAAGCCTGAAGGTGTTGGGTGGGATTTATAACCATTTTCTAAAACAAATCATCTATAAATATCATCAGATCTATGATTGAATTAATCATTTTTAGTTCATAAAAGATTTATTTCAATTTTTTCACTGTAATATGCAGAGTTATCTCTATCCTAAGAGATGAAAATCTGTTGCTTGTTGTTCCACTACAACTTAAAAACTTTCTTCTATGAGACCATAATGAAGTCATGCACTGATATAAACCCTTGGCCTTTTGTCTATAAAGTTTTTAAGTAGTAAGTTAGATTTCCTTGGTTGGGTTGTGCTTACTATTATTTTTCCTTTTTTTTTTTTTTCCATGTTTATATGTTGTGATCAGCTCAAGCTGCTGCATAGCATGCTGCGTGTGGTGTCCATTATGCAATCTCTATTTAGTGTGTTGGCCACATACGATAGTCACATTTGTTTATTCGTGCATTTGTGTTATGTAAAATATTAAAATTTGTGCATTTGTATTATGTTTTACATTGAAATTGTGTATCATAATTTGTGTTGACTTGAAAATATAAAATATATTTTTTTTGTTAAAATTATAGATAATTATTTCTAAAATTTTAAACTGTTTCACCTTTTTGTTTTATTTTTGCATCATGTCATGTTACGGTATCGTGTTTTAGATTGTTAGGTATAGCCACACCATACAAAATCAAGCATTCAAGTAGCTAAATAAGTCAATCAATCTATTTCTTTGCGTTGGCAACAACAACAGAATTAATTCTGTTACTCTTCTTTTGAAATTTTTTTCTCCTTAAAGTTTGTTTTCTGGGAAGTCTTATAAAATGTAGTTTATATTGTTGGGAGACAGATGGAACCAAATATGAAGAATGCAGAGTCAAAGAACTCAAAACTATGTCGTTGGGATAGTCATCTCACTTCCGAGAATGCTGAATGGCTGGCAGAAAAGTCCAAAGGTAAGTAGCCTAGTTTTGAAGTCATTTCATTTATTGTTCGCTCTTCTTTCTTGTTGCTATAAATCACATTTGATAATCATACCTCCCAGAGGGATGGTCATATGTTTAACAAAACATGGTTTTGTCATGTTAGAAATTATCCTCTCTGCCACTCATTATCTCCAATTTATCTATTATGAAGTCATCCTGTGGCTTGTAAATCATAAAAGGTTCTTGGCTGCAGAAATGGACCAGAGTGTCAAGCAAGTACTGAAATTTGTGGTAGACAATATGGAAGGTTTGGCAAAAAATGATGACATGCATTCTCAGAATAAGTCGGAGGTGATTGTCCATGTTCAGGAACTCTACCGTATTTATCAATCTTTGGCTGAGCGCTATGATCATTTGACCAGGGAATTGCGCAAGAGTCTACCATCTGATTGCCAAACGCAAGGCCCTGATAGCGGTTTTGATCAGAACTCTCCATTGATAACACCCGATAAAAAACTGGGTATGGGTAGGTCTAGTCAACAAGCTGCATCTTTCAGTTCTGGTGGTGGTAGTTCTGATCTCTCATTGAAGGAAAGGACTGAAACATCTTCATTCTCATCAGATTCTGACTCAGAATCTTTCAGCTCCTCTGTCAACATCTACTTAAGCTCTCCAGTGGATAATGATAATGGTGGAGTACATCACAAAGTTACTGAGCTAGGAAGTGAGCTTCCAACAATGAAACTGAAGCTACAAGGGGCTGATGGAGAGAATGTAGATGGAAAGTTGAAGATGGGGGATAACAGAAGTTATGAAGAACTGAATGAAAGACTCAATAACCGTGAAGAAGAGTTAGGAGATCTGAACCTAAAACTTCATCTTGCAGAAGAAGAGATTGCGAGGTTGAATACAGAGCTCAAGAAGAATGAGTCTGTTTCTGTCCTTTCTGATCACATGCTTGTTCGACTTGAATCATTGCAGGGAGATACCAAAACGAGGGAAGCTGATCTTGAGTTGGAGAATGGAAAAGTACTTGAGTTACAGAAACAGATCGTTGAACTGGAAGCTCATGTTTCAGTCTCCAACTCTGAAATTGTGAGGTTGATGGAGGAGCTTGCTGCAAGTAAAGAAAAGATCAAGGCATCGGAAGAAGAGATTGCAATGTTTAAGCATGAGCTTGGACAGAAGATTTCTGATGATACTCGTCATGTGCTAGGGCAGCTTGAATCTGCTCAAGAAGACTTAGCCCTGTTAAAAGCACAACTTGACATAGAGAGGACGCAGGCTGTGAACCTGCAGGAGCAAATTGTGAGGTATAGCAATGATCTATCTAATCGTGGTCGTGAAATTGAGGAATTAAAGGGTGCATTATGTGATGCCCATGATAATTTCTCTATGCAGAGAGCAAGTTTTCAGAGTGAGATTTTTGGTCTGTTAGAAAAAGAGACCCTCTTAGAGGCAAGGCTCAAAGAATGGGAACTGCATCAAAGGCTATTAGAGGAAAAATTAAATCAATGTGAAGCTGAAAAAAGGGAAATCAAAGGTTTGCATGATGTACGTGAGATTGGGTTCCAAGGTCAGATCAGTCAGCTGAAGGCAGAACTTCTTGAGAAAGGTGTGCATGTAGAAGCTCTAAATAAGAACCTTGACTTACTGAAATTGAAATATGATATGCTTATGGCAGAGAAAGATGGAGTCATAGCAAAGGTAAACACTCTTGTAGCTGAGGTTAGTTCCCGAGATGTGCAGATTGGGCAAATGGAGGAGCATATACAGCAATTAAGCAGGGAACATTTACAGCTGATTTCTGGATTGAAATATGAAAAGAATCTAGAAGATGAATTAAAATTGAGAATAAAGGACCTTGAGAAGGAAGTGGATAGGCAAAGAATCATGATCTTAGATGTGGCTGAGGAGAAAAGAGAGGTAATTCGACAGCTTTCTTTCACACTGGAGCACTATAGGAGTGGTTATAAAGAATATCAGGCTTTTTTCAAGCACAACCAGTATGCAATTAAGGCGTCATGAGTTTGATTAATGAGTATTAGTAAGGCTACAAGTCTCGATTGTCTCTTCCCTTTTTTGTTGTATGCTTTGTTAAATTTCTCTTCCGAACTCGTCAAATTGGTTCTTAATATTTTATTTTCTGTGGGAGGTTTTGGGTGATATGTTGTATACTTGCATTGATGCTTAGATAAACTTGAAGCTCCAGTTATGCTATATCCTTGCATATTATTAAACATCTGAAAATTGCAATGGACAAATATGAACCAAGTTTAAAATTTCAATCAAACAGTCCTTCAGATTAGGCTCATTCTGTATTGCATACTGCAGGAGTCCTGGTCTATATTTCCCTAATTAGCTTGTAGATTCAGTTTGTACTGCAGGATTATTGAATGTGGATTGAATCAGTTTGTAGATCCCACCGACTTGTTTGTTTCATAAATTCATGGCTTTTACCCCTATGTCCCAAGGAAGAACAGGGTCAAGTATATATTTGTAACAAATATTACTATTCTTTACCCCATGTATGCTTGAAATGTTGGCTCTTGGCATCTTAAATTTCAATTATTTGTTAAGCTGCTGTTAGATAGTCGAGTATTGACTTGTGTTTGTGTCAATAGAAAAGTTATAATTGGAGAGAATACATGTGTTACAAATTACAACACATGGGATGGATAATTATTATGAGCATGTGTCACTTTGTATGTGTTACAATACATGTGTCACTTTATATGACTCTCTTAAGTCTTAACCATTCATGTGATGTTTGAATTAATGTGACAGTGATTAACACAATCCTGTTTGTGTTTCAAACTTGTCATCACATTACATTGTGCAAAATCTCATTTATGATCCACCTAGTAAGGAGGAGAAAATTACGAAGCCAAAGGCTGTCAGCTGGAATTTCAATGAACTGGCCCGCCTCTGTGTGGGCATGGGTGATGGAATCCTTTGCAATTCACTTTCATTTTGTTGGCGAACTGATGAAATGGTGATCCTTTTCCTTGTCTCAGTTTGGACTTAGTCAATTGTCATGGTCTGTTTTTAACTTAACTTTGCTGGACGACAGTTCGCTGGTTCTTTTCAACTCCATACTCCATAGTCTCAACCAAGCTTTTTGGTCAAGCTCCATTAATGATAAATATTATAATATGTGCAAAAGAAACAGTGAAACAGGTTGAATGGAGTGATTTTTTAATCAATATTTATACTTTTCAAGTTGCATATTTAGTTTTTGTGATGGTCAACTAGGGACATCCCATTTATCTTTTTATTGGTTAGCATCAAATTTCGTACATTTATCATCTCATCGGTTTCAATCTAATCGTTATCATCTGATGTGCCACATGGCAGAATATAAGTGGTGGATTAGCCACATCAAAATTGTTAATAATGCTGGGGAGAATGGTGAAAAAAGGCAACTTTGGTTTGCTTTTGCTTTGGTTTTGCCGGTCATAAAAGGCAAAGTGGATGTGGATCCCACTGTCAGACAGACCAGATGAGACAAGTTCGTTAGTGTGAGCTTCAAGACTTTGTGGTTTGCTTCCCTGGATGAGGAAGTGATGGTGCCACCCGCCTAATTCCAGTTGGCTATGGTAACCTCTTTAGTCTAACCTCCCAACTTTCCATCTTACCTATTCCGTTGACTTTTAAAAACTGACCTTTTGTTCATGTTGTTCTGTAAATTCAGATTTCCCTTGAATGAAAGATCAATTTCAATTCCGTGGCCATCAAAATTATTGATGTTGGAAAATGGAAACTACTTGGAAGTTGGAAGCAAGGCTGTGCTTTGATCAAAATTCTTGAATTCTACTTTATATAATTACCTTCTACCATGTAGGATATAATAATATTCATCTTGTTCTTTACAATCATACCCTTCTATAGGAGAGTTTTATTTATAAAAAAAAAAATAACAAAATAAGAGAGATTTAAATAGGAAAATTTAAAGATGGGTTGTCTTTTATCTTTTTTTTTTTTTTTTTTTCAAAATTGGTGCCTAACATTGATTAAGGTGCTATGTAGATTTAAAAAAAGAAAAATGAAATTAAAGAAATATTTTCTATTGAATTTAAAAAATAATACATTAAATTTAAAACTTTTAAAAAATAATAATTAAATAATTTTTAATTAGTGCTTATAAATATTTAGATTTTTGCTTTTTAAATTGTATATACAATTAATAAATGATAAAAGATTTCGTACTTAATCTTGAATTTCGGTTAAAATATTTTAATTTTGTATTTAAATTATAAATTATTTATGATTGATATTATTTTAATGTAAATGATTAATTCTTATTTGATTATTGTATCGAGATAATATTAAATATATAATCAAATATTTTAATTTATGTTCAAAACTAAAAATTTTTTTAATATAACATCGAATTGATGATCTTATTTTTACATTCACATATCTTTAATTCATACCTTTAATTCTTTGAAAAAAGAGTCCGAAAGTCTTTGGTTGACTTGTTAAAATGCCAATTTTAATGGCAAAATGCAAAGCAGAAGTGCGGCAGCAGCAGCTCCAACATTTCAGACACACCTTCTCCTTAATTACTTCAACAAACAAACAAACAATCTAAATTGTCCTTTCCCTCTACAAATTTAACTAAGACACGACACGTAAGATGCCATGTCATCCGACAACCCCCAACCCCCACTCTCTTTCTATGTATCTCTTTCAGCTTCAGCTAATTCATTTCAGACAGCACAAAAAGACAGAGCAGAAGATCTGAAGATGATGAGCTTTGTTTGGACGCCAGGATTTTGACTGTACTAATAAAGCCTTGAACACCACGATACTCCAAAACCATCCCTAAATTCCAACCCCAAGACCAAACACCCTTCCTTAAACTTATCTTTTCTTACAAATTCTCTGCTCTTTATTTTCTTCACATTTTGGCTTACCCTAATTTCAAGGGTATCTTTCTATCTCCTGATCTGGCTCTTTCTTTTTCTTCTATTTCTAACCTTTAACTTTCTTCATCACCTCTCAATCTCAACACAGAACATTGCTGCTTTTCACTGATCACCCATGATTGTGTTCTCTTCATAATTTGCATAATCATTCTTACTTCTTTCCTAGATTTCAACCTGTTATATGCGTTAAATACTGTCGTTGACTTTGTTTACTTGTGGTTGTTGATGAATTCTTGTTGCTAATATTACATTAATCAGTAAACTCCATTTCTTTCCATTTGTATGCCTGACCAAATCGATATCTTTGCCTAAGCTAGAGACTAGTAGATCACAGAATAATCATTCTGCTTTGCAACATTTCAACCCCGTTTCACATTATTTTTGCTTACAAGCTATATAACATAATTTGTCTGTCCTGTTCCTGCCTGTTTTTTCAAGGACAATTGGTTTCCCTTCTACATAAAGTTTTAGGTCTTCTCTGTTGTTAAATCTATTATTAGAATCTGTTGTCAAGCTACATAGAATCCCTTGAGAATTACCACCAACATGCCTCACATACAGTCAAAGCCCGTCTAGTATCTGTTTCTGTTCCTGGTGGATCATCCATAGAATGCAATTTGATTTGTATCTTTTCAGAATCATAAAGTATGATATCCCCCTCTTAAAAGTATAGTGCCATTGTGATACTTTTCCTTCGTGTATCTAACAAATATATTTCCATCCGTTTGCAGACGGTGGGAGATTTTTGTTTTACTTCAAGGACAGTACCTGTGGTTGAAGCTGCCTGTCGCAGAGGTCTGATCACAGGTTGACTATATCTACAAAATTCTGGAGAAACATGGCCAGTGGAACTACTCCTAAAGTTCGATTAGTTAGATGTCCTAAATGTCGTTTGGTTCTTCCGGAAGTGGCAGATTTTCCTGTTTACAAGTGTGGAGGGTGTGATACAATTCTTGTAGGTAAGCATCTTTCTAAATTAGTCTCATAGTATGTATAATTCTTCCATGTCTTTATGTATTTTGATCCATTTCCATGGTTTTCTCAAGTAATTTGAGCTTAGACATATATCATTCTTTCAAAATGGTTAAATATTAATGATAGACTTCTTACTTGGCTATCGCATGGACATTTCTGCTGCTTTCTCATTATGACCTATAAAATAAAAACCCTACACCTTTTTTAACTTCCTGTTTTGCTCTTTATTTCAATTTCTTCCTGTTTGCAGCTAAAAATCGAAAAGCCATTGTCGAAAGCACATCTATCTTGCAAGAAACAGAAGCTGTTCACACAGATAAATTGGTTCTTGTGTCTGAACATGGAGAATCTAGCAGCTCAACTACGCAGGAAGTTCTTCCTTCCCCTCCAAAGTGTGACTTGAGTCAAGAAAGTGGAGGGAATCAGAAGATATCTAGCGACTCTCATGGTGAGAAGCATGGTGAGAACTTATCAATTGAAGGGCAACATAATGATCACTACAGGAAGGATCAAAATACATTCACTGATAGTGATAGTGATTGTGATAAGCTTGATGAAAACAGACCTAATGAAGGGCAGCAAAATGGAAGTGGGGAAGTGGAGAGTTACAGCTGGAATCTTTGAAATTTCACAAAGTTCCACAGCCAGGAGTTTCCATGGAAGGTTCTTTACCCACTGAGCTTCATCATGAGAATGGAGAGTTAATGTTGGTAGCAGAAGGAAATTTAGAAGCAGAGGCACATGACATTACCATGCAGTTAGAAAGTGCAAATTCAGAATTAGAGACTAATAACAGGATTGATTCCAACACCAGAGGCTCTAGCACTGACAACCCACCAGCTACAAGAGAAATTAATTTAACTGTTACGGCTTGTGCAGCGGCAGGGGAAGTCATTTCATCAGTTAATCCTTTGTCTTCTCCTAATGAGCATCTGGAGCAACATGAAAAAAGTGAACATCATGGGTTTGACAGTGTAAGGTCTACAGATACTTTTGAAACTGCAGATTTTGTCAGTTCTGAGCTCAGTGGTCCTCTTGAATATTTGTCTAAATCCACTACCGCCAGAAGCTTTCGTGCTTATGATGGCAGTTGCTCTTCTTATGATGGAATGGATGATCACTTCCCTGACCAGCATGTACGTTCATGGAAAAATAATTATAAGCCCTCTAAGTATCTTGTTCCTGAAGAAAGGTACCGAAGGGACAAGTTACCAGCCAAAGGAGTGATGAATGGTAATTCTGGAATGCGAGATCATGCAAGAAATTTCTCATCAGATTTGTCCAACAAGAAGCATTTTGCCACAGAAAAATACAGCAAGTGGCATCGAGATGAACCCCTAGAACCTGTAATGCATCACCGTCCACCTAGAAACTGGCCAAGACTAGAGAGAGATGAATATGCATCTCAAATTCATTTCTCTCAAAGGGCTTCCTTGCGTGGGTATGAAAGTGCTGGCCCTTCACGTGAATTGCATGATGAGTTCCCTTTTGATTCAGCCTTCCATCCACTTGAGAAGGCTGAGTACAGTGAACAAGAAAATGTGAAACTGTTAAGAATGGTGTATGAACTGCAGGATCAAATTAGCAAAACATGCCATCTGAATGGAAATCCCAATGGAAGGACTTCCACTGATGTACCATGGAGGCAAAAGCCCTTTCCTACACATTACTATCAGGATTCACCTGAGGAAGAAAATTTTTATCCTAGGTATCATGGAAGACGAGGACATAGGAGCAGCTGGAGCCAGCAAAGTAGATTCTCGCGTATACCTTTCTCAGGAACTGGAATAAACTCTAGACATGACATTGACAACTCCTGCTTATACTGCCATCCCCAAGCCTGGCAGCGTTCCCAACAGTTGCCTCCATCCATCTTTCGACATGACAGAGGATTTTGTAGAGCCCACCCTTGTCATAGTTGTTACAATTCCTACAGCTCTTGCCCCTCTAGTCCCCAAAGGTATTTGGAGTCTGATTTTTCTATTAGCAGCCATGAAACTAAATCTGATGATCAAAGGTATAGAGATCTCGAGCTGAAGAGGTATTCGAGGGAGAAACATCATTCAGTTAGGCGACATCTCCGGCCTATGGCAGGTGGAGCACCTTTTGTAGCTTGTTATAATTGCTTCAGACCACTGCGGTTACCTGCAGATTTTCTACTTTCCAAAAGGAGGTTCCATCGGCTAAGATGTGGTGCTTGTTCAAAGGTACTTAAGTTTTCGCTTCAAAAAGGAATTCATATAGTTCCTTACGAACAAGTTGCTGCAGAACCTCCACCAAGTGAGGTTGAGTACTGCGATGATGCGATTAGTGTAAGAATATCGAAATCAGCATCTTGTTGCCATGGTTGTTTGCAAGCAGATATGTCTTACTCTGATGATTATAGACACTCCCGCAAAAGCTGCTCCACTGATGGGGGTCCTGTTTCTCATGTTCAATTTAACGATCTTCAGGGCAATGATGATGTCAAAAATATGTCTTGTTCTTCTTCTGAACCTACGGAACAGAGAAACGACTTTGTTTTGAAGCACTCTCAAAATAAGCATAAGAATTCAATGGAAATTTTTGATTCAGTTGGGTCTTCCTCGAATATGTCCAGGTCTGAGAAAGTGTCTTCAGAAATTGAAGAGTTGCCACCAAGAAGTGAAGGTTCACCGCTTCATCAACTCATGGGCTATTCTTCACCAAGCCAAGTAATAAATGGATTTGTACCATCAATACCTAGCACAAGCTCAGTCCACTCTGTCAAAAACTCGGGATTAAATAGCTGAGTAATGTTTTCTCAAGGTAATTGCATTTGGTTAAAGCTAATTTTTCGTGGCTAAGTTGCTGTAGCCGAAAAGGCTCAGTGATCTATTTCATGACTGAAGCTTTGAATTGTTTGAAAGTCTTCATCATGTGATGAAATGGTAGAATCACCCAAAATGAAATTCCAAAATGACAAAAAAGGGGTTGAGGGAATAATTTATTTGCACCAGCAAGGGTGGAATAGAATTGATCTGATTGTTTTGCAGTATCATAGAACAGAAGTGTAATACCAAGGTCTTGGTTTTCTCAATGTAAAGGCGTTTATAGAGGAGACATTTACTTAATATGTTTATTCATGTATTGTTGGAAAGATAGATCATCTTTTTATATTTATAAAATGAGACTTGATGTGTCTTTTTTATTACACCCGTCATCGCCTTCTTAGCACTGCAATGGCCTTGGTTCATCTGCAAGTGCATCAGTTGTACTTGATGACTTGTTATCACCAGATAATAAGAAAGACTAAGGATTTAATTGTTCTCAAACGGTTGCCCATGTATTGAAGGCCAATCACACAAGCTTCGGGAAGTTAAAAGGGAATTAATTTAAGTCCTTTAAGATGATCATCATGTGCTACTATTGAGTCCAGTTTTTGAGGAAATTGTAGCCTGCTCTCCTAGGAGAGGCACAATGAATTCTTTCACACTTCGATAAACGAAGAATAATTATTAGTTGGCCAAGCTCACAAACATCAACCTGCATTCTTTCTTCTTCAAAAAGAAAAAAAAAAAAAAACAAAAGCTTCAACCTGCATTCTTAGAACTCAAGGATACAGAGGTAAGAGTCTATGCAATAATGGAACAAATCCTGTTCAAGTAAGGTCCTCCTATATTATCCTGCATAAATAAGTGATCAACCAATTGTAAATGTGGGTAGCAACTGATTTAATAGGGAATTTATTACATCAGTAACTCCAGCACTGTATCAGGGGCGTAAGTTTCTTTTCTGCTTTCTCTATATGTTATGCAACATGCAGTAAACCCAACTGTTAAGCAGCATCCCCCTTTTTTCATTTCTTGCATATACATAAATGAGGGGAAAGCTGAGACGAAAAGAAGAAAAATACAGAAACATCAGTACATCTCCAATTGCATTATCTATCTGAAGCTGTCCCTATAGTTGCTTCTTCTATTAGACACGATGGTTATCCTTTGGTCCTGAAGCATGTTCACATTGGGAGCAAGCAACCGTGTATACCGATCAAAATACAGAAGCTGTTTCATTAGAAGTGCAAACTCCCTTGGAAATCGCAGTCCATATGATTCACTCACCCTAACCTGAGAAGAAACGGAAACAAAGAAATAGGCTAGAGAACAATATCACCATAAAGCAGATCCATGAAGGTTGACATAACTCTTAAAGAACTTTTAACAATTCCCTTTTCCTTTCGGTCCTACTATAATTCACAGCATAATAATTTGCCTCTATACGGTCAGCATCGGAATAGTTATTGCCTGATTCAAGTGTTCAAAAAATTGAAGAACTAAATGGAGCAAGCGACAAGTTTTTTTTTTTATTGAATAATATAGGCAGTAATGGTCTTCCATTGATAGATCAGTAGGCCAACAGGTAGGATCCAGAGGGAGGGAGTAATACGAGTCAATAAATGTATGTCTTGCTTAATTAACAAATAATAACCAATGTTTGTATATTCTGAGAACATGTCAAGGCAATTCACTCAAATATACCTGACAAACTATGCCAATACTAGAGTCTCTAGCAAAAGGGAGCTGAGAATTCATGATCTAATGGGCAGCCCATGGTATAAATGTTTTAGTTAGATTTTGGAGAGGCATATTTGATGAAGAAAATAGTTAGGGGCACACATCCAATTAACGGTGGGCTGCACTCATATAACTAGGGATGCATGCCCCAAAATACAGCTTACCACATCAAGAAAGAGTGCATTCATCTGCCTCTCGTCAACAATTATATTTGCAGAGACAGCAGTTGCATTTGTTTTTGTCCCCCTGGTAGTGGCAACAACTACCTCCGTATCAAGTTCCTGCATGAATAAAAATGATGCAATAGTTTAGAATTTGAACAGCAGAGGATCTGACGACGAAATTCATAGTAATAGATAATGAGTACACATCTGTCAGTATGGATCTTTCAATAAAAAATAATCTCTTTTTCCTAAGAAAATAAGATCTCTTTAAGTTCAACTACAGAAAAGAGATCCTTCTTAATCCCCTGAACTTGACTATGTTTACAGTCAACAAAAGTAATACCTATAAAATTGATTGTTGCTCTAATCAAGGAAACAGTAATGCCATGAGTCTCTGATGGTGCTTCAATAGCTTAGATACCAATGGCTAAATTATCCATGGGTATTTAACAACAAAGAAGTCTTGTCGGTCCAAGGCAAAGTAATATTAGGTCAACAGCAATTTATCGGTTTAAATGGGTTTAGTGAGTGCTTTTGTGTGTGCGTATGAACATGCACATGCAAATTGCTTCTAAGGATATTGTTTTGTTCACTATTTTCTTGGTAAGCATCTTGGGTTCCATATGCTTGCCTGTATAGATGAAAATATCTGTTCCAAGTCTCTTGCAAACGCCTTAGCATCGATATCCTTATTGGTTGCTCCCATTTCAATCAAGGCAGATGCCATCGACTCATACTCTTCAGTTGCAATAGATGCCAAAAATACTTCCATAGCAGCCCATGTTTTTGGTGATATGCGTCCAACAATACCTATAAATTTAAATAACAATTTGAGAAACATGATATTACTTTTATGCATGGACAAATGGATTTGACAATAGAAACAAAACATAGGCATCATAAAAATTCAACAAATGCAATTCTGTTATCTTCTTAAAATCTAATGTAAGCACCCAAAACAACATTGTTCATTGAACATTTTAGTTAGAGTTCAATAATTAAAAGCAAATGCTATGCAAATGCTAACTATAGCTAACGATGGTAGTCAAGAAAGATCAGGAAGAAAACATGGGCCTAACTGTAGTTCATGAAGAGATGCTATTATACAGGTCCAAGTATATCCTATGATAAGAAATAGACTTGATATCCAACATTTTTTTTTTAAGAGATATCCAACATATATATCCATACATATATATATATATTAATTTTTTTTGAAGAAGAGATATCCAACATATTAAATACAGAGTATCTGTTTTTTTTTTAGTACAATATTATCACATTGTTCTATTTGTAAAGAATGGATAAAGGCACACTAATGGATTTCCCATTCTTTATAATCAAACAGAATTTAGGTTTACTAACTTTTAGCAGCAATATTAGACAAAAAGAACCACTGTTTCGTTTCTTTTTTTCTTTTTTCTTTTTTTTATAGAATACAGAGTTATACCAAATATCTTCCAGTGCTTTTTGCTAGTTTCTTGATCTTAAGAGAAGCATCCATTTTAGCAAAAGGAATAATCAGTCTGAGGTTCCAGTTTGGATATCATGCACAAAATGACAAATACTTCCAGCATAATAAACAAGTTTAGAAGGCTAAGTCAAGAAGCCAACATGTAGCAGACTAGTAATCAAAATGTAACTTATTGCAATGAAAAATGAACACATATGATCATGTATGCTCATTCCTTACTGGCAGAAAAACTAAGTAGGATCCTTTAACCAAAATTAGTGACTGGTGTTTCTTTAACTTAAAATAGAAAGATATTAGATCAAAGTTGGATGAACTAGGCACAAAAGAAAAAAAAAAATTACCAAAATCAAGAAATCCAATGCGACCATCGCGCAATATCCATAAATTGCCAGCATGCACATCAGCATGGAAGGTTTCACAAGCAAGTAAACTACCAAACCTGCACATATTATTCATGTCAACAGCATAAGTGCTTCAACTAGAATCCTGTGTAAAATCGGACAAATTTCAAAATTATGCAAATCATTCATGTCTTACCAGACATTAAGTGCAGTTATAAGACTATTCTCTGGGCTAGAGACAATTGAACTTATAGTGTCTAAATCAGTAAGAGGAACTCCATATAGCCTCTCCATAGTCAAAACTCGCCGTGTGCTGCAATGGTTATAAACTCTTGGAGCCGTTGCCTGCCTTGTTAATCCCATGGCTTCAAGATATCTCCTGAAGGATTCAATATTTGTAGCCTCCTTATTGAAGTCAACTTCTTCAAGCATAGACTCCCGAATGTCTTTAACAATACCAACCTACTGAAAGGAGAAAAATCTTATAATAACTTTTCAACATCAGAACTTTACAACAAAAATGAGTAATAGAAGACACAATAAGAAGCCAAAATATCCTAAGCTGGTGTAGTTTCAGTGATTAATAGCACACATGTTATTAAGTTAAAAGAATGCTAGCTGATACAACATTGGCTAGTTTGACTGAAAAATTACCAAGCAAACCAATACCTAGGCATGTATGCAAAGCTTTACCTTAAAAAAAGCTTGTTGTTGTACTCCCCTATCTCCAACTTAAATATTTAAAAATAAATAATAAAACAGCCAAGATAATTAAATAAAGAAAAGTAGATATGGAAGTTTGTAATTCCATTTTACCAGCGAAGCGCGGCTGAAATCAGGATTTAAGAACTCCAATATTCGAGCCACTATATAAACAAAGTTCAGGTCTGCCACCAAAATGTCCTCAATTCCAGGTTTCAATACCTTTATAACCACATCATCTTGGGAGCCTCTAAGCCTTGCACCATGTACCTAGGCATGATAATATCACTTCTAATCAATAGTTACAAACACTTACAATAAAATAAAAGAGTCATTTTGGGGACAAATAAAGAAAGGGGAAGGGGCGTTAGGTAAAAGAAATAAAGATTTAAGACCTGTGCTATAGATGCTGAGGCAATTGGAGTTGGATTGATATATTCATATACGCTATCAATTGGTCTCCCTAATTCTTGACGTAAGATCGTTTGAATGTCTTCAAAAGGAACTGCAGGAGCTCTATCAAAGCATTTCTGAAACTCTTCAACATATTCTGGCGGAAATAATGTTGGTGCAGATGCTATGAACTAGAAAAAAAGTAATCTAAGATGAGCAATGGTGATGTAACATTGTACACAAAGAAGATTAATTGAAAGATATGAAAACCACAATAGAATCAATTATATTCAAAAAAGGTTTAAGATGTATATTCTTCAAAGACCAAAATTATGATGCCATCTTGCACAACATAACTAAGAAATTAAGGATGTGTTTGGTACACAAGATTATGACAGGATAGGATAAGATGATATTAGGAATAGGATTAGATTAAATAATGTCATCCTATCTAGTGTTTGATGTGTGCAAGGATTAGGATAGGATAATTTATTTATTGGTTCAAATCTTCCTCAAATTTTATACAATTTAAATTATTGATGTAATTTTTAAGGGTATAATAGGACATGTAAGTTCAATCCTATGGATTAAAAATAATCCTCTCCACTTTAGGAGGATTGAATCATCCTATACCAAGAGGATGATTAATCATCTTTGTAATCCTATCCCTTTCTTTATATACAAACCAAAAATAATATAGGATGATTCTCATCTTACCCTATCCATCATCCTATGCACCAAACATGACCTAAGCAACTTTAATACAGTGTCAACAATATAATTTGAGTTCGATCAGCAGTTTATGATCGGTAAGAATCTTGGGTAAAAATAATCAAAGCCTAATACTTACCTGACCTAATTTGATATAGGTTGCACCCATACGTTCAAATAATTTCCTTAAGTAAAGTGGAGAAAGCAAGCCCAGCTGCAATTGAGATGGTATTCCAGCAGATGCATTTGTTGACTGCATATAATTTAGGGGAATCAATCAATCAATCAATCTATATTGCTTGATATGCAAATGGAAAGAATAATCGAAGCAAATGAGTATCTTTAAAAAGAGGAAAACAAAGACTTATAGAAAAATAAAAGAAAAGCAAGAAGAGGCAAATAAATACCCTTGAGACATCAGCAAGCCATTCCCCACCAACACCAACAAATGCTCGAATGCCTTGAGCTAGCCTTAGGGCTCCTCGGGGACCTGTGCTTATAGATGTCTGGACAATATCCTCCACCAGTTTGGGTAAGTCCTCAATATTACCTCATAATGATATGAACACAAAACTATCAGAATCTAACAACAGTAGAAATTTCATAGATAAGAGAACTAGACAAAATTGATGCCAATCGAAGTTGAAATATGGGCACTAAAAATTTCAAAACTCCAGGCACTTGAAAGGGTCAAACAGAAGGAGGAAAAAGAAGAAGAGTAGTAATAAAATAGTATAAAAGAAAGATGGGTAATTGAATTATGGTGCAGAAAAGAAGGGGAAAGAGTGGGCAGTTACTTTGGAGGCGAGAAGAGAAACGATCCTGTTGCTGTGTTTGAGCTTGAGATTGAGATGGTTGAGAGTATTGGGCAGAAAGAAAGAAGGGCTTGGGGTTGGAGTTGAAGCGCCGATGTAGCTTCTTTAGTCCAACAACCGATCTTCTTGTACAAGCTGCTGCTTTATTAGGCAACTGAGGGTGATGAAACAAGGGTAATCGCCCGCTTCTAAATGTTGAAACCGCCATTTTACCTTCGTAAAAGTGAAGGAAGACTATGTACTTTGTACTAATAAAAAGAAAAGGGATTGTTTCTAGAGAAATGAAATACAGACGGAGAGACAGTCGTCCAGATTCTAATGTAACTACAAGTCCTATCTTTGTCTTTGGTTTTTACAACACTCTGAATGTTACCAAAGACGGCTCTTGTCTTGTTTCTTGCTTTCGCTCTGTTAATTAAATTCAATATCAGAAGAAAATAAAAAGCATGACAGAGCTCATGCCACGTGGCATGAAGTTCCCAGCATTGTTGGCGCTTCCTGTCTTCGCTAATTTTCATACATTTTTTGTATGGACAATAATTATATGAAGATTTTTAAGATAAATTGAATTGTTTTTTACTAAAAAAAATCTGTTAAAACTTTTAATAAAAAATTAAATTTATAAATAAATAGAGTTCAACGAAAAAAATTAATAATATTTAAAAAAATTTTAAAATATTATTTTATGTACTTTAAATTTGATTAATTTATTTAATGTTAAAATTTTGTCTAAAAAATATTAAATTTTTTTTTATAAAACTTTTCCAAATTTTCATACTTATCTATGTATTCAAATTTTTTAATCGATTTTTATAAAAAAGATATTTTTGTTAATTATAATAAAAAATAAAATCAATAGAAAATAAAAAAAAGTAAAATAATATATATTTTTTATAATTTTGTGAATCATTAAAAAGTAAAATGAGAACATAAAAAGAATTTCACTAAATACATGCTACTAAAATCATCTTACCGCATAAAATTATTGTAGTTTTAAAAATCAAACACTTGACTTTTGCAGTAAAAAAATCATTCCATAAACTGAACCAGACAGCAATCCCGATCTTAAAAAGCACCCATTTTTGGCTGGCTCCTGCTCCCAATTAAACCCATTTTATCCGATGATTTAGTGGATATGCTATCGGATCATGTGTTGCATCGGAATTCAGAAGCTTTAACAAGTATGTTTCATCAACAAAAGGTTCTGCTTCAACCTAATACTATTAAAGCAACTTACATTCATAACTCAATCGCTGGTACTTTGAAATGAAAATTCAAGACATGCAAAATGAGCAAGATGTGAGTTTAAACTTTAAACAAAATGAACGAACCCTTGCTGTCAGCTATTTTCTTTTACCTACATGGGAAAGCACCAAAAAACTAGAATACAAGAAGCTGACACAAATTTGAAGACTTCAGAACTTTTGGGTACTATTAGTGTCCACCTCATGTCATTTTTTGACATGAGAGGTGAACGGTAAAAATTGCAGGATTTGTTTATATTAGTATGTTATAATCATTGATCAATCTGTATCAGATCCTGAGTCTGACTCTCTGTCTGATTGCAACTCAAATGGCTTGATTCTGTTCAGATTAGCTTCTAGTGGGGGAAGTCCATCATCATCACTTGACTCAAACTCATCCTTCACTTCTTGCTGCAAATATTCTGAGGTGGTACCTCCATCGTTTTCGATTGAATCATCCAGATTTGTGGGTTTGAAAATTTCAGGCCTGCAGGAATTACATGCAAGAATAGAAGTAAAATACATCAGAGAAAATAATGTGATAAAAAATAAATCTCAAGATTAGAAATTTGAGAACCAAAAGCAAGCACATTTGCATTATACCCAGTCATTTTGAACACCTTTAAAAATTTAAAGGTAGTCCTTACTGTATGCTCTGATTTTTTTCATGGGAGAATCATAACATCTAGAAGTCATAATACTTTATTAGAATGACAAGCCCAACAGTTCTAACTAAAATGCCTCTTGTAGTTGAAGTCATATGCAAACCCTTCCTAAGGAAGTACTATGGGAGTTGCCAGAGATGTCAAAGAAATGGATGGGGAATAAGTATGCTGAGTTGAGCTGATAAAGAAGGATTCGGAATGAATTGCTTTAGATAAGAATGCTTTGAATGATGGAACATTGTCACCTTAAAACAGTATGCATGACTGGTTAGTCAATGAAGATGAATGGGCAGACTGCAGAAAGTAAATCTAACAAAAAAAAGACTCAGGAAAGGGACACTAGGCAATACAAACTTAAAGGCCACCAATAAACACCTTAAATTGTCAGCTATGCTTCCTGTTCAAATGAAAGACATTGTTGGCCAACTCATGCGAATGCAGCACCCATAAATCAAACCATTAGGTATATCGAGAGCCATAGTATTAAGAATAGAATACACTTGCCAAATGCTCACAAGATTAAGGAAAGGCATTCTAACAAGTTGATTCTAAAATGTCAAGAAAACAAACCATTCTGGAGATTTCTGTAGTGAACGAATTTGTTCATAGAACAGAACTTGAGAAACAATACATGCGACCTTGCTACCAGACTCAAGTGCCTTTTCTTTTCCACTTTCATCAACTACAACGAAATTCCCTACAAATTGAAGCAATCAAAATATATTAACAGCAATTGAACACACACGAAAATAAAGAAGAAAAGGAACCCCTTGCCCAAGTTGTTAACCTGAAATAAAAAATTTCCTATAGTGCCCAAACCCAACAATATTTTGCTTGCAGGTTTGGAAAGACAAAAAGAGATGTATGGAAATACGATCTACACAATGTAACTGTTCGATCCAAGAGGCAACCGATTAACTGAATGGTTTAGCCGAGGAATTTATGAAACAAAGAGAAAAGTATGACATCAAGAAAGGAATAAAAGAGGAAGAGTAACTTGTGGCTACTTTTGTATATTCGTATAAAACAAACCTCAATAAATTTTGATCAAAACAATGCCAAAGTTACGTTTATTTGTAACAAACCTCGTTTTATCCAAATGCTCTTGTGAAACTTAGCTGGGAATAATGCAAGTGATTTCTCTCCTCGACCATCCATTACCTTAATAAGGTAAACAACCAAAGCATAAAGAAGTGCAGAAACAAGTTAACAATCAAATATTCAGAAAGGCCCACATGTTCATCTAATAAAATAAGAGTGGCTTTGGTTGAAAAGTGAAAACCCAGACGTTAGCTGATAATCTACTTGCAGAATGAACAAATTTGAAGCTAAAAGATTGCAAATTTATGAAGAGAAGAATAATAGGCACCTCAATGAGATTGGATCCCCTTAGAGACAGCACTTGCATAATGCTTTGGCCATTTTGAAGGATCAAGTTTTGGTCTTTTGCAGCCCTCTTTAGATTCTTCCTGCCTCCTTTCATTGCTTCTCCTTTCTATACCCAAAAAAAACCCCAAAACAAATAGTTCCTTTTTCAGAAAATCTTTTTGTTAGGGTTTTTCTCCGACTCTAGTTAAAAGGGAGGAAAGGAAATAGAGACGAAGGAAAAGGAAAGAAGACAACCGTCTGGGTCTTTTGGTAATTCACTTCCTGAAGCTGTTAGTAAAATAAATGACAGACCAATAAGAGAAAAAGCCTTGTTTTGGCACTGTTGTCTTTAGCCTTAGCCACGCCTTAGCTTTCGTAGAAGCATAAAACAAAACAAAATTTATCTTCGAGTTCGAGTTGCCGACTTTGGCAACTCGCAAGTGGCGCGTGAGTTGCAGTGTTGCAGCGGTCGCAATTCGTCTGCCTCTGTTCCTCCTTCAAATCGAAAAATTTCTCCTTATAACACCTTCTTAATGCAACCAAATTCTACCTTAATTTGTTTTCAGGTATTTCTTTTGTTTTTCTTTCTCAGCTTTCCTATTCTTTTCTCTATCTTTTTTGCTATACATTGCTGCTGATTCAATTGAATTCCTTTGCTTTCAACTTTTGTTTATTGCTTTTGGCCTTCTCTAGAGATTTGGCATGCATCAAAAGAACTCAAAGCTGCTTATTGAACTGGCTATTGCGAGTATGAATTCTAACCACCTTACAAAAATACTCCATAAAAGCCTAATCATATCCATTTATTCATATCCAATGGGATTCCCTTTTGATTTACATCCAAAGCACTAAAGCAGAATCTCAACGAACAATTTAAATGCACGAATTCCGAAATTGTCTAATGAAAGAAGAGAAAACATTACAAACTCAAGAGGGAAAAGCACTTCCCAGGAATTTATGCCAAAGAGGCCTCGTTCTCATAAAATTAAACCACAAAATTACACTACATTACTATTATTATTGTTATTATTCAAATTCCATTCTGCCCGTGATTCCCTTATCAGCAACCTGATTAACAAAATCACAATGAGTTGCAAGATTTTGTCGACTCATTCCCTTCTACTCAGACTCTGGTTTCTCCAAAAAGGTCCTCTTCAACCAATCAAATGGCTGGCAAAGAAAAAAAATTCAAACATTAGCTAATCATTCAGAAACTCATAAACAACTGTAATGTCTAATGACAGGTCCACCATCAGGCACACTATGCACACCAAGTTCCCCCTCACAATTCTTAAAGCGAAAAATAGGAACATAAGAATTCATAAGAATCATAACCTTTTTCTAATTAAAGACTTTGTAATTAAATAAATAGCATCTCAAAAAATTGAGGAGATCACAAATAAAATAAACTAAAATAAAATGCAGAGGCTGTTCAAAGTAGGAAATATCAATCATGGAAAGATAAATACGGATATTCAAAATTTTGCAAACAAATAAGCATAACAATAAGAATCTAATTAATTAATCAACCAAAAGCATTTCATAGAAGAAAAGATGGTCATGTGCATCTCAATGAGTTTCACTTGATTGAATGTTCAAATCAAGGTCAACCTACAACCTTTACAAAACAAACATTCACAAATATAAGCCAGTCTCATATATAACTTTTAAGTATTTGTAGATCAGATGTTTACAAGGGTCACATAGAGGAAGCTGTGCATGTAAACATGTTAAAACACACAGATTAACATCTGATTGGAACCAAGATATGATAGATGATCATTTTCAGAGAGACCAGTGGGGTGTTAAGCCAAATGGGTACCATAAGCAGGCAGAAGTTAATGCTAACCTAAAAGAAACATGACAGAGAATTAGCTACGTATCAAAAATTATAATGGGAAAAAGTTGATGATCATATTAAACCATTCTGAATCAGAATATGATAAAAAGAAAAAACAGAGAATTTATACCCTAAGAATCTTTAAAGCAATGCTCTGTTCAATAAGTATACCCCCTAAACAAAACCATTTCAAAACCTCAACTAAAAGTTCATGCAGCTAACTCACAACTGGGGAGCATTTTATGTTTCCTATGACTGTTTCAGTGGGAAAATAAGTTTTCAACATTCCATAAATAAAAGACCATATCGAAACATACTGAACAGCAGCTCTGTCATGCAGGACTTTTGAGTCCCCTACAGTTCATTAGAAAATGAATGCCCATTTTTCTTGATAAGAAATAACCGCATAGCCAGAATTTATGGGTCAGGGACGGGTGTGTGATTAAGCAAAAATAGAAGTGAACATGATAATGAAAAGGTTTGCTTTTCCCAACGAGATAGTTGATATAATATCAATGTTTTGAATCCTCCATTCAAAATGATTCTAGGTAAGATATCCTTAGCATCAACTATTTAATCACATCAATAGAAACAAAGATCTGTTCCAAGGTGTAATATTTAAGATAAACTAATTACAAAGACAGATCCAAAAAAAAGGGGAAAATTGAAATCCCTAAGTAACCAATCAAAGAGATTTTCCTATGGATAGTAACAAAGGAACGATTGTTCAAAAGGAAGAAAGAAACCTGTATGAGCCAAAGAGCACCGGTAGTGGCAGCGACGCCCCAGAAGGCGGCGGCTTGGATGTCAGTGGGCTGTGGACGGAACTTAGGCCTGAGGAATTTGAACATGGCCCCTTCTCCTGCCATTCCTTAATCCCCCCGAATCCAATTTGAAAACCCTAAACCTTTTACAAGAATTATGGTGAAAAATTGTATTGGAATCCGTTTCTTACTTTCTATTCTTCGATCCTCTGTCCGCGTTTGTTTAATGTCGAATGTTCGTTCAACTCTTTAATGCCCTTGTAAATGTTTCCACCCCATATTATAACCAATTATTTTGCACCCTCCGATTGTTCTCATCGACGGTGGATATCTGCTCTCCCCACTTCTGCATCCAGTTTTTGACGTGTCCGAACTTTTCGCCATGTCAGCACTAATATTTTATTTTTTTCCTTTCTTTTCTTTTCATGCAGCCAAAACGATATATATATCTATATATATATATATATATATATATATTTAAATTATAAGTTTTTAAAATTCTAATTGAATCTAAATTAAATTTTTATTTAATTCAAATCAATTCAAAACAAATTATATCAATTTGATTTAATTTATTAATTTTTAAATTTAAAGTTTTTATAATTATTTTAATATAATTTTTAATAAATTTAAGTATAAAATAATTATTGTTATTTTATAAAAATTTAAAATATAATAAAAATTAATAAAAATATATAATTCAAATAAATTCATTTTTCGTTTAAAAACCTTATTCAAGTTTAATATATACATTAATTAATTAAAAAAATCAATACGAATCAATTCAAATCAAGTATTACAATTTTGAATCAATTTTCAATTTTTTTCAATTTATAGGATTAAAAATATGGAGGTTTAACCCTCCACATAAATGAAAAAACTTTTATTAAAAAAAAAAAAAAAAAAAAACCTTGCATCCAACGAAATTTGAGGTCCATGAATGACATTTTACAACATAAGTAACTGGAATCTGAAACAAAATGAAAAAAACCATCTTCAACAAGTTCGAAGCAGAGTGTCCTATTTCCTCATTTTGACCCTATCCTCCTTGCTGCCCAGAAGCTTCGTTTAACTAATTTGCATATTTGTTTAATACAAAAACGTTGGACTTAATCCAATCAGTCACTTAACTGCTATCTATAACCTTCAAAAGCATATAAAGAAACAGTCAAAACAGAAGATGAGTAAAATAGACTCTTGGAACTTATTATCCCAACGTATTTAACTTGTTTAATCGTCTGCTGACTAGCTAAACTGGAGTTGAAATATTGGTTTGGTTAGTCTTTCTATTATCCGTCTTTATTGCTGGTCGCCGACCCTTATGCGGACCACCAATAATTCCCCAAGCATCAAATTGCTTCTGTCGTGCTCTTGCCCTGTCTTTCTCCTCTTTGGACTGCAATGAGTAACAATGGGGACAACAAACCCCGTATTCCCACTCTGGTGCTTCCATGTCAGCATCACTAACAGGCTGCTTGCACCCATAGCAGAGCTTGAAATTTCCTTGTACCAGACCATGCTCTACGGAGACTCGTTTGTCGAACACAAAGCACTGGCCCTCCCAAAGGCTCTCTGTTTTTGGAACTTCCTCTAGGTATTTTAAAATGCCACCTTTCAAATGATAGACCTGGTAAAGATTTAAGAACCATAAAACAACGACAGAATGGTCACTTCCACAAATTAGTTTACAAAAGTGGCACATTATCATGATTGAATGCAAATCAATGAAGAGATCTCCTCTTCTACAGGTGGACATTCAAGTTTATTTCAAGAAACAATTTCTTCCGGAATCAATCCCTAAAATAATTAACTTTACTATAGAAACAGTGACAAAGCAAAAGGATCATGGATCACCAAATATCATATAATGTAGATAGGGCCCAAAAGGAAAAGCACCTCCTCAAAACCTTTGCTAAGGAGAAAACTTGAAGCTTTCTCACATCGAATACCTCCTGTACAATACATTGCAACTCGCTTTGGCATCTTTTGTTTTGGAATCTCAGCATCTTTACTGATGCTTTCATTCAATCCTTTCTTCTCAACCTTTGCATGCTCCACATCTGCAGCATCAGGTTGGAACTGATCCTCCACCCAAGATGGGAACTCACGAAATGATGTGGTACATGGATCAACTGCTCCTTTGAACATACCAATTCTAGTTTCATAGTTATTACGAACATCAATTATCACCTAAATACAAGTAAAATAAGCAACAAAATGAGTAAAAAAAACCTGGCCCAATCCCTCCACTACCTTAAAAAGTCATAAGTGTTTTTTTGACTAACATGTTGCGACTTGTTCAAAACCAATCAAAACAAAGCTGACAATTTTGATAGCATGGCAAGTTGCTATTATTTATCAACTATTTTCAACTCAAAGAATGCCATTTATTGACGCCTTGACCTGCTAACTGGATGTTCAAAGGAGCAGTTGATCTATGGTGAAGGAAATGTAACATCAGAATCCTCATGACAAACAAACATGCACTGAGTAGGAAGTCAAAACTTTGAAGGTATCAATCTTAATAAGTTTGGAACAATAACATCCAAAATCAAAACTTAAAGAATATAAAGTGCACCAGAAGAAAATGCATATGGACTATGGAGGTGTCCGGCTCGGGTTCTTGCTCCATCATTCTCATCCAGCCAGGTAAGATTAGAACAGGGGTTAGGGAGAATAAGGGGTAAAGTAGGCATTTCTTGTGGCCAAAAATGGAATATAAAGTGCATTTCTTACTCTTGCATGCTTGCTTTCTTAATAAAATATGGTAAACATCAATACAAAATAATAATTTTGCCTGGAAGAACTTAAAGCATTTCCATTGAAGTATAACTAGATCAACCAGAGTAAGAAAAAAAAACTCCTAAACGCTGCTAATACTCTTCCGGAATGCCACAACAGAATGAACATATATTATCATGCCGAGCAAGAAGTTGTTGACTCAAAAGTTTTAACTAAAATAAGATAGCTAGTGAAATCTCTAAATGATCAGACGAGCCTTCCAATCAAAATCTACAGTGAAAGAGCAATGCTTGAAGACAAAAAAGGGTATCATGAACGTTGGTTTGAACTTTGAACAGTAAATAGACAGAGAAATCAAAATAAATAATGATATGTGAAAACCTGAAAAGCAAATTAGTAAATCACAATGAAGTGACCAAAAAGTTGCAACAAAGTTTGGTTACGCACAGTATCTGGATCACTGATCAAAGCATTCCAATCCTTTGGGCTAACATACTTTCCAACCTTTTCAATTGGTGAGACATCAGGCATTCCAAGAGTAACAATCTGCTTAAACATGAAGAAAACATTTTTATACAAGATGTCCAAAAATGACAGATTCACTTAACATAAACCATAAAAAAGAGGGCCACCCACTGCTTTGCTTCTAAAGAAAATACCTCTTTCTTCAACTTGACTCTTACATGGTCCCATCGAAAAGGTGCATCCTCACCTGCTGCAAGAGGAGAACTACTAGAATGTCCATGATGGATAGCTTCCTGCTCAGAACTAACCGGTGATTCTATCTGCCTTAACCCCCTTAGACGGTCATCAGTTTGAATAAATCCAAGGACCCTTTCCACTGATTCCCGTGTGCCACAAATGCTGCCATTGATCCCTTCAGGGGCTAGAATGATGCCACCTGAAACACGCTGATGGAATCAGCTTGGTAAGGTACGAATAACATAAACACATAAAGTCGCATGAATTACATAGAATGTAAATAATAAAATGTCAAGTCAATAACAAAATAATATATATGATAGACAGACAAATTTGGTAACAGCTAAATGCATGCCATACAGCTCAATCCAAGAACAATTATTACCATTTGGCATTCCACAAGAAAAAGCATAAAAATATTCAAAAAAAAAATGTGTATTTTGTATTCTCCAACAATGGCAGTGAGCTTGGATATTAAAAAAAATCAATTTTTATTTAAAAGAAGAAAATTTGTATGCTTTCCTCAATATGTTTAAAGCAGCTTATACTATAAAAAATAAATGAATAAAGGATACCAACATGATGAAGGGATTGAGGAGTACCAGGTCCTGGCAGAGTTGCTTCAAGGGTTTGCGCAAATCAGCATGGTCTGGGAAATCAGCAAACTTGTAGAAGGAGACGACCACAAGTGAGTTTGAGTGGGGTTCGTGGGGATTTGGGCAATGGGGTTGGGCCTGGTCCGAGGGCGAAATGTGAATTGGGTCAGCCGTCGTCGCAGAGAAGCGCTTGTTGGACAATGTCATCCTTATCCTCTGAGACTGAGAGAAACCGCAAGAATTAGAGAGACGAGTCTTGAGAGGGAGATTAGAGATGGGTTGAGAAGAAGTGAAGGGAAGATGAAATTTAGGGTTAAAAGAAGTGAGAGAAGAAGAAGAAGATGATGATGATGATAGCATCCTCAGGGCCAGTAATAGAGGTGATGTACAAGTTAGCATCGACTTCTGCATTTCTTTCGTTCCTCACTTACACTCGCTTGCTGGCTCTCTCTTACGTTGGCAACGGATCGGTTCGAGCTAGATTTTTACTTTCGATTCAATTTTATAATTATAAAATTTATACTTTATTTGATTCGAATTTTTTTATTTTTTAATATTTAAATTTGATCTAAAATTTGATATTGATAAATTATCAGGTCTAATTTGATCTAAAATTAATAAAATATTATTTTTTAAATATAAATATATAATTATATATAAATAAAAAATTAAAAAATAATTTTTAATATAATATTAAATCGAATCAAGTAAGATTTATCTAAAATTCGAATTCGATCTTACTCGATTCGAAATTTGATTTTTAAAAAAAATTTATAAGATTGAATCGAATCAAAATTCGTCGAATTTGAGTTAAATTATCAACTTTACTCTTTCTTACTGATACGTAAGGATGACAAATATATCAAAATCCGTCGAGTTTTGATCCAATTTAATTTTATAATACCAATGTTTTAATTAAATTTTGAGTTTCGTTGGATTGATTTTTCTTTGTTAAAAAATTAAAATTGAATCAAAGTTAGATTTTAAGTAAATCTAAAGATATATATAATATTTTTTATTATTTATTTAATTTTATATTATATATTATATTAATAAAATTATTATATAATATTTTAATTTAATATATTAATTTAATAAAAATATTTTATTTATATATAATTAAGATGTAATTTATATTAAAAATAATATTTTATAAATATTATATTAAATTAAAATTATTAAATTAATTTTAATTATATATATGATTCAAATCAAGTAAGATATAAAAATAATATTTTATTATTAAAATCAGATATTTATTTTATAAAATTAAATTAAAATTAAAAAAAATTAGTCTCATCTCAATCTAACCCATTGCTGTCATTACTGTTATGGTGGCTGGGTAGCGGGCAACATGGCAATGATGTAATGGGAAAAAAACCAACAAAATGGGTTCATCATGTTAAGCCCATTTTCATTATTCAAATTCCCGTCCCATTTGGAGATTTGAATTCCTGATTTTCAAAGTTAAATCCTAAGCCCTGTTGAAACTGACAATCCAATCACATGTTGATGAGTGACAAATGACTAATAATCCTCATCTGATTTTTATTATTAATACTTTTATTTGTTTTCCATGAATCAATTTAACAACATTTCTCATAATTAATCAAATGATTTGCTCCTAAATGTGGATTATATATATATATATATAAAATATATATAGTATGTCACTGTAACTAGGGTTGACATTGCCAAATGACTTTTCTTTTTTTGGTATCACTTTGGAATGCTATGTTTCAAATTTTAACAGCCGGTGTGTTATATTGACAAAAGAAATAAAATAAAATTCACTTTATGGTTCTTATTTTCTTGTTGTAGTTATGTTAATAATTAGACTTATCAATTCAAAATACGATATAATAACATGAAATAAATGATACGATTTAAAATTTTAACAATAATTATATTTAAATTTAACAAAATCAAAAAAATATATTTTATATTTTCATATCAAATATAATTATGACTCGTAATTTTTATGTAAAATATAATATTAATATACGAATTTTAATATTTTATATGATACGAATATACGAATGATTAAATATACTAATAACTAACTTAAATATTTTATTTGTACCCCAAACAAAAAAAAAAAGCTTGAATATTTGATTTGTGTCCAATGTTTTTTTTTTTTTTAATATGTGTTTAAGGGAAAATATCTCATATAATTACTAAGGATTAGATAATGAGTTTTAAGGGTTTATTTTTCTCTTACCAAAGCCTGTTTTTCAAAGAATAAAATCACAAGAGTAGACTGTAATCTTAAAAAATAGACAATATTTTGTAGGCAACACAATCAATTATCAATGATGCCATTTGTGGAAAATCAAATTGATGGTAAGAGAAATAGAGCATTCCCTTGACAAGAGAATTAGTGTTGAATGAGAAACTATCCCACATCATTAATAGTCAAAAATTGAATTATGACATTTGAACAATGGTATGTTATTCTCTTGTTGAGGTTATTTTTTTCAAGAAAATCAATAATATCTCATGATAAATACAGTCCAATAATTTTTGCATTAATAACATATATTTTAATTGGAATAAATTACATATATTTTTAGACTATTACAATTAATGTTGTAATAAAATTTTAGTTTTGGATATATACTTTTATAAGGTAAAGGAATATAACATTTTAAAATTTAATTCGAATTTGAACTTATATTCTTTTAAAACTAATCTAATTCGAATTGAATTTTAACAATTCAATTTCGTTCTATTTGATTTATCGGTTTGTAAAATTTAATTTTTTTATATATTATTTTAATAAGATTTTTAATATATTTAAATAAATTTTTTTATATAATAGTTATTTTTATTTTATAAAAATTTAAAATATATAAAAAAAATCAAATAAAAATATATAATTTAATTCAATTTAATTTTTTTAAAAAATTTTACATCTTGATCCAAACTTAATATATACATTTAATTTTAATTTAATCTAAATCAAATAAAAAAATTAATATCAAATCAAATTAAATATTATAATTTTAAATTAATTTTCAATTTTATCAATTTTTTCTTACCTCTAATTACCAAAAGACATTATCAAAAAAACAATAAGCAGTCAAAATAATATTTATTAAAATATAAATGAATGGATGAAGGAACAAAGGCATTTGTGAGTCAAGAAATTGAAACATTTTCCGTCTAGAAGCAAGGCAAGGAAACCTCATGGAAGCTGCCTCGGTCCATTGACTTCCACACTCATCATCACTCACGGTCCAACTGTCTTTGAGTTTTCGTGGCCAATTGTTTTCTACCACATCTCCTATTCTCTTTCTATGTACGTGTCATCATCTAATAGAATATATTATATTCTTTTTACTTTATAATACATCCTTATCTCTCTCGTTCTCTTAGCTTTTGCTTTGCATTTGATTTGAATTCAACATTTATAATAAATAATTTTGGAAATACAAATTGTAAGAATGATTATGTTAATATAATTTGTTGTAAAATAAAATAACATCCAAAGTTGAATTTGAAGCTCATTCTCTCATTTTCGTGTTTCAATTTTCAAATTCAATATTGAATAAATATTTAAAATATATATAATAAGCCACTATATATATAATAATAAATTTCATGGAATTATATCAATCCATTGTGAGCTGTTATCCCAACATTTACCAATTGGATGTTACAATTAAATTTTAATTTCTTGGAAATGCATCTATTTTCCAATACTTTACAATCCACCAATTTCGTTCATTGAACTCTCACAATTTTTAATTTCTCTTCAGTTTCAACACCTAACGAATTGAAAAAAAAAAAAAAAAAAAACCCAACTAGAGAAACTGGTACTAGCATTTTACAGTAAAGTTAACCAAGGGAAATTAATGGAATAATTTTGAGAGCCACCTGTCGTGAAATTCAAACATAATCATACTTGGATTGGAATAATTTATTATCAGCAAGCACAGTTTTTTTTTTTGGTCACCAAGGACCAATCAAATCTAATTATACACCATTTGCAAGTTAAACTTTGCCAGATGAGAAAGAAAATGAGAGGTTGCCTAAGCTTCTGCCAAAGGGCAAAGCAAAAGGTCGGAGATGTTGGCATCACCCTTTCATCATTGCGTAAACGTCAGCTGCTTTAGTCAGGAGAGGGGGTTCTCTTTTCTTTATATCCTTATCCCACTTTGTATCAATGCCCACCCCTTTCCTAACAATTTCCTTTGATTTGCTTCTTCCCTTCCTCATCTCTACCCTTTTCTGTCTAAATTCAGTCTTAAAATCTTATCTATTTTGCTAAGTCACCTATATTTTTTTACTAGGAGTAAGCAAAGCAAAAAAGAAAGAACAACAGGTTCTACATTTTTGTTTTGTTTTTCTTGCTGGTTATAGTTATGGGTACTCCTTGGCCTGAAAGACTGTCAAGTAACAAAAAAAGGGTAATACAAGAACTTGTTCATGGGCAAGAGTGTGCTACCCAACTTCAAATTCTTTTCCACAAGCCTTCCGAAGAAGGTGGGCGTCTCTCAGCTGAGGAACTTGTTCACAAGATCTTGAGATCTTTCGATGAGACACTGTCTGTGCTGAGTGCTTGTGACTCTGCTGAGGTTTCTCACAGTCAGGCAACTTCTAACGGTGATCCCCCCTGTTGTGATGACCGGAGGTCTGAAGATTCTAGTGAGAGCAGGAAGAGACCTGTCTCTAAGGACAGGAGAGGTTGTTACAAGAGAAAGTAAGATTCTTGTTAAAGAAAAAAAAAACATAAGCTTAAATGGATGTTCATTCATAGATTTCTAATGGTAATTGGATGTTTTCGCTTGCAGGAGGGCTGCTCAGACATGGACAGTAGTTTCTGCTACAATAGGAGATGGTCATGCCTGGAGGAAGTATGGGCAAAAAGAGATCCTCAATTCTAAACAACCAAGGTATTCATTTTGTATCTTTTTTTTTTTTTTGTAATTGTTTTGTAAGTAATTCATTTCACAAATGCTCATTTGACAATGAAATTAAAACAGATGTAATCTCAAAGTCAATATGGGTGATTTTCTAAATTAGTCATAATTATTAATTATTAGTATTTCTTTTAATATATCTTCTCTTCTAAGCAATCAAATGTACTGAAATAAACCTCTTTGAGTAAGAAAAAGGAAAAGTGGCAAACGGTGAAAAATTAGGATTCAATAGGTGTGGAAATATCAGTACATTTCTGCATCAGACAAGCACTTCCCAATTTTAAAAGGAAGCTAATCATGTGCTCCTTATCATCAACAGGAGTTACTTTAGGTGCACTCGCAAGTATGATCAAGGTTGTAGGGCCACCAAACAAGTTCAAAGAATGGAAGATGATTCCCAAATGTATCAGATCTCTTACATTGGAACCCACACCTGCAGAGACTCATTCAGGCTTCCCCAAATCATCTCAGATTCTGAATCTTGGGAATTTTACATGGGCTCCAAAATCTCAAGAAAACCACAGCATCATCACTTGAACCCATCTACCACTGCAACGATAAAGCAGGAATCCAAGGAAGAGACAACACCTCATCACTTGAACCCATCTACCACTCCAATCATAAAGCAGGAATCCAAGGAAGAGACAACACCAAGTGATCTTACAGACTTGGATTCTGTCATGTGGAAGGATATAATGGGTGGTGGTTTTGAGTACTCCTCTGAGCCTGCTGGAATGGGGTCTGATTATGGGGATGTTGTCTCTAACGTGTATTCATGCACTGAAATCACTTCTCAGAATTTCGAATTGGACTTTTTGATTAAACCTGCAGAGTTTGAAAATGATTTTCATTTTGATGAAATTGAGTTTGTCTAGTCTAGCTTCTTGTAAACTTAATATTGTAGCTATGAGGGTTTCCCATTCCATATGTAATCACTAATGTGGAATAATAACAACTATTGAAGCCTTTTTCTATCTGTGCATATCTATTTTCCTTGGGTATATAAACGAGGAACCACTCCGCATAATTAGTTACCAAACTTAGGTAATCATACAGGGACAATGTGCTCATCTTTCCAGGAATTACTTTATGCCAATCATGGTATCTTTCCAGGAAAAAAAGCAGAACCTTGACTCATCATCTTTTTGCGCATCATTCTTACAAATGGGGCCCCTGACAAATATGAACTTTCAAACTTTGTTGTGGAAAAAATTGTGGGAGTGACAAAGGGATTAGACATCCTTAGCCAAAAAACAAAACTGAGGATTAGACATGATGTGTGAAATATTAATTGAACAGATGTCACTTGCAGAGTTACCGGACAAATTGGCCTTGATCTTCAAACCAAGCACAGTAATTGCACGAGCAATAAATTTTTGCGAGTTGGGGTGTGATCGATGTGAAATTAAAACAGGATAGCCGAATTTTGGTTCCCAAACTTGGACGGGCAGTGATGTCCCCAAAAAAGTAAGAAAAGGCAACGTATGTAAAGGGATAGAGGAAAATTAGTGGAAGGTTATGAAAGCTGACAAATTCAAAGAAATTGTATCTTGCCTGGATTCTGTAATATTGCATGCATCTACTCATCCACCGCTATTTATTTTCCTTGTTTTTTTTCTTTCACCAAGCATAATTTACCTATCTTCATTGCTACATCATGCCCTCTGAGCTATAGGCCAACCGCCCAAGCTTGGTTATTAGTGCTGTGGGCTATGTCGTGACTTAGTCTTGAGAGACAGTGACACTTTTTTTTGTCTTGTTCTACCTTTTTGTTTTTTTTTTTCGCCCTTTTTTCTACAGTGACATGGCCAAAGTGTTTCTTTAGTACTAGCACATTAAAAAGTTTATAAATTCATGGCATTAATTGTACGTATGTGATCACATGCCAATCGTAACATATGTGAATGGAACAGGTTTCACTTTTGTCAACTTTATTTTTTAGAGTTGCAACTTGATTTATGTCGGAAATCAAGAACCGGTCACATACACTAAAGTCTCTAATCTCGCCATTATTAAAGAATTTGATTCAAAAATTAAAATATAAAATTAGAAAGAATCAAAACTCTTAATTTTATTTAAAATACTCAATTTTTATTATTTCACTTCATAATCGATCACATATTATCACACATATATTTAACAAAAACACAAATAAATACATAAATTAATTATATTAAATTACGTATGATTATATGTAATAACATTTATTATACCAAAAATATCAATAAATTCGATTATTGCAATTGCTTAATATAATTATATTCCTTAATTCGAGATCCCTTTTAATTATTAATAAGAATCAAAAAATTAATAAATTTATTTTACTTATAATTTATAATTTGATGATCATTATAAATTCATTTTATATAATATTTAGATCGAAAAAGGGTTATAAAGACTCTCTCATTTGAGGAGGGATCATTCAAGCGTATTAAAATAGAAACAAGTTTTAAGTACCATGGTGTAGCCATGGATCCATCATCCATGAATGGCTTAACAATCTATGAGTCATAAAGTATATACATGGAATGGAAACAAGAAGTACTAATATTCTTTCATAATCTACAAATTAAGCCAGAATACGTAGTGGAATAAACGTTTCTTTTTGTACCCACCAAAGTATGACGTTATAAGAAGTTTAAAAAGCAAACAAAATTCTTAAATCAGTGTGTAACCTGTATAGCTATAAGTCTAAGTGAGGTTATTGTCTGAACTTTTGACCTTCAAGCAACCGATAAACAGCACGTCTTATGTGCGTGTATCAACAAGATGAGTAAAGATTAGACAACATCGGCCACCCAAATTAATTTAGTCGCCAATCAATGAACAATGTTGATGATCATGAATAATGTTTCTAGTTAATTTCTACTGTGGTCTTTAGCAAATAATGTCATCAATTTTTCTTGTCCCCTGCACCTGCCTCCCATTTGTCATCTGCGCAAGGAAAAATAAAGTCCATGCTGTTGCTGCTGCTGCTACCAGAATTAAACATAACATCTGCCATATCTGCCACTGCTGGATAATCAACATCCCTTCCATATCGGCCGCCTGTGGTGGAGCCACCTGCTGCTGCACTGCCACTACCACTTCCCCCAGAGCCCAGGCCGAATTCCATTGAGAGCCATCTTCCTAAAGGAACTGATGAAGAAGAAGTTGGTGTAGGCTGAGTAACCATAGCTTGGGTCATTATCTGATCCTGTGTCATGTCAAGTGGGGGTGGTGGCGGAATTGACGGTGCCGTAGACGACATGTGGCACGTGTGCTGACCAATGTATGTTAACTCAAATGTGTAAAAATCGTTGTCTAGCCGCTGAACTTGCTTCTTTGCAGGGCAGTTGTACATCTTTTGGTGTGTGCACCTGTAATAAGCCCTGAAATCAACCAACATGATTATTATTTGTCCTTCCTCTTCGTTTTGGGTCAACATCAACATACATGATTTTCCTCATCATTCATTAGTAAAGACTAAATTAAGGTTCAAAGGTGTCAAGTGTCAACCCTAAAATATCAAATACCATGAACTGAGCCCCACATATACATATATATATATATATATATATTTGATTAAGATGATTGTAGAAACCTTAAGTTTAACTTGTTAGACAAGCTGATCATAGCAACTGAACAAGTTATAGTATTAACATAAATGATAGTATTCATTCAATTCAAGTCCAGAGCGTTGGACTTGGTTTACATACTAAGGAACGACTTATTTATACAGATTTTACCAATCAAGCAGTCTAATTTTTACTTTTGAAAAGATTTAAACAGTCAAATTAACCGTAATTCTATAGACCGAGTCAAATTCTAAGCGACTTTCGTACTTGATCAAAGTTTTGAAAATAAAGGTTACGATAGTAGTATGATTAATTGGCTGCTAGTAGTTTGAAACAAAGACTTCTAATTAATTATCTCCATGAATGTTCATTTATATGTGACCAATTGCATTAATTAGAATATTATATTGATTTAAACATGAATGAAAGCATAAAGATGATATGCTTTTTGAATGTGTCAAATAATTTTTAGCGTATGAAATGTTGGATACATGAAGAAAGTGGTAACTGGGAATCTGATTCATTTAGTGATTAATATATATAATTACATACCTAGGGTACCTTGAACCCAGGATTTCTTTCTGCCCATATTTTCGCCAAGTGTAGTTATCCTCCGGTGGAAGATCAGTGTTTCCCATCTGAGGAGCCGGTACTGTCATTGTGCATTTCTCTTCCGCATCCTTCCTGCTGCAAATAATAACAAAAAAAAAATTACAACCAGTAATAATTGAAACTGATCCTCTATAGTATCCAAGAAACTGCTAATTGAGAATTGTTGTTCTTTTGCCTTTCTAGGTAATTAATTAATTAAAGGATTTGTTTGCGGGAAAAGCACTAATGGAATTGCCTTTTCGGTTTTTACTAAATTAAGTTTCATGGAAAAATATTGATAGCTAAAGTCGCTATATATATATATATATATGTATGTATATGCGAACTAATACCTTAGAGGAAGGGCAATGCTACAGGAACCTTTATATATGTGCTACATTGATAAAACGAGTGAATATATGGGAAAAGTTTCTGACCTCCTTCGCGGTCGCTGCGATGAGGATGAGGAACCTCTACCAGAATCTAATACATCAGGTGCTTGGATTTCTCCTCCTACTCCTACGATGCCCTTCAATCGTGCAGAAGCAAGAGAACCCTCCAACAATTTCTTTCCACCCATTTCATTGATTTCGATTAATGGAGTAGTTTTTCCTGCAGGCACAGGCTGATGTTGAATCATCTCCATTGCTTGTGAAATAACACCATACTTTAGCCATTCCTGCAAACTGGGATCAGTCTGCAGCTGCTGCTGTGATGATGAATATTTGAGGGGTTCGCGGGCGAGTAAGTTGGATAACAAGGCGGGGTCTTGATCATTTAACCGTTGTTTCGCAGTAGCAAAAACCTTTATGATATCATCGCAAGACTTGTAAAGGATCTGTGGCTGGTTGGCCAAATTCCCAAGGTTTGATTCAAGGTCTTTAGCTAACTTACAGCCATCAAGGATTAAAGAGAAGGTCTCTTCCATGGTTTCAGGGTGTTTTTGCTTTGCTTTGGATTTGAACATAATTGAAGGAAAACTTGGGATTTAAATGTATAGTCCGCTTTTTGGTGTGTTTCTGAGCTGCTGCTTGCTTCATACCATAGAAAGAATTAAATTAATGAAAAATGAAAAAAAATGTCAAAGTATTAACGTTCCTTCTACACGGTACAAATTAAAAGAGAAAAAAGAAGTTTGAAAAAACGACCAAGTCTGGGTCTCTGCTTTGCCCTTTGCCCTTCAACCATCACTGGCCCCATCTAAAAGTCTTCCTCTAGACCATTGCCTCATTGAAACCATCTTTCGTAAGGTGAAGAAATTTCTGCGGTTTGAGGCTTAATTTGACTATTAATTGGAATTGGAATTTGAAAAAAAAATAAAATTACTTCTTCTGGATTCAGCTTCGGAGGGTTGATAGAATTGGGAAGCATCCTTTAATTTTTAAATATTTTTTTTAAAAAATTTAAGAGTATAGAAAATTATTTTATTTCAAAAGGTCAAATAGTCATGGAAATTTATAATTTTTTTTAGTTTTTTTAAAATTTTAAAATTTACATATCATTTATCAATAAAAAATATTAAAAATTCGAATATGATACTTAATATTTAAATTTTAAATCTTAATAATTTATGATAATTTCTATAGGCTTAATTTTTAAATAGATTTTAACTGTACATATGGTGGTTTGAGGTTGAAAACTTTAACCCTACGTCATGGGTCATGACCCATTCGGTCCGCCCCCTTTGAGGTCATGATTCATGACACATTTCCTTTTAGGTCAATATTCCCCCGGAGTCCCATTATTACACAACGGCAGAGATAAAATTTAAAAAAAAAATGAAAAAAACACGTTCTATACCCTTCTTAAAAACATTTGTTTTAATATTTTTTTTTTGTCTTTTCTTGTTTTAATAATTTAATAATTAAAAAAATTTGAAAAATATGCAAAGTGAAAGTTCCACTCCTATCATTCTCGGTTTCCACTTTTTTGTTAAAAAAAATAGTATCTTTTTAATTTTAAAAATATATCTTTTATTTTTTACTTTTTTTAGTAAATATTCTTTAATTTTACGAAGTGTTTTTAAAAAAGTAGACGGGTCACGGATTACCCGACCAAACCCAAATTAAAGAAAAAAATTAATGTAATAATGCTTTGAAATTTCTTACGGCTCCAAAAGAATTATGAGAGGCAAATTGACATATTGACATGAAAGAAATATTTTTTTTGGTAAGAAAAATTTGGAAGTAGAGAGCATGCTCAATGTTTTTTTTTTTTAAAAAAAAAAATTGAAAGTAGATAAATTATTTAATCGTTTAAGTTAGAATAAAATATATCGTACCTAACAATTTAAGATAAGTGACTGCAGGTCGTGTATTCGAAATAATCCTAATAAGTGATTATCGATAAGATTCAAACTTAAAATCTCTTTATCAATGAAGTCAAACCTTAACTGATTGAACCAATCACTTATTTGTGAGATGAAAAAACTATTAAATGCTATCTAAAGTGTTCTTTTTTTATTCTTTTTTTATCTTTGATACGACGTGGGATTGTTGAATTTTCGTAAACATTTTCATTCTATCTTATCATTTATAAATAAAAATAAAGCAATATTATAAGACGGATCTATAATTGATAAAAAAAAATGCATATGTTTTTGAATATTTGATTAAAAATTAAAACAAAAAAGAAGGGTAAATAGATATTATATCAATTTTTTGTTATTAGATTAAGCTGAAGTTGAAGAAAAACCATAAGGTTTATCATAGGAATAGGAAAAGAAAATAATAAATATTACTTATAGAAAAGTTTAACAGAAGTTCATTTTTTCTTAATTAGGTAAGGTCATGATCAAATAAAGAACTTTTTAAAGTGATTAAACTCCTTTAGAGTGATTGCTTCAATTGACAAAGGATAATCTTTTTTGACCTAAAAATTTTAAGTTCGAGCTAATTGCAGTTTATTGAGATTATCTTGAATGCATAACTTTCAATCATTTATTTTAAGTTATTAAGTACGGTACATTTTATTATAATTTGATAGACTTTATTATAATTTGAGAACTGAGTAATTTATCTATCCAAAATTTTTCATACAAAAAAAAATCTTTAGTTTCATAACTCTCAAATCTTAGGGTAGTTTGTTAATGGGGACAATTTCGTTACTGTTGAACATCAATGGTTAATTTATCTCCTTTCATTTATACTTTTCATGGTGCTCTTGCTCTAAAATAAAAAACTTGCAAGCAATTGACTTAGAGATGAATGAAAGCAAATTGGAGAGATAACCTATAGTTAATAAAGATTTCGATTCCAAAGGTTTTCTAAGATTGTTTGGGATTTTATAAAAAAGAAATTCAATCTAAGTTATTGTATAAAAATGATGTTTGTAAAATTAATGGTACTAAATATGTTAGAATCTAGGGTTTTAACAGTATTAAGATTTTATTTCATAATTTTATGAGAAATTTTGGTTGAAGGAGGTAATGTTATTACAAAAGTTAAATCCAAGATCGTGTAAGTTAAAAATTTTATATGAATTCACAAGGTATGTTTTGCATAACTAGTTTTTTTTTTTTTTTAATTATATTAATTTTTGTTTAATGGGAAATGCCACATGCATCAACAGTAAAATAATCTCTAAAAATTGGAGATGTTCAATTTTGTTATGAGACAAGATATGTGGTTTCCAAATTATACATCTAATGAATTTGGATACAAATTTTTTGTTTTTTGTACATGGGATAAACCGTATAAAGATTTGAGTTAATCTTGAATTGTTTACCGGCCACACTATCTTACAAGGATAATCCAAATGAAATCTAATTCCTCGTAAAGCCATGCTTCTTGTTGGAGTCAAACTTGTTGCACGAAAGCTGCCTGACATCAACCATGAACCTGGATTGTTTTTCCGTTTACTATAGGTCATGTCAGTGGACTTCTCACACTGCAATGGGAAGTCGGCAGGTCGGCAGTCATTTCTTAAACCAGTGGGAAATAGTGAATTTGATGCAAGGAAAGAAAATGGCAACTTCGTGACTCTGAACGCTTTCTTTGATAACTTTCCTGTTGGCATGTTCATATGGAGCCGCTTCCAAGCCCTTTATTCAGGGACAGGGAAGTTGCTTGTGTTTAACCTTTTAACTAGTTTCTTTAAATTATAATTGTTGGTTATGCTATTTTATGCACAATGATTCCTTGGAATCATGTTTCATGACTTGCATCAGCATAATGATATGGATATTAACATAATAATCACAAAATGATAGTGAAAGGACTTGAAATTAGAGTTAAAATACTAATGGACTCTAATTGCACATAGATGTATCGGTGTTATGAGTAAAGTTTGAATTTATTATATCCAAACTATTGTTATGACCCATTTGGGAAGTGGACATGGTTTTGATAAAGGCATAAAACGATTGATAATGTCTATAGTAAAGGGTGTATATATATATGTATGACATTTTATAGTCATTTGATAAAACCAGTTGAATGTTACTTTCTTCATGATTCTACGGGTATGGTGATTGTCATGACTGATGTTAGTCTAAAACCTTCTCTCAGGTGATCGAAACAACAGTTGTGAACGAACTGAAGCTCATCTTGCTTGAGGCAAGGAATTTATAAACCTTTGCTCTCGTTTTGTTTGAGATGACAGATTCAAGTGAGTTCCAGAATCCAGGAAAAGAACCTCAGCAATCTGAATAAGGTAGAATTTGTTCCTTTTTTATTATTTTTAAAGGTGTATATGGTTATTTGCTTTTAAGCCAACTCTTTGTTTTTCAGTCTGCAATTTCTTTAGGAAGCCAAAAAAGGGCAAAAATATGAGGAAAAGGACAATAAGTGAAGATGAAGAGGAAGACTCCAGGAATGGGACATCTCTGTTCAACAATCAGAAAAAGACTTTGAAGCCTGATAATAAATTATACTTTTCAGCTGTACCCTCCAAGACTACTGCTGCCATTGAATCAGAAAAAAGGCTTTGCTTCAACTCCTGCTGCCATGAACATTTGTATTTCTTTGTTTAGTGTTAGTGGAAGATTCACTTGCCTGTATAACTTATTAAAGGAAATTAATTTCTCTGCAGTGATGAGCTCTTTTAAATCATTGTTGCTGCAGGCATGTGCATTAGTATTAAGGTAAGCATTGTTTCTGTGCCATGCCGCTACTAATTTATCCTCCTGGATTAAAGCTTGGAAAAATATCATCTGGTAATAGTTAGTATTGTTAATTTATGTGTTTGTCTGAAGTGTATAATGGTGCTGCAATTGCGATGCAGTTCCTTTTACAATTCTCGTTTGGTAAAGGTAGTTTATTTAACTCAATGCAATGATTTGGAATAAATCTATAGTTAATAGACCCGGTAGCATTTTCTTTTCTCCCCAGAAATCTGTTCTCCTTCATTTTTACTGTTTCTAGTCTTGTTAGCTTGCCTGATTCAAGTTGTTTGAAATAAATCAAGATAGCAATGTTTTCTTTCATTTCTCCCCTTTTCTTCCTTGAAACCAAACTAGTGCAATGGTTAAAACCCCTCCCCTGATGCCTGTTGCCAATCGCCACTGCTACCTATCATTGCTTCCCTCTTTCTCTCCAAAACCACAGCCCCTCTCCCTGTCCCACTAGAATCAGCATCCCTCCCTCTCGCACTGTACAGGGGCACATGGAGAAGCTGTTGGAGAAGGAAAAAGAGGATGGGAATTTGTTGGCAAAATTTTTAGAGGAGTTGAAGAAGAAAGGTGTGGTGTTTGAATTGTTGAAAGAGGTTGGTGCTCATATCAGGGTTAAAAGTTTTGAGGATGGAAGCCAAAGCTGTGAGGAAATGGTCGGCCAGTGCCACAATTAGAAATTATTAACCAAAGTTATTAGAAATTTGGTTATTTTGCAGGGGATTATGATCTGATCGAGGATATTGGATTCCTAATGAACAATGTAGGAGACAGAGCATTATTGGTCTTTGTCCTAAAGTAAAAGGTTAGGTATATTCATGTTCAAGACTTTCTTCCATTAAGAAATGTACATATTAATTAGAATTATCTATGTTTCTAGATGAAGAAAAACAATTATATGCCAACTCGGTGAGTGATTGATCATACAAGTTTAATTCCTTCAATTGACTCTCAAGTCTCCAGGACAAATTTGTTTTAAAGTAAACCTTTTGGATTTTGCCCGTGGTCTAAGCTGTTTTACATGTCTACATCCTAAATATTGGTCTTATGAAAAATGTTCTCTTTATTAAGACGGTCTTCATTGGCAACACCACAGCGTTCTTCGTTGGTAATAGTGGATGGTGATATACAGATGCTGCCATTAGACTCACCAAAAGTAATCAGTCACACAGTGCTTTGGTCTTATGAAAAAAGTTCTCTTTATTAAGACGGTCTTCATTGGTAACAACATAGCGTTCTTCGTTGGTAATATTGGATGGTGATGTACAGATAGATGTTGCCATTAGACCCACCAAAAATAATCAATCACACCGTGCTGCACTGCCGGCTGTAGGAATCGAGTCGAAAATTAAACAGATGCATATAGATTTTAAAGTCCATATAAGTAAATATTCATAAAATTAAATTTAAAAATCATTATTTTTTTTTGTTTAAAATTCTCGGTATCCGATAATCACTTTAAATTTTGATTAATCCAAAATTGAATTGGGTCAGATTCTATAAGAATGACAAACTCTTCTAAGCTTTTTTTTATTTATTTACAAGACTCGAAATCTAAATTTTGCTTAAAAAAAATCGAGCTATTTATTTCTCAGACTAATAAACATTGGTAAATCATTAATTTTTTTAAAAAAATTTTAATCTATCTTTAAACTTCTCTACCCAATTATATACTTAATTAAAAAAAATTACGCATATCAACTCTCTCTAATCTACAACTTTTAAATGTTAATTTTAATAACATGTCAACTGATTTAATAAATAAGTAATGTTGATTAAAATTTATAATAAGATAAATTTTATTCAAGTTTTTCAATTTTGAACATAATTTAACACAAGTCTATTAATTTAGAAAATAGGCAACTCATTTCAAACTTCTTATAATTTAGGCAATTATAAACCTACTCTTCAAACCTAAATTTATTATATTTATATATATTATTTTTTATTCTATAAATATTTTTAGAAAATTTATTTTGTATATCTATTAAATATAAAATAACAAAAATAATTTATATTTAAACATTACAACTCTTTAATTTGAGTTTATTTATTATAAATGATTTTTAATTTAAAATTAATAAATTTATCATTATTATATTTTCACAAACATAAAAATTTAAGTTTAAAATATATACGAATATTATAGTTAACTAAAACTGAATTGATAAACATTTAATTATGATTTTGTTAACCAATTTTTTTGTCATATTATATCTATTATGATCTTTTTTTTTTTATAATTTTTACATATCAAAATAATATTACATACTGGACATTTCCATTTTGTTATATATATATATATTTATATATTAAGATACTTCTAATTGTAAGTTTTATTTTTATATATTATATTAAAATTTCTTTTAATAATAGATTTGATATATTTAAAGAAAAATAAAAATAATTTATTATTATAAAATATTTCGTATTTAAGAATATCAACTTTTAAAAGTAAAATTATCTTTAAATGAGATTTTTGATAAAATAACTAACGAAAAAAAATCTACTTGTCACATAAAATTGAAAAGCTTGAGACGTGTTGTCCATCTGTCAAATTAATATATATTTGTGTTAAATTATATTTAAAATTGAAAGATCCGAGTGAAATTTACTCTTTATAATAATATTCTTTTCCCTTAAAAAAGTGAAACAACATAACAAGGTGCCCCCATGCTTGAAAAAGAACCTAGAAAACCAAATTCTTGCCTTGCAAAGTGGAATGGGAGGACCAAAAATAATGGGTTAAAGGCGTCACGTTGAAACCTACAAACATGGATCGAAGAGATCATCCGAAATTATTATACGAAAGTTATACATTACATCCAATATAAATTAATAAAAACACAAAATATATTACGTTCCATTGCATTTCGAATTCTGTGTTCTTTTAGCTAGATCTTGTCCAATGGGAATTTGCTTAATGTTTAAGGTTAGCTAATCACGCACTCACAACTACCGCACAAAGCAAAAGAACAGAGAAGGTTATATATATATATATATACATAAAAAAGATAAAGTACTAATATAAAAAAAAAAAAACTCTGACTCGAAATCAGATCTTTGATATATTTTTAAATGCCTTTAGCATTAAATCAAAAGTTTGAGGACTATATATATATATATATATATATATATATTATCTATGTTATATTGAGAAGTACAAAATCAAAAACAGCCAAATTAACATGCTTTGCTCCACCTTTTAGCAACTAAGACCATACATTTAATTAAGACCAAAAAACAATTCAAGCACATTTAAGGCGTTTAATATATGAATTTTTTCAATCAAACAAATTTAAAAATGATATACTTTGAAAATAAAAAAATTTCCGAACATCATATTTTTTCAAAGATTTTTTTTTTTTTTGAAATTCAAAATTTCGCAAACTTATCGCAATGTTAATCTTGAGGTGAACTAGTCTCAAATCACCACCCAACTTTCCTTTTTCTTACCTAATAAGTATTTCATATCCATCGGTTTATATATATACATATGGTGCTTTTTCTCATTTCACCAACCTCCATCCACCTACCCCCTCTCACGTCCACCACCCCCTTTCGCCACCAACCCCCACCTCTGCCCTGTCAACCTAACTCTCCCATTCTCTATAAAGCTCCATCACTCATTGTAACTTTTTCCCAGCCTGCAGCCTCAAACCAACAGCCAAAAATGGACCTTCTCTTCCTAGAAAAAGCTCTCGTTTCCCTCTTCATCACCATAATCTTAGCAATTTTAATCTCCAAACTTCGCAGCAAGCGCTTCAAACTCCCTCCTGGTCCCCTTCCGGTGCCTGTTTTTGGCAACTGGCTCCAAGTTGGTGATGACTTGAACCACCGCAACTTGACTGACTTAGCCAAGAAGTTTGGTGACATTTTCTTGCTCCGCATGGGACAGCGTAACCTTGTGGTTGTCTCTTCACCCGAACTCGCCAAAGAAGTTTTGCACACTCAAGGAGTTGAGTTTGGTTCAAGAACAAGAAATGTTGTGTTTGATATCTTCACGGGCAAAGGGCAGGACATGGTTTTCACTGTGTATGGGGAGCATTGGCGCAAAATGAGGAGGATCATGACCGTTCCTTTCTTCACCAACAAGGTGGTGCAACAATATAGATATGGATGGGAAGACGAAGTAGCCAGAGTTGTTGACGATGTGAGGAAGAATCCACAGGCGGCGAAGAATGGGATTGTTCTGAGGAGGAGATTGCAGCTTATGATGTACAACAACATGTATCGGATCATGTTTGATAGGAGGTTTGAAAGTGAGGATGATCCTTTGTTTGTTAAGCTCAAGGCTTTGAATGGAGAGAGGAGTAGATTGGCACAGAGCTTTGACTACAACTATGGTGATTTTATCCCCATCTTGAGGCCATTCTTGAGAGGGTATTTGAAGTTATGCAAAGAAGTGAAGGAAATGAGGTTGCAACTCTTTAAGGACTATTTCCTTGAGGAGAGGAAGTAAGTTTCCCTGTTAATTAAAATTTCTGGTAGTTATAGCTGATTAATTATAGGGAACAATACAAACCTAGTACTTAAATGTATATGTAAAATTGTAATGTAAATCTTGCAGGAAGCTTGCAAGCACAACAAGAAGTGACAACAATGCTCTGAAATGTGCCATAGACCACATTCTTGACGCTCAGCATAAGGGAGAGATCAATGAAGACAATGTTCTTTACATTGTTGAGAATATCAATGTTGCTGGTAAGACTCCTAGCTTCTTCTTGGGTTGGGACTATAGATATTTCCTTGGTTTAAGGTTTGCAAATTGGTTCAAACTCTACTAAAATGACATCAACCAATAAAAGAAAAGAATGGTTATTAGCAATGTTTTACTTTTAAAAACTGATGTGTTAAGAGTTAGAGTTGTTGAAAATCAATGTTTTTATGCTCTAATTGATTAAGGATATTTGGATGTGTATGTCTCAAGATACTGTAGAAAGCTTTTCCATCACTTTAATTACTAATTAATTCGATATGTGTATAAACCGTATATATAGTTAGACCACTATGGGACTTTTTCAATGGATTTTTGGATGTTCTTTTAAATTTGTGTGCAGCTTAGAATTTTTCAATATGATTTATGAATTCAATTTATTAAAGGCAAATGGCCCAATGCAATAATTATTGTGGTCATGTAAGAAACTGGTGCTATGTTGGCGGTGGTTGGAGGCTGGGACCAGACCACCAAAATTAGGTTGCCAGTTGCCATCCCATGTTGTGATCTTATATTGGTAGTTCCTTCCTACCGTATATGCTACGTGTAAAAATATATCCTAGAGTCAAATACCAAACCTATTCATCCAAGCAATTTCATTGTGATGATACAGCCATTGAAACAACATTATGGTCAATTGAATGGGGCATTGCTGAGCTTGTGAACCATCCTGAGATCCAGAAGAAGCTCCGCAATGAAATGGACACAGTACTCGGACCCGGTGTGCCAGTTACTGAGCCTGACACCTACAAACTTCCATATCTCCAGGCAGTGATCAAGGAGACTCTCCGGCTCCGGATGGCCATCCCTCTATTAGTCCCACACATGAACCTCCATGATGCCAAGCTTGGTGGCTATGACATTCCAGCAGAGAGCAAGATCCTTGTTAATGCATGGTGGTTAGCCAACAACCCAGCCCAATGGAAAAACCCAGAGGAGTTCAGGCCTGAAAGGTTTTTTGAGGAGGAATCAAAGGTTGAAGCAAATGGGAATGACTTCAGGTATCTTCCATTCGGTGTTGGAAGGAGGAGCTGTCCAGGGATAATTCTTGCATTGCCAATCTTAGGAATCACATTAGGACGTTTGGTGCAGAACTTTGAGCTATTGCCTCCTCCAGGACAGTCTAAGATTGATACATCAGAGAAAGGAGGACAGTTCAGCTTGCATATTCTGAAGCATTCAACTATTGTTGCAAAGCCACGGGTGTGTTGAACAAAGCTTTTGGAAAAGTGAATTTGAACTTGCATTGATTTATGCTTGAGTGTTGGTATTGTAAGATGCATGCATCTTGTTACAACATTGTGAACGTTCAATCTCTAAAATAGTTTATTATGAAGTGTTCTTGTTTCCTCTTTAATTTTTTGTCTATGAAATAATGAAACCAAAGACCTAGGCTGTCCAACATGGTCAGTGGTCTTAGTCTGGAGATGGGGTCAGTTTAGATGGCCTAACCCATAAAATTTCTTTCTTTCTTTTTATTTTTTTGAAACTAATGATGAGTTTATTACATGTGAACTTCTCTTTGAGACTGTTCGTACAAGAATATTCGTTCTCTCTTAAGTTTCTTTTAAGATAACTGGTAAACTGCGTCATCAACATATTAATTTTTATATCCCATATTTTAAAATCGATTGTATAAAAAATTAAATAAAAAAATTAAATTAAATTAGATTGTAATTTTAATTTTTTTTATCACTTATTTTTATTAATAATTATTTTTTCATCTAATTTTTTAATTATCATATTATTTTTTATTATTCACGTTTATATCTTTCATAAATTATTTTTAAATGTTTTGATTTCTCTTAATCCTAAAGATTTAGTTCTTCTAACCATAGCACAATTAAGCTTATGTTTCACATGCTTAATCCATCGCAAATAAATTTTTTTAATTTTTTTAATTTAAATTGTCTTTAATTTTTTTGAAAATTTTTTATTTTTAATTATTTTTCTTCAATCTTATCATATATATACATCTAAATATCATCATCTTCGCTGTCGAGTTAATTAAAAAAAAATTATGCAAAGCTGTGATTATTGTGTTTGAAACCATAATGTCTTGGCAGGTCAGGGCAGGGATGCCTGTGGGTCAGTCGGGTAAGTTTGCCTGAACAGACGACGCTTGTATCTTGGAGCCATCTCATCTGGACAACTCCTTAATCAAGGGCTTAACTGTAAGAGGCATAACAATTTCCAAATTCCAAGATCAAACCAAATATTCAATTAATTATTGTAAGCTAAAAAAAATAATAAAAATTAAAAATACATGCAACCCCCTAATGCATGAATGAAGTACCATGATTTTACTATTTTCCAAGATTCCACCTGAGATTTATTTACAAAGAAATTCCAAGAACAAAAATAGGGTAAAATAAAGAGAAATTTCTCAAATATTTCAACTGTTAATAAAATCATGGGTGGGGTGGCAAAAGTAATGGTATAAATGATATATTAATATTTGTAAGGTATTCGAGTTTAATTTAAATAAAATTTAAATTTGATTCGATTATTATCGAGTTAAATTTAAATTTGAATAATTTAATTTATCAATCAAGTCAAGTTTGAATATTTTTATATTTAGCTTAATATTTTATGATTTTAATCAAATTTTTATATTTTAATTATTTTAATTAATCAAATATCTTGAATATAATAATTAAGTTTATTTTTATATGTTGATAAAAACAAGTTTAAAAAATTTGATTTTTATTTTGAGTCAAACTTAAACTAAAATAATAAAACTTAATCAAGCTTAAAATGAGTTTTAAATTTCAAATTTAATGTTAAACTTGAGTTTAAAATTAATATTATATCAACTCAAATTCCATTAATTATTTCTTTGGACAAAAAAAATAGAAAGGCAAAATAAAAAAAAGGGAGAGAAATGAATTTTTATCAATATAATGGAGCCCATTTGAAGTAGCCAAGTCCAGAATTATGAGCCCAGTCTGCAGTCATTGAAATGGAGGAGTACCAGAGTATCGTGATACCGCCAAGCACTGAATCAAAAGAATGTTTAATTCCTTCCAATTTGAAATCTATAAATATATATATATATATATCAATTTCTCAAAATTACCCCTCCAATAAAAACACACATAGGTTGGCAGATCGAATTGGAGCCTCCTTCCTCTCTTCAGATCATCTTCATCATCATCAGAAGAAGAAACGATGTTCAAATTCTTGAAAGGAGTGGTTGGTGGATCTGGGACAGGGCTCAAGGATCTGCCTTACAACATAGGGGATCCTTACCCTTCCGCTTGGGGCTCTTGGTCGCACTTTCGCGGTACCACCAAGGTACCATCTTCAACTCACTTCTTCTTCTGATTTCATTTTTCTGCTTTCTCTCAAATTCAATTCACATTGTTCTGCTCCTTACCCTAACTCATAATTACCGGATCTTGTACCTGAATCAGCTTTTCGTTTCTTTTTACGTTTTTAGGATGATGGATCTCCGGTGTCTATCTTTTCTCTTTCTGGAAGTAATCCACAGGACGGTCATTTAGCTGCTGGTCGAAACGGTGTCAAGCGTCTTCGAACTGTAACTACTCTTCTTATCGCTTGCTTGCCTTCGTTATGGCTTTTGCTACTTTTTGCTGGAATAACCTAACGCCTAAGATTTATTACTATTAGTTTCACTATAATTTTTTCATATAAAACTCAATTGTGCGTTTTTTGTGATCGAACAAGTTTAGATTTTTAGTTATTATTCCTTCAAAATTCATTTGCTTTCTATATAAAAACAGACCCTTTGCTTTTTAGAAGCAAAAAGCTTGTAGAAAGCAACTGCCAAAAAGTGATTCTCAGTTCTGTTAGAATAGTTGCTGGATTCTAGACCTTGAAATAAGTTTCTGTTCCTTTTCCAGGTGAGGCATCCGAATATCTTGTCATTTCTTCATAGTACTGAGGTTGAAGCTATTGATGGTTCTAGTACAAAAGTTACCATCTATATTGTCACAGAGCCTGTTATGCCACTGTCAGAGAAGATCAAGGAACTAGGTTTAGAAGGTGCACAAAGGTATATCCACTTAACTAGGCTAAGTCTCCTTCTTGTGTTTGTTCTATTGCTTGTTCCAATTCCCAGAATCCTAATATACAATTTAGTTTCTGACATTGGAATTAAATTCTGCCCTATTAGAAATTTATTATCCCCCTTTTGATGCGATCATACATAGACGATTGAGAAAATTCTTTGTTGTTTAAAACCTTAATAAGCTTAGATTGTGTTTTCTTTTGTTGGTAGGGATGAGTATTATGCCTGGGGGCTGCACCAAATAGCAAAAGCTGTGAGCTTTTTGAATAATGACTGCAAACTTGTAAGTATTTCAAACTAGGATTGCAATTTTTAGATCTTTAGTGACTGGAATTTGAAAAATGCTTAGTTGTTTAATATTCTAAATGACATCAATTTTGTGACTTTATAGTTAGCATTTATTTGACATGATTGGTGGAAAAAGTTTCAGTTATTATATATTAACAGATATTGTGAAAAGATTGAGTAGTCTGTATGCTATGCTTAGCATTAAGGCACTAATAAATTCTGTCAGTCATGCATTCATACACACAGTCACCTGTTTGCCAAGGTAATCAAATGATTTTCTTCTTGCACTTGAATTCATCATGATCTAGTGAGAGCTGTTAGCAGTTATTATCTCAGGGAAACTGCTTTACATTTAAAATAGACTGCGTATGAACCACTGAATATGATTCTGTGGATGTAGCATAAAAGAATCACATTGTGTACATGTGGTTTTTGTTTCCCTTAATATTAAGCAAACCGGTCATCATTTTAAGACGGACCAATTGTTACTATTACTATTTTTTAATTTAATTTTTTTTCTTTGGAATTTTCTTTACATTATAAATGCAGTACTCATTGCATACACGAATACAAAGATTTTGATTGGAATCATGTTGTAATATATTGCATTTATGGAAACTATGCTTAGTCTGGTGTGCATGAGAAGAATATGCAAGTCTTTCTGTTTATTCCTCTATGAATGCACAGTTTGAATATTATTGTTTCTATTCAATATGCTTGCACTTGGACTTGAGGTTTTTCTGTTGCATCTGTGGGTCATTGATCTAAGGTATATTTGTAGAAGGTGCTGATAAGACTGAACTTTTAACTGACTCTTATCTCTTTCAAGATCACTCTTTTGACTAGCTTTGGATGGTACAGGTCCATGGCAATGTTTGTTTGGCAAGTGTTGTTGTAACACAGACCTTGGACTGGAAGCTACATGCTTTTGATGTTCTATCTGAGTATGATGGGACTAATGGAACTGCCACAGGACCGATGCTGGTAATATTTGTGTTTGGATGTGAGCAAACTGTTTCTGTTATTTTGAATCTCAATATGACATATATATTATTATAATCTTCAAATTCAAGTAGGTATTTTACGGAATGAATTCTAAATATCTTCTTAAAGGAGAGCAAAGGTTTTTTGAATAGATCATTAGAGATGGAACCCATAAAAATAAGTGATAGGCCATAGGAATTGTAGTTGTTTCGATCCTGCCTACTTTTTTTTTAAAACACAGTCCTGTCTACTTGGTTACGTTAGTCATTAGATTTTGGCATTCAAATTAATTTATGTATTAAATTGAGGATAATTGAATCCTATCAAATTTTTTTACTGCATTAAGTTTTCATAGATGGAATACTTCATTCAATTGTTATACACAATTTTTATTTAGGTGCTTTTCATATTTTAAATTTTCACTTTGCTATAGTATACTATGTAATCCTTTCTAGGAGGTCAGTTTCTCTCTCTCTCCCTCTCTTGGTGACATCTTCCCAGGACCATCAAGGTCAACTTTTCATTTTTTTTTTGTCAAGACTGCCTGTGAATAGTTGAATTTATTCCTTGGTTTGTTTTCATCAGCAATATGAATGGCTTGTTGGATCACAATACAAGCCAATGGAGCTGGCAAAGTCTGACTGGGCCACGATTAGAAAATCTCCACCATGGGCTATTGATTCTTGGGGTTTGGGTAAGTTTGTATTGTTTCTTTTGATATATTGGTGTAATAAATTAGGTGGGTCAATGAGTGATCACTTAATTTCTGCTAATTCTTTGAGCATCCAGCTCTTATCACATTGATCTCTTGGGTGTATTTACGTCATGATGTTCCATTTGGACAAGAGGATGTTTCCTGGCTTGGGTTTTCTTATGAATTTTATATCCGAGTTGATACTGGCTGTTATTCCTGTGTGTTAGACACCTGTGTTGACAGAGAATGCTTAGTTTTAGATGTTCATTTGGCTATGCTGCTAGTGTGCATTCATATGCTTGAGTTTATAAGTTGAGATTTATTTCAAAATTTCAAA